CCGTAATATACCCGAGACCGAGAGTCTACGCAATAATTACAAGAGATATTAAATTTCACTGTTGCCAAGCCTGAGCTACAAGTGCTCTCGATATAAGTCGAGCCTTGAAGTAACTGTTGAAGAATGACTACCTATGTAAGTGTACACACACACACACACACAAATATGAAGTTACGTGAACATGTCATGTGCTCAAACCATACAGTCTGATTGTATTTAATTCATACTGCTTTTCTCGGCACTGTATTACACAGGTTCCTCTTCCCCTTCTTACAGCTAGCTAGTTACCTAGAGGAAAGAAGCTGCGGCTTGTGCTCAAGATACCCATCCCACCTAAGCAACATGGAACGTCGACAATGAAGTCGTTGCCTAGGTTCCAGCTCCTCTGCAATATAGCGATTTTGTACTAACATTGTTTTTACACACAGACCAGATGTTGGGCTGGTATCCCTTCTCTTCTTCCATCTCTCATCTCAACCCTTCTTCGTGAGCGCATTCCATATTCATCGAGTTCATCTCCAGCCAAATGTCATTCATTATTGAAGGCAATACGTACACAACTGTAGAGTGCAGAACGCGTACCAGAAAAAAAAAAGAGGACAAGATACAAGTCGGCAAGCGATTGTTTCCCTCTTACTCCTCTTCCGAGTCGCTTTCCTCACTCGAATTACCAGCTTTGTACTTCTCCTCATCCTCGGGGGCTGGCTCCTGGCTGCCACTTCCTTGCCGTTGGAACTGAGCCTTTAGCTCTCGTAGCTGCTCAATCTTGCGTTCCTGCTCGTCCTTGTTCATTGGCTTGTTCTTCTTGGGCTTGGATGGATTGCTCGGCTGAGCTGGCGAGCGTGCACGCTTCTCGTCCTTGCTGAACTCTGGCTTCTTGGATAGCTGAGCGTAGATGTTGGGATACGCCTTGTTGATCAATTCAAAGAGTCTGCCAAGGGCATCCTGTGACAGCACCTCAATGTCCAGCTCGAGCTGCCCATCGTCATCCTCTTTTTGGTTTGTATCCCTCTTGATAATCTCCACGGCCTTGTCAAGAGTAGGGCCATCAAGCTCACTGATACCTTCTGTAATGACCTGCTTCTCGAGTGTGCCAATGGTTCGCTTCTTGCTTTGAGGCTTCTTGGGTGCGGGACGGTTCTTGCTCGAGGAGCTACCGCCTCCCGCGGCCTTCTTGTTGCTAGAGCCTGCTGTTGTCTGAGAAGCACCCGACTTACTCTTACTCTTGGACGCGGCTTTCTTGGGAGGCTTTGCCTTCTTGGTGCCGCCAACTTTGGACTTTTCTTCAACGAGCTTACGTTGCAAAAGTGAAACAACATTTTGCTGGACCTCAATCATCGTCATGTCGGGCTTCTTTGCCGCAAGCATGTCGTTGAGCTTTACTTGTTCCTCCGATAGTCTCGATTGAACATTGCGAACCGACTCTGAGTTCTCATCGGCCTCGGCCTCACTTTCATCCTCAGACTCGGCATCACTAGCTTCGGGACTGGGTGCAGAAGCTGATACCGACGGCGCCGACGGAGGATAATTCTTTGCCATCCAGTTGGCCTTCTCAGCAACCTTCTCCTTGAACAAGTTCTCGAGGTCCTGAGCGCACTGAGTCACATGAGAAGGTCCGTTGAAGAGCTCCGAGTTGGCCACTATCTGTCTCATGTCCTTCTCAACATCCTTTCCGCTGCGATATTTACCATCCTCGAGTTTCTCGGTCATTGTCTTGAGATCCATCGGCTTCTTGACAACCTGGAAATAGTTCGGGATGTTCAGAGCGACTGGGTCCACCGGCGCGAGGAACCATTGGTTTTGTGCCCAGTACTTGCCCTTCTTCAGATCCTCCAGAACACCTGCATAGAAGCGCATCTCGGGTTCGAGCTTCTTTTTACGAGCATTCTGGGCGCCATAATCCGGATCTCGGTTCTTGGGAGGGTGGATAGGACGTTTGGGGCGGTCCGCGTCATCACGTGTCGAGTCACGGCGAATTTGAGGGACTCCATTGGGGGGGAGAGCAAAGGCAGGGGCAGCGGTGGACACGGGTGTGGTAGCGGAGGCAGATGGTGCACCGGTGGTATCGATCTTTTTAGGCTTGGGGCTGGTAGCCGTGCCTGCGGCCTGCGATTGTGACTGGCGGCGGGGCTGCGTGGCTGCGCGAGATTCTACGTGTCGAGTTGGTTGAGGCTTGCCCTTCTCGGCCTTGGCAGGTTCTGGCATCTTTGAGATCTCGCTCCATTTGGCAAGAAGATCAGTCGACACACGCGAAGCAGCTATGCTGACGGGGTTGTTAGCTCCGTTGAACTTGAGTGCGTTCGCGTTCAATAGTCGAAGGTCTGCTTTGAACTCGCCGAAAGTCGAATACTTGTTGTCCCGAAACTTGTGTTCGAATAAGGCAAGATCGACCGGGTCATCAATCATGGCCTTGTAGCTCTCCCAGATACCTGGCCAGAGCTTCTCGACCGGTTGGCGGAAATTCATGCCATTCTTGGTCTTCTTCACCCTTGCCAACTCTTTGCGCATCTCCTTGCTGTGGTGTTCCTTAATAGGTTGATCGTCCTGGATATCATCTTTGCCGGTATTTGCCTCGGGACCTGCCTCAGCGGAAGCCTTGTCAGCTGCTGAAGGTGAGGGTTTGGCGCTGCTAGAATCCAGCTTCGTTCTCTTCGCCAACGGTTCATCCTCTCCGTCTTCATCAACTGAGCGTTCTCTGGACACCTTGCCAGTGGGCGTGGGCTGGTCTGCCATAGGCACATCTTGGGTATCTTGTCGAGGAGACTTGATGTCGAGCTTGGCGACATCAGCTGTTTGGCTTATCTCTTGCGGTGACGTCGGCTCGCCCTTGTCGCTTGCAGTAGAGGTGGCCTGTGTTTTGTCTGCTTCTTCATTGCTGGCCTTTTCCTCGTGTTGCTCAACTGACTCATCAAGGTCCATGGCGTCATCGGAAGTGGAGGGTTTCGGCGTGGCAGACTTCGGGGGACTGGCTGGCGCTTGTACCGAGGACTCTTCTTGCGCTTCCTTGGCAGCAGGTTTCTCGGGGGATGCCTCTTCCTGTGATCCATTCACATCCTCAGCGACAGGCTTTTCTGTGGTTGCCGAATCCTTGGATCCGTTTACATCCTCAGCAGCAGGTTTTTCTGTGGATGCTGATTCCTTGGATCCATTCACATCCTTCATCTCACTGTCTGTAGATAGAGACTCTTTTGGCTGAGTCGCATCCTTCATCTCGCTGTCTTCAGTCGCAGGCGCTTGCGGGGACTCTGCGGGCGACTTTGTCGACAGTCCGTTGTTTGCTGCGAATGCTTCTTGATTTGCTGCAGTTGCTATATCCGAAGGTTGTCCATTTGTAGTGGGGGTTTCCTCTAGCTTGGCAGTGCTGTCGGGTTCATAGTCAGAACGAAGGACAAATAGAATGTTCTATATAGTTAGGCTACTCACTCGTCTGCTACTTCTGCAACAGGTTCATCGACGGCCATTTTGTCCTTCTCAGGCGCAACATCATTGTTGATCTTCTGGTCCACAGAGACGGGTTGGGGTTGTTCCGTCGCCATGACTGCCATTCAGAAGAAGTTCAAGAAGTTATTTTGAAGAATATCGCAAAGAATGGCTCGACATAGACGATTAACTGCCAACTTCATTGTTAGCAAAGAGTACATTAACGCGGACACATGCAAACAATCGAGCAAGTGAGAGATCGTAGGACTGCAGCGTAACTAGGGACTCGTCGATAGCACTTGCAGATCGTCTCTCCAGAGCCTAACACGCGTTTGCTCGGCGCAAGACGAACCTGCAAAAGACCGCTGGGATTATGGTGTAAAACTGAAATCAAAAGGGCTGATGCGCTTAATAACAATACAGTTTAGACGGCCAGAATTCGAGGAGACCAGGAGCAGTCGCAGCTTCAATCGCAAAAATGTGCGCGATGACTTCTCCAGCCTTGCGAAATGCGACAAATGTCTCGGCAAGGTTGGGTGGATAGGTGGCTGGCCAATGAGAGAGGGAGGCTGGCAGTATTCTTGGGTCGCATCGCAAGACGTGTGTCAGTGCAGACAGCGCGAGACAAGTTGTCCTATTTATTTGGCCCCGGCTGATTGCCGCGTAGCTTAAAAGTCTGCACCAAGCTCGTCGACGTGAAATTAGGAGCTAGGATCGCGACTGGAAAGAAAGCTGGGAGCGTGCACGATCGACAGCAAGGAAGTGGCACTATTGGGCGCGCTGGCGAATAAGAACGGCCGGTTTCCAGATTGCACCCGGCAGACGAGCGGCGTGGGGCCTATGAAAACCGGCTGGGATGGCCGGTGCTGGCCTGGGTCGCGCGACGGCCGGCTCAAATGTTGGAAGCGTAGGGCTTTACGCGACGGTCTAACCCATTGCCACGAGCTGGTGATGGTTGTCGAGCCTCTCTCAGTCTGGCCCAACTCGTCCCGGCAGGAAGGATCAAGGAATCGTAGCGATGCAACTTGCGCAGCGTAGACTACGCATGAGGAGGCGGAAGTGGGGTGGAGAAGCAAACAGGAAATGCGACGCGATTGCGCCCAGACGCGACGACAAGAAACAAACGACTGAGGAAAAAGAAAAAGATATTTACCTATTGAGGTATTGAGCTGATAACCTTGGCAGCGCAAAAACTCATATAAGTTGAGGTGCAGAGCTTGCGATCAGAATGCGACGAACTCAGTTGAAGCTTGAGGAACGACGCGAATAGTCCTCCGAAAGCACAGGGCGCTGGGTGACGTTGCAATCGCTTGGAGAGAAGAGAAATTGTTTTAAAGACTTCTCTTGTTTTGCTTGGTTCGTTGAAACAAATCAGACCAAACGAAAGATGCGCGTTGTGGTGGTGGTTGCGTGCAAGATTGATGAGGCGACGACGAGGGTGGTGATGGTGTCGCGTCTGGATTGCAGATGGCCCGAATGGAGTTGAGATTTGTGGTTTGGCGCGTGAATGGGTGGGCAAAATGCCTATTTCGGAGAGAGACCTCAAATAATCAAGCGTGAAATCCCTAGTGGCTCGAAAAGGACACTTGCGACCAGTGGACTCAAGCAGTAGATCCCTGGAGCTTTCTCTCTAGGTTCGAAAATGGGAAGGTACAAAGCAAGGTACCTCCTGTGATTGGAGTAAATCGCTGTGCAGAGGAAACAACAAAAATTATTTACAGTTGCAGTTTGAAGATGCACAAACGGGCCGTTGGTGAACAAACGCCTACCAGTTATGCAGACAGAATGGGGGGCGGGATTGGTTGGCGGCAGATTATGTTCGGATTGGAGGAGAGCGGGGGCCACTGAGGGAGAGACAAAGTGACGCTGTCGCTGGTTCGGGTCCGGGTTATTTTGGGTGGGAAAGAAGGGGAGGTGGGAGATAGAGGGAAAAAAAATTATCAGGAAGGAGAGGCAAGGTCTCGAATTGAAAACCGGTTCGGTGGAAGGTCGCGACTTCTTATTCCTAAACACGCGCCAGAGCGCGATGGGCAAGAGCCTCAACGAATCATCGTCCACCATACTCGTTCGAGTCCCCCGTCGCCTTTTTTCTCTCTCGTCCTTTGGAGTCTTTTGCTCTGGTACAAGCGGACCAACGCCACAGATGCAATGGAGGCAACTCTGATGAAAGCCAATGAGAAGTATCAAGGCTCATAAAGTGGAGCTCCAACAAGACAAGGGTGGGAGGGCCAGACAAGGATCTCATGTGTAACTAGCCAGAGCCTGCTAGGCTTCGTGGGTACATGGTACACGCCTCTTGTTGGTTGCGACTCGACCATAATAGTGGAAGCCATAATACATTTAAGCAATATGCTAAAATATAATGACAACTCTGACAGCCATATCCAAAATTGATATCGACCCTGCGAAACAGTAGAGGTCATGCGAAAGTAATACCTCACTTATAGAGAGTGGCACTTTCACCTCCAATGGCGGCATGGGTAGGGACAGCCGGAGGAATTGTACTCCCCGCCTGGAAGCCTGCTGTGGGTGATATCCATGACTGACAAGGTAAAGAAACATCGTCGGGGGTTTGATGTTGTTGGGCGGCCTTGCGCCATTGGTAGTGTCCAAGATAGGCTGCTACCCGTAGAAAGGTTGGTTGCCATGCGCGGCGTCACGATGGACGAGAATCGAGCGACGAGCATTGAATGCACGCCTAAAGCCTCCAACTGCTGCGGCAACAGGTATTGCAATTATCATTGCTTTCCTTCGGTGCGCTCTTTTTATTGAGCCTTCATTGATTTCCTTGCGCGTATTGATGACTCACCAGCCAGTGGATGGCCGGCAAATCGCAGCAAGTGACAAGCCCACCTGATCCATACTGTGACTTTGTTAAATCTGAATGTGCGTGATATTAGCATTTCATTCGGGGACTGGCTGCTGGGTTGAAAGATCATATCCATTGTCTTGCGACCTGTTCGACGATAACTGACAATAGAGCCATGAAAGAAATGCGCGTCTCCCATGTTGGTAAATTTTGTTGAATGTTACTGACGCCGATGGTACTTTTTGCTTCTCGTCGATAAATGCGTGCGAAAATATTAATGGTGACTGCAACGAATGTCAATGAATGTTGAGTGAGGAGCGGGCCCCAGTTTTGACAGCACTGAACGGGAAGTGGTCAAAGTGGAATTATTTTTTGGATGGAGCCGGGATGCACGCCGAGACTGGAAGGGTCTGTGTCGCTGAGCGCCTTTTTTACTCTGCAGCCCAAAAAGTCCCCCCAGCTGGCAAGTTTGGCCCGCCAGCAGCCGGACACGCTGAGTCCCGTTCCCTCAAGGTCCAGGTGGGTTGGTGGGGTGACGCCGGAAAAATTCAAGCAGACTGCAGAGTCACTCATTTGAAATAAATCCATTCCTTATCGCAAACTGCGCTAGTGCTTATCAGTTCAAAAAAGTTACTGGCCGTCAACGTCCTCTTCGACGCCTCGAACAAAAAATTTCGGGACGCTTGTAGGCCATCGTGAGTCGATAGTCGTACACAATCAGTACAGCTACTCCTTGCTGGCAATCATACCATTGAAAGTGAGCTGCAGGTCTTTATTCAAGTCCTTCAGCTACTTTGTCATTCCACTCTTCGGGCTCAATCGGAGCTATCAATCCTCAAGTCAACATCTTCTACTGAAGTTGTGATATTCCACCACCAACGCTCTCTTCCCACGCTCAACTTTCAAAGTTTCCACCCCACATCATGGCAACCAAACGGAAAACTCCAGCCAAGATTGCGCAGCCTGTCGTCAAACAAAACGCAAAACAGACTCTCAAGGCGAACATAAATGAATCAGATACCGCCGTCTCTGGCGTTGAGACCTACAGAGATGGCTCCAGCGGCGCAGCTGGCGATGTTATAGAAATCTCGAGCGATGCCGACAGCAGCGAGTACGAGCTATCCGACGCTGAGGAGACAGCCGGCGATGCGCCAACAAAGAAGACCAAGAACGCGCTCCCTACATCTGCCAGGAATGGCGACGCAGACAATGATGTGCCTATGGCTGGCGCATCTGGTGAGGATGCCGAGTCGGATCAAGAGCTGGCTGCTCCTACATTTGGCGATCTTGTTCGCGCCAATGAGACGATAGATGTTTCCGCTGCTCTTTCCGCCGCGCAACCGTCAGCTCTGACTGCTCGTGGCAAATCCATAGCGCCTCCCAGCTCCGCCTCTCTTGGCACAGTCCTGTCCCAAGCCCTCCGGACTGACGACGCCGACTTACTCGAATCGTGTCTCCACGCCTCGGACCTCGTCACAGTTCGCAACACCATCCAGCGCCTAGACTCTTCTCTGGCCGGCATACTTCTCACAAAATTGGCTTCGAGGATGCACAGGCGCCCTGGCCGAGCAGGAAGTCTGATGACTTGGGTGCAATGGACTCTTGTAGCACATGGCGGCGCCCTCGCCACGCAACCCGGCCTGGCTAAGCAGCTCAGCGAACTCAACCGAGTCCTCGATGAGCGTTCGCGCGGACTTGGCTCACTCCTTGCCTTGAAGGGTAAACTAGACATGTTGGAGTCGCAAATGCAATTAAGGCGCAGCATGCAACAAGGTACCGGCTCGGACGATGAAGAGGACGACGGCGAGGAGGGTGTTGTCTACGTGGAAGGAGAGGATAGCGATATGGACGTCGACATTGACGACATGGACGTTGATGATGAGTTGGCTGGCACAAACGGCCTCTTGGACGGCGAGGCCTCGGAAGACGACGATGAGTACAGCGAAGATGACGATGAAGCTGACGAGGCCATTGGCGCTGAGGAGCCGGTGGATGAAAACGAGGTGAATCACTCCGATGTCGACTCGTTAGAAGACGAGGATAGCGATGCAGAGGCTGCACCACCGACCAAGAAGGGGCGCAGGTAGATTTGTGATACAGTCGTAATAAAAGTCGGCGGATTCAGGAAGTATCAGAGGAGAGTTGTATAGAAACATTCAGGAAGCGATACCCGCAATTACCATCAATATGCACTGGGCCAAACTTCTATCACGATGACCCTACGTCGCTTGACAGATCAATGAGCGTGATGCACCAAATATGGTATTCGTTGATTTCTACGTTTGAAATTTGGCGGGAGTCGCCATCCATCAATAGATGGTTACGTGTCATGGTCTATCATAACAACTCCCTATGGTCATAAATCTAGGTCTTATGTTATAATTTATATTCGTTTACAACTTGAAGCTATTCATGCAGATCCAGGCGTGCTAGACTGGTGGGGATCGTGGAGAGGTGCCCAGGTACCAATTGGCGAATGAGACACCGCGCATGCAGGTCATGATACCAGTGTACGTACTGGGCCTGACACTTACAGTACCGCGCACTCTCGGCACCTAACAAGCACCAGTGAACTTAGAGCTCCCCCCGCTAAATTGATTTTCGGCGCGTTACCCGGCCTGCCACCGCGTCTGCTCTTCACATTGACCTTGGAATTGCTCGGGTCTTCATGTTTTCATCTGTATGCGCAACCTTGTACGTCTGTCGATTGTACTGCAGGTCTTGTTTGCATAATAAGAGCTTTCAATTGCTAAACGACTACCCATTTTGATCCCATGTCATCATGGTCGAGTGCCCGATCTGCAGCAAACAGGTCCAATCGGTGAAAATCAACGATCACATCGACTCACAATGTCAGGACTTCGTCATTGATCCTGCCGCTGCCGCGCCGGCCTTGTCGTCACCGGCCGGTCCGGCACCCTCCACCCAGAATACCTTCTTCTCCTCCCAGAAACGACCAGCATCAAGCTTCTTCCAGACCCCAGCCTCAAAGAAGCAGGCGACACCGGCAGCTCATGGGATAGCACCGAGAATCCTCCTCCCAGTTGTGAATGGCACCGATGCAGCAAAACTCAATGGAGGGCAAAAGCGCAGATTTGATGAGGGACCAGGGCAGGGCGAGGACTCACCAATGCCCGATATCAATGGGCAATCGGACACAGTCGTCGCAGAAGAGTCGGGCAGGGTGATCAAGAGGACGAAAACGAGCAAAGCAGCACCCTTGGCAGAGCGTATGCGCCCACACAATTTCAGCGATGTTTTTGGACAGGAGCTGGTTGGGCCTCACGGTGTCTTGAGGTCCCTGATTGAAACCGACCGAGTCCCTTCAATGATCCTCTGGGGTGGCAGCGGGACGGGCAAGACGACCATTGCCAGGTGCATAGCCCACATGGTTGGATCTAGGTTTATCGAGCTGAATGCAACAAGCTCCGGGGTCCAGGAGGTAAAAAAGATCTTCACCGAGGCGGAGAATGACTTGAAGCTTACGGGGCGAAAAACCATCATCTTTTGTGACGAGATTCATCGGTTCAACAAGGCCCAGCAAGACGTGTTTCTAAAGCCTGTGGAAGCGGGCACCATCACTCTCATAGGTGCCACGACGGAGAACCCAAGCTTCAAAGTTGTGAATGCCCTGCTATCTCGTTGTCGGACTTTTACTCTGCAGAAACTTACAACCGAAGATGTTGGCAATATCCTTCAGCGAGCTCTACGTACGGAGCAGTCTAGCTCGTCCACCCCGCCTTCGCCTTTATTAGACGATGAGCTTCTCGCATACCTTGCAAACTTTGCTGATGGTGATGCGCGGACTGCTCTCAACCTACTGGAGCTGGCCATCTCCTTGTCAACACGAGAAAATATTACGAAATCCGATATCAAGGCATCCCTTACCAAAACGCTAGTGTACGACCGCGCAGGCGACCAACACTACGATACAATATCTGCCTTTCACAAATCTGTCCGTGGCTCAGATGCCGATGCAGCACTCTACTATCTGGCCCGGATGTTGCAATCTGGAGAAGACCCCCTCTTCATTGCCCGGCGTATGGTGGTTATTGCATCAGAGGATGTGGGACTCGCAGACAATAGCCTCTTGACCCTGGCCACTTCCACCTATACGGCGACCCAGCAGATTGGCATGCCTGAGGCCAGAATTCCTCTTGCGCATTGTGCTGTGGCTCTGTGTCTGGCGCCCAAGTCGACGCGCGCGTACAGAGGACTGAACAATGCATACGCGGCCTTGCGAGAACCAGGCGTGGCTGGTCTGCCAGTGCCGATACATTTGAGAAATGCGCCTACGAGGTTGATGAAGGACCTAGGGTATGGGGCCGAATACAAGTACAACCCCAATTACAAAGACGGCAAAGTCAAGCAAGAGTACCTACCAAATGATCTGCTTGGCAGGAGGTTCCTGGAAGACAGGGACCTGGGGACGGTTGTGGATCCGGACCTTGTAGAGGAAGGCTGACGGCTGAACATTAATCATTGGACAGAATAAGGGAAATCTGGGTATTGGAAAAGGCCTCAGGTACCCAAGAGAAGGTACTTGAGTTACTCTGCATAGCAAGGAAGGTTCGCTTGGTTCTACTTGTTTCCAGCACTCGCATTGCGTTGAGAGATACCATGTATTATACGGCATGTAAAAGGTTATGAATATGAGCCAATAAAGGCTAGGCAAATAGTTGTTGTAGGTACAAATACCAACTGACTGGAGGAATTATCATGATGTAATGAAATATTCTTGTTTGTGCATAGAGTGGAGTAAGTGAAATCTTTGTTGAGATAATTGACTTTTGAACTTGGGGTCAGGTGACAAGCTCTTGAGTGATGACTAAATGGCTTTATTCCAAATTCGATTTCCTACGAGTTGGAAAACTTCATGTGTTGTTTATTAAAGTTGAAGTCGACACTTTTTGCGGCAGGTGAGCGTGCAGAAAAGACCCTACAGACAGCATATAAACTTTACGACTACATTCAGACCCTGTTACTCATTGACTAAGGAGCGAGTTGTTAAGCTGTATCCGACAGTTTCGAGTCTGACACTTTGCAAAAGACCCAATTGGCAAGATTAGCCGAGCAAGACCAATTTGAGAACTTTTACTGTCCAGCGCTTGCTGGGTTAGGTTGATCGCCTCCTCGAAATAGTCTTTATGCCAGATAATGCCAAGATTACGATCGCTTGGCATTCCTTCAACACAAATAAAAAGCTCAAGCGGACATGATCTTGCTTCAGATATGATATGATTTACACGCACTACCGAAAAATTGTACATTTGGCTTGGTTGAAGTTGGAGAACAATTGTGGAAAATTGGTGTTGAAGTATGACTTGAAATCGAGCTAATATTGCATATACTATATAGACAAGGGGGACTCATGGAGTGTAGTAATGTACACATGCAGAAGTAATGTGCTGACATGCTTATGACATGGCTATAGCATAGTTCATGGAAAATAGCTACAGATGTATTTCTATCAATCAAATTCAAATTTTGGATAACGTTTGCAGTGTTTTCAAAATGCCCGTACTAGCTTGGTTTAGGCAGACCTCGTAGGTATTTATATAACCGGTAGTGACAGACTCAAGAATGCAGTGAGAATCTATATTCTATGCGAAGGCCCATTTCGGTACCTTGATTCGCAGACGGCCGCCTCGCAGCAACGGCTAAAGTGCCGTTCAGGCAAAGTTCAGACTACTCAACACTCAACATACGCAGTGGTGTGACAGATACGTCCGGTCGTATTGCAATGATGTAGGCCTCCAATATACCGTGAATGTCTCCATTCCCCCATTTCATCTCCATATTTTGAGGGCATGGAGATTCAATTAACAGGCTGAGAAAGAAAAGGCGGCAGTGCATGCATCGATGACTTGTCAAATCCGGGTAGCCGGTCGGCTGTGATTGGCTGAAAGTGCGATGAATTACGAGATTTCTTGGCACGTGCACTGAGGTCCTGTGGCTTGGGCTGGACTCTGGCTTGTCTGGACCATTGAAGCCAGACTCGTCTCGTCCAAGCGAAGTCCCTTTCGAACAGCCCGACCAAAGAAAGTGCGAGAAATTCCAGCTCGGGTCGGCACGAACAAACATGGGGGGTTTTTACCGTTCGGGCTGTGTTAGTTTGGTCCCTTGTTTCAAAAAGATAAACTACTTTTGCAGCACCCCTATTTACCCAAGACAAAAAAAAAACCCCCCCCAAAAGTATATAAGGCGCCAAGCAAAGGCTCTGAATAGTTTCCGTCTTGGCTTTTCCCGGCAACTTTAAAAATTACTATAAACGCAAAGCACCATTGCGGCACAGATCAACAAATTTCACCACATGTCTGAACCAACCACGCAGTCGCCCTCAGCTGGCGACCCACCGCCTTACATCTTGGTCGAGGTACCCCAGGGCACAGCGCCGGAGCGGTACGTGGTGTCGGACGAGGTCAACAAACCCTCGCTTGGATTACCGGCGCTGCCTACACGGCCGCTCTCTGCTCCTCCGGCTCCGGTGCCCGAGGAAAAGCCAGCAGCAGGTCAATATGCCGCGAGCATAAGTAGCGTACCAGGCACAGGCGGCAATAGCACACCGACTAGCCCGGTCCCGGCGCAGTCTCCAGACGGGACGAATGGCGAGGTGATAGTAGGAGAGGAGGAAGCCGAAAAGTCGAGCCACTTTGCCAAGCGCTTCATGGGCAACATGCTGGTGGCGCGCCTGGGGCGAGCGGGCGTGCAGTCGGTCTCGTCCACGGTCAAGCTGCCGCTGTACCTGTCGCCGTGGGGCGACAACAACCCCTTTGTGCTGCCCAACCTGCGCAAGCGCGACCTCGCGCTCGCCGGCGTCATGCACTTTGGCGCCGACGCCCTCATCGGCAGCTCCCTGACCGCCGTCGAGACCGTCGTGGCCCACGGCGCCACCTGGACCGCCGAGCAGTCGGTCGACCAGGGCTACGACAAGCTGCGCGGCGGCAACCGGCCCCACAGCGTCAAGCGCACCGCCGGCTTGACCAGTGTCGAGATTCGGATCAAGCACAAGCTCATTGGCGAGGAAGCCGAGCTGCGCTTTTTCGAGTCCAAGGGCACAAGGAATGCCCTCAGCTGTGCCAAGGGTTGGTTCTGTCCTTACCTGTACTGCTCGAGCCGCGTGTCGCAGCTGTCGAGGTTGAAGGATTTCACAGTGGCCGAAGTCATGGGTCCGGGATTAAAAGGTAGGTTATTGCTGATGCCGAACATCAATAATTTTTGCTACGAGTGCTGACTTTTGGGGGAAATAGCCGATGCAGCACTTGCACCTACATTGCTGTCGTGCATCACCAACGAGGACGCACCCCTGTGCCGGCTAGACGCTGGAGAGGACGCCGGGACCACTAGTACAAACTACAAACGGTTCGCCATATTCTTCATGGGCATGTCGCCGTACCGGACAGCCTCCACGTGGTCGCAGGCCAAGGTGCCGGGTGAAGCCCGCATCCGCTTCCACCTCCTCACTCATATTCCCGCCATTGTCGTGCCTATCAAGTCGGCAGCTCCCGTATGTGCTTGGAGTCCCTGGACCCTGGACCAGATGGTGGGGAGCAAAGACGGGTACACGGCGGATTCACACCGCGAGGAGATTCTGCGCTATTTGGACACGGTCATTGATGCCACATACATGAGGGAGCAGAGCCAGCAAACTTGGCGGCAAGAGCTTGGGGCTGCCCTTGATCAAATATTGGCTGGCACAAGGAACATTTCGTCGACTTTGGGATCCATAGCCGATGCATTTGAGAACGAGTACGGTGGTATTGTCATGTTTAGATTCTAGAGCATACATCTTGTCTAGACTTTCATACATTAAACTAAATAAAAAATCCATAAAGGCAGGAATCCATAATGCAACTGCCGTTCTATGCCCTCTACCAATCTATACTGTATTCTCCAACCATTCGCTGGTATTTCTCGTGGCCAATTCTATACCGCCCGCTCGTTTGAAATGACTTGAACTCTTTAAAAATCAAATGATCCACCCAGATAAAAGGATTAAGAAAAAAAATTACTCGGCCTTCTTGGATGCCTTGGTCCTCAACTTCATGAGCGCATACACCAAGGCATACGAGCTAAAGGCAAAGAGAACCACAATGCCAGCATCGCGCCAGCCGTACGAGTAGCTCTCGAGGTTGAGCGTCTTGAGCCAGTCGCTGCCGTTGCTGTACTCGCACACCTTGCAGGCCGACGTGTCGTCTGGGTTGATGAGGTTGCTGGCCGAGCCGGCGCCCATCATGTAGTTGGCCAGGTACTGGCCGCACGTGGTGCCGTTGGGCGGGTCGAAAATGGCAAACTCGCTCTCGGCGCAGTTGACGGGCGTGCCCCAGACGTCAAAGACGAGCATGCTTCCCATCAGGTAGTTGAAGGGGTTAAGGTAGTCTAGGAAACAAGAGTTTTGTTAGCGAGTTCGACTCTTAAATAGCCCGGTGAGGTGGGTTTGAAAAAAAAGACTTACACATCCAGTACTTCCAGAAGACTGTCAACTGTGAGTAGGGAACCAGTACACCGCAGAAAGACACCAAGACACCAATGATGATGGGGTTGACGAGCGAAGCGAACACGGCGTTGGGTGCGTAGGCGGCCACAAACTGTCCGATACCCGTGTAGACGAATTCGTACATGAGCATGACAAAGAATGTTGCGCCGGCGCGGTCCGAGTCGGTCGGGAATCCCACGGTGTAGTACCAGCAGACAAAGTAGAGGACGGCGCAGATACAGAGGTAGGGAAATTCGGAGACAACGAGGCCAGTGACGAAAGCGACCCACGAGTACATCTTGGACTTTTTCTCGCGAGTCTCAAAAATGTCGCGGCGCTCGATGAAGAGAGGCTGTAGCTGGTTGATCACACCAGGAGCTACAAAGACAAAGTTGAAGACGGTGAAGAGGCGCATCTGCAGATCACCGACGCTGTCGCCAATCATCCAGAACGAGAAGCCATTGAAAAGTGCCGACGTAACGTGCAGCGTCAACTTGTTGTTGATGTAGTCGGTGTTGCGGAACAGAGCCGTGTTCATGCGATTGCTCACGATCCGGATCTGGGACCACATGGGCATGGCAAACTCGTGTCCGTCATCGAGGGTTCCCGGAGGCTTTGCTGCCGCGTCGCTGATCATGCGATCAAGTTCCTTTGTCACTGAGGTGTGCTCCGGCGAATCCAACCAGACCTGATTCCAGTTTTTGCCCTGAGAGAGATGGCCAGAGACAACGTCAATCATGTGTTCGGCAGGGTTGGCTTCCTCGGGGCACGGAGCACCGTATCTGCCAAAGTAGTCCTTGATCGTCGCGGCATTGTCGCCAATGTCACCAAAGTAAACCGTCTTGCCACCCTTGGCAAGGAGCAAGAGTGTATCGAATTGAGCGAAAAGCTGTGCAGATGGTTGATGAATGGTGACCAGCACAGCCTGGCCGACGTCGGCAAGCTTGCGCAGGAAGCGGACAGTGTTAAAGGCAGACTGGCCATCTAGACCAGAAGTTGGCTCATCCAAGAAGATCAAAATGCTTGGCTTGGAGACGAGCTCAACGCCAATCGTGACACGCTTCCTCTGTTCGACCGTCAAACCAGCACCTACATGACCAATCAGAGTATCGGCGAGATCGTGTAGTTCGAGAAGATCAATGATTGTGTCGACATACTTCAGCTTTTCCTCGCGGGGCACATCACGGCTTTGTCTCAACAAAGCAGAGAACTCCAATGCCTCCCGAACCGTGGCGAAGGGCTCGTGGACATCAAGCTGCTCGCAGTAACCGGCTGATCGCTGGAAAGAAACTGGCAAAGGACGACCATCGACCATGATGGAGCCGTGGATTGTTCCCTCGGTTTTGCGCTGAGCAAGAACATCCAACAGAGTCGTCTTACCGGCTCCAGAAGAACCCATCAAAGCTCCGAGCATACCCGGTTTGACCCAACCCTGCACATTGTCCAAAAGCGTACGGTCGCCCGATGGTGTCTTGACCGTGTACGAAAGATTTTTCCAGGTGAAGATGGATGTGTTTCTCACGAGATCACCAGCGGATGATTCCTCGTTCTCGGTGGTTTCTCCGCTGCGATCGGCGCTTCTAGTCATGGTCTGCTTTTCTGATACCTGAGATTCCGGGTCGTTGTTTAGAGCGCGCGACACCTTGGCCCTCTCTCGAGGAACGAGGAGCGATGGCCCAGCTTCCGAAGCCGAGCGCCAGCGAGAGGTCATGAAGATGGTGATGGCGACAAAGAGAACCCACCAGGCCCAAAGGATACCAAAGTTTCTCCAAAGGTGAGAATGGCTGTATGACAGCGAGGAGAGGTAAGCATCACCATTTACGGTGGTCTCGCCTTGTACCGCACCACCTACACCAGTGCAAGACATGTGGGCCGGGTCGTCGTAGCCTTCTCCCAAAGGCACGATATTAGTGCCCACACAGGGGATAGTCTTGCCGTGAAACTCGTTGGACATGAGTGCGTCAAAGCCGTAAGCCATGGGGTTGAGCCAAAAGAGCCATTCGAACCAAGGGTGCATCTGAGGCTTTGTAATCATGTAGCCGTTATACCTAGCATAGGAGTTAGTATTCTATCTGCAGAATTCGTCTGAACACATCTGTTGTAAAGATACGTACATTGCAACAATGGAGATGATAAGACCAGATACTTTGGAGGCAGCATCGAATGTTGGGAACGATGCGCCGATGGCACGGAACATTGCTGTCATGCACTGGAGGATGTTAGCTTTCTCTGCAGTCTGGTATTGATATTGCCAGTCTGATCGACTTACCATTGTTGTTGCCAGGAGAAGAACCCAATATGTGAAGAAAGCACCAGCCGACATGGTGAGTCCTACCATAAAGTACAACACCAGAGAGAATATCGATATCTGAAACAAAAGGACCGGGATATCTGCTGCAATTTGTGCGATACAGACGGCAGCAGGGTGGAAGTAAGCAAAGTGCTTGTGCTTGACAAGGACAGGACGACCAGCAAAGGAATCCGTGACCTCGGACATGGCTAGCAGCGAGTTGAAAAGAAGCGAGAAGAAGATGGCGCCCGACTTGATGAACAGGCCGCCTGAGTTGTTCGGCGCATTGTAGAAGAGAGAACCCGAGATGAGGGCCTGTGCCAAGACAGAAATCTGGGTGCCCAGGAAGGTGGCCTTGTCACCCCAGAGGATCTGGTACTGACGAGTGACGCAAGCCTTGACTTGGTCAACGAAGGCAACTGTATTGGGGCTTCCGGCGGGTAGTTTGTGGCTCTTCTCATTTGCCACGCCCTCTTGAAATAGTCTTGTCTTCTCCTTTGTTTCCTCTGATGTGTGAAGATCATACTCGGTGATCATCTGTGCGTGTATTGGTGATTCCTCGTATTTCGCTCGGAGGGTATCGGCGTCTCTGGGGAAAGTGTTTTCGTGTCCTTGGCGAATCTGGCGTTCCGTGGGCACGGTCACACCAGTCAGGAAATCGGCCACATTGGCACCGTCCTGGCAAATGAAGCCAAGCTCCTCCATGAACGGTCTAGCTTCCCTCATCGGTCCGTAATATACCTCTTTGCCGCAGTCCAGGACAAGGACCTTGTCAAACAGGTTGTAGATGCCGTTACCAGCTTGATAAAGCGTGACGATTGACGCAAGGCCAAGAACATCAGTCATGGCGCGGATGGCTTTGACATATTCCAGAGCACTAGTAAGTGTAAGCGACATTATCTTGCAGTGTACACGTCCGGAAGATGGAGAGTTGCGACATGGCGATATATGAAAGGCTGTGGACTTACTTGCTGGCATCGAGACCTCTGGTGCTGTTGTCCCAGCAGAATACAGAGCCCTTGGTTGCCAAAGTTTCAATGATGGATACTCTTTTACGCTCACCACCAGATACACCTCGAACCTGAAAAAATCGTTAGCATAAGCCAAATGGGGATCAAAATCTCAAGCCCGTCATCACATACAAACTCATTTCCAACTTTGGTGTCAACAGTGTGCTCAATAGCCATAGACTTTAGCAAGAGATCGCGGGTTTCACAACGTAACTCCTCAGTAGAAGTCACCCCCTCTGGTAGCTTGGCTGGGACTTTGAGCTTGGTCGCAAAGTCCATGGTCTGGCCGACCGTCAAAGTAGGAAAGAAAAGTTCCTCCTCTGTGTTCATGACGATCTGGCCTCGGTATTTATTTGCCTCCTTGTGGTTCATCGAGCCGTAGTGGACATCGCCGGATACTGAGGCATAGCCATCTCGTCGGTTTGATAGAAGACTGAGCAGAGTCGTACAGCCAGAGCCTATGTAGTGTTTCGCGTTAGTTTCTCAAGTTTGACCTTCATTCATCATCAGCATCCGTCAGAGATCCACGCACCAGGTCGGCCGAGAACCAGCAACATCTCTCCAGGCTTGACGCAGCCATGACTGTTGTCCAAAATCGTCTTCAAAGGAGGCTTGTGTTTTGACTCGCGGATGAGTTTCGGCAAGTTGAATTGGGATGCCACATTCTCGTGTATGGCTGCATCGGCACTGATAGCTTGGACTGTGAGGTTCTTCCAGGTGACTCCAAGTTCTCGAGCAGGGAAGCCGGACCGTTGATCCCTCTCCCGCAGCTCTACGATCTTTGGTTTCATTCCCCATGAGTTGTCTTTTCCATCGTACTGAGTAGTCTCACTACCGTGGTAGCTTTCCTTGTCGGCCATGACTGCGTTGAAACAAGTCTGCTCAGATCGGTCAGAGCAAAGACTAGTGTTGGGCCGACCACGTTTACGAATATCGTTGTGAGTTGACTTTGCAAAGGAAGAAGCCGGCCATGGGCCTTGTATTATATTATTATTCGTAAGGGACTCTGCTACGGTAACAGTGATCTTGAACGGGCCGAGGGCTCCTTGGCAGATCTAGAATATCTGTTCTGGCGGACCCAACGGAGTCGTATACCCACATCGAATCTCGTAGCCTCCTCCGCAAAACCTACAAGTCGGACCTTGAAGGTTAGCGACGCCGACGCCGCTTTGTAATGCCCAGGACAGACATGACAGAATAGACCCCGACATATCAACGATTAGACGAGATGGGTAAGGTATGTTGGGCCCTTTTACACAGCATCGCCCCACTAAAGGATTGAGCCTCGTCTTGGTTCCGCGGAAGCGAGGATGAATTCGGACTCGGCCAAGGCGAATCAGAGGCTATATCCGTGACTAAACAAAGATTTCAGGCACCAGGTTTTACCAACAGGATGGATATCGGTCCTTCGGAGTTTCTGGAAGCCCCCGGAGGCGATCCAATCAAGGTGGATTGCTCTTGTCGTGGACTGGAGACTGAAGGAGTGCTGAAGGAATGCGGAAGCAGTATTAAGAATATTCCCGCTGAGTCAGCGGCGAGCTTGGACATTGAAAGATTCAAAGGTCCCAGTCAAAGAGTCAAGCGTCGAAACGATTTGGCAGATTAATTGCACTAATGAACTAACTTTGATTAGCTTTAGCGCTGCCTTGTGCAGCCCCTGTTAACGCGTGCTTGTCTGATTTGGCCAAAGGCACTGCCGGCATCCACAGCGAGCTCATCCCTGCAGCAAGCCTAGAAGAAAGACCCCGTCTGTGTCAGTTTACTTCCGCTGACTCAGCGGCGATTTGGCAGCTGTGATCGCCATTCCAATGGTTATGATCGGAGTAACGGCACCAGAAAGACGCCGCATCTTCATGTCTAAATCCGTTTGTGACAGATTCTGCTGATAGAAGAACAATGGTATGGTAAGCAAAGTCTGCTTCCACGGCCAATCATACTGATGTCAGCGGCCTTCAAAAAGAGCAAGATGAGCTCAACGTCCAAGGCAAGAAAGAGGGCTTGCGACTCTTGTTACCGCCGCAAGGTCAGTCGACTCCTTGGGCATGATGACACATCTTTTGTTTTCGTGAAAAAAGAGACTGAAACCGTGTGAGCAAATATAGATCCAGTGTGATGCTGAGTCACCAAAGTGTAATTGGTGTTCCCACCACAGTCTGGACTGTACTTTCAACAGGCCGACACGGGTCAAGAAGACTGCCAAATCCAAAAAGTAAGTAAAGCAATCCGGTCCCAAGTACAGGCGAAATTATCGTCACAGGCATCTGACGCCACATCTTATCAATCAATCAGAGAGCCCAGACCAGAAGGGTTGTCTCAGCGCATCGAAAGACTGGAGCAGTTCCTAGCAAACAAGATCACCCAGCAGCAGGATGACCGCCCCGAGCCCGCAGCCGAGTCGCAACAGTCAGCCTCTTGCGGGTCGTCGTCAAATAGCCAGGTCGACTCCCCGGGCCGCTTAGGTGATCAGGCCTTCTCCTGTCCCGACAGCGCTATTGGATCCTTCGGCAAGCTCCATTTTGCTGGATACCACCTTGGCGAGATCAGCTTGGGCAACGGCGTGCCTCTCTTTTCTTCTGGTGGAAGGCGATGGATTGAATCCCAGACGGGTCAATCACTTGGTTTCGCTCAGCTCGACCTTCCTCTTTGGCATAATCATGATCGCGACCATGATGCCTTTGCCTCTCCATCAGACACCGAGTTACCTGACCTGAAGGTAACCGAAGAGTACTACAATTTCTTTTGCAATGGCCATATACGGTATGTATTCCCCATTGTTGATACAGAGCTCTTCAAGCAGACTATTGCTGCCGCATACGAGCCTCCTGGGCGGGGTCCAAGATACCAACATGCTCGAGCCAAGGCCTGTGTCCTCTCCTTTCTCAGCATCATTAGTTTCATGGAGCCATCGGCCAATGTGACGCCTGTGGACTGTAACGCTTGCGCCTTGAAGGCACAGTATCTCCTCCCCCAAGTAATGGTGGACACAAGCCTTGATGGACTTCAGATTGCCTTCATGCAGGTAAGTACCTTCTTGGAATGTTTAAGAGTAGCATGGGTTCCTAAAACAATATTGTCGCTAGGGCATGTTCAACATGTTCTCTGGTCTCTTTGAAAAGGCAGTCATGTTCCATGCCTTGGCTTGCCGCATAGTCTTGATACTGGGTGGGCACACTCAAGCGATCGATCCTTCATCTCCCCGACCGGACAGCGAGACGGAGAATTCCTGGCGCATCAAGTGTCACATCCGCAAATACTTTTGGATGTGCTACTCGTTCGATAAAGACGCGGCGATCCGTTCAGGTCACCCTCCTGCTATCTCAGACGAGCATTGCAATCTCACCTTGCCCAGCCAGTACTCTGATCCAAATCAAGAGCTACGAATCGACTCGGTCGGGAATCCGTTTCTGCCAGGAGACTTGCGGCTAGCTCTCATCAAGTCAAAAGCTGGCAGGCTTCTGTATTCTGCACAAGCCTTGCTAAAGTCGGATGCCGAGCTGCTGCGGGATATCCGTGAGCTTGATGATGAATTGGAGGAATGGCGAATGGCCATCTCCCCATCATATCGCCCAAGCCTGTCATATCGTGAGAGCGATGGTGGCATCAACCACAATCTAAGCGTGTCTGAAAAAATGCACCATATCATTACAAATTTCGAGTATCATTATCTGGTGGCCACCATACACCAGGCCACAAGTCGTTGTAGGTCGTGGGACAATCGCGACAGCGGCGAATCGGAAGGCGTGAGCTCTAGTCTGGCCTTGTCTGTTGAAGCAAGTCGGTCAACTCTGCTTTATTTACGTACAGCTGTGGAGGCATTGGCAGGAGAATCATTCTGGTCAGTACTACACACTATCGTGGTGTCACCACAAACTAATATTCTCTATTAGGATGGTCATTTTTTACCCCATGACGGCGATCCTGACAATATTTTGCAACATCTTACTCAACCCATTATGCTCGAGGGCAAACGAAGATCTCGAGCTTTTGCGGACTGCACCCCATTTCATCAAGAATATTCGCATACCCAGACTGACCGAAAATGAGATCAGCCATATGAAGATGATTGAAGATTTCGTGGCCGAGTTGATCCGGCTTGGGTCGCACGCCATCCTGAAGGCTCAGGGTGCGCAACAATCATTCCCACACCACATATTGTCGCACGAGTCACCATAGACACTGTCAATTACAACCGATACCTGAACATGAAGCGATCGACAAGAATCATTGGCCCCATTCATTTGCTTCCATCCATGCCGTGTTACCGAAGCGCACACCCCCCACCCCCTTTCACCGGAGAATGTAGGCCTTTGCAAATCAAAATCATTCAAATTCGCTTGCATCACGTTGGAGTGAGCTGAACATCTCACAATTGGTTGCTTTGGAACCCTAGGAGCGCAATCTATTCACTCCCCGGTATGACGCGACAGCTATCTTCGAAGACGCCAGGCAAAAGTTCGGTCCATTCTTTACTTCTCGAAAGACAGCCTTACAACATCATTTCTGCAGACAGACGGAAACAGTACGGGACGATTTTGGTTTGAGTTGTGTTGTTGGCATATTTGTTAATGTGCAGCCATCGTTACCTAGTCAAGTCAATGGCACCTCTTTACCGACCGATTCAAACTGCCGACTGCAAGAAGCCTCCAAAAAGGTTCTTGCGGAAAGCTATCCTTTGGAGTAGTCGGTTATGCTGTTCGAATCATTATGGCTCATTAGGGGTTATCTGCAACATTCCATGAACAGCACAGGACTGTCTCAGAAGATGGGGAAAAAGGCTGCCATTGACCGCTATTAATACCTACCTATACGCACTGATGGCTTGGCGTCAGCCCGCCCACGTTTTGGAGTTGTGTCGCCACATGCTTGTAGATTGTACGACGTATGGTGGCTTGGGGCGGAGGCCGTACAAGCACAGCTACTTGGTGGCCACTCTAGGATCTCGGGTTGCGTCGTCTCCAAGCCATTCGAATTCATCGGGCTGCTCCAGGATCTGCATCGAGTACTCCTGAAAAGAAACAGCCATCACCGCCTCTTGCCCCCCTCGTTACATTAGAGACATAGTACGCACAAAAAGACGTCGATCGCTGTCATCCATCGGGCTGACTCAGATTTTCTTCGCATTGTGATGCCACGCCGACCCCTCGGCTCACCCAGTCGTATTCCTTCTTGCCAAAAGAGCTTGCCCTCTGTAAAGTCTGGGGTAACCAGGGTCCGTTGTTCTCCATCCTACTTTTTCATCGCCGCCCTTCCCCACTTCTCCTCGCACCGCATTCTATACTTTTGATGTTTCTTCCATTCGCGCGGCCCCACCGACGATGGTTGGGCATCTAATTGTGAGCGGTTGCTGGACGAACAAAACATGGCGCCCGCCAACAAGACACAACGCGAGGGTCTCTCCGTAGATGGCCAGATTCTTGAGGCCTGGGGTGAAGGGTGGAATGTTGGCGCCATTATCATTTTACTTCTCATTGTATTTTCCAATTACAAGAGGAGAAACACCCTTCACAAGCTTATCCTGCTCGAGGTAGGTTCAGAGTATATTGTCTACTTTGGAGATTCCCCATCTCATGGCTTTGTTATCAGTTGGTTCTTGCCATGGCTCATGGAACTTTCATCTTTGCACCTGTAAGTGTCTGTTCTATCTCGCAGCCATGTGACGAAGTAGTTTTACTGATGCACGAGAAAGGATCCGGTGTATGGCTGGTATCTGAGCAGCACTGCAGTTCTGCTCTTCGTTTCGTACCAACTACACAATGTTATATCGTGGCTCAAGATTCGCCCATTTCTGCCAATATGGGGGAGCCGAGTTTTCATCTTGACCCTGCTCGCAGTGCAGCCATTCTGGGTCGCCGAAGCCTGGTCCAACTTTGAATTCTTCAACAATCTGGGGTCCGATGTCAATGTCAAAATGAGACCATTCGAATTCCTTGTGAGGGACCCGTGGTGGATATTCACAACCTGGAAACTCATACAGACCATTGGAAATACGTACGGTTTCACGCTGCGCGAACTCATCAAGATCAATGCCCGCTTCGCAACCATGCTGGGGTGCATGTTTGTCTCCATTGCCTTTATCCTGGCCGACGTTATCGTGACGTTTCGGAATCTCATGGTCTCGGGCATCAACCCGTACTGGCGATTGGCATTGGTCTTCAAGTGCGCCGCCGACACTCTGTTCCTGGACGATTTCAAGACGGTCCTGGATCAAATCTCGCAACAGTCGCTCAGCCGAGTCGCGCACGGCGAACGCAGCGGCAGCGACGGTCGAACGCACAATCACAGCACGGCGATTCATCCGCTTGACAGCGTCACCGCCACGGTCGAGGTACCCGATAGACCTCCGCCTACCAAGTGGCGGTGGACCCGGCGTGCATCCTCGTCGGCGTCGAACCGGAGGCCGCCAGACGTTATCACGGTCGAGAGGGAGATGACCATGTTTACCGAGCCGAAAGCCTCGCAATCCTTCTCTAGCGATGCACCACTTGTCAATAAGCCGCCCAAGTCACATGCACTTGACAAGAATACAGAAGAGATGGGACTCACGGCACAGTCGCCACGAATGCTTGGTGTGCCGAAAGTAACGGAACCTGAAGTTGGAAAAGAAGATAAGAAGGGTTTTGGCCAATAAGATAAACAGCCCAAGTTGATGAGCTGTGGATCTGTGGCGATTGTCCCGTGATATCCAACCCATGACAGTAAAACAGCAATATCTAGAGGGTTCTTTCAGCAACAGCTAAGTAAAGCGAACATAATATTTCCCTCCAGGCAATGATGCAATCATAGCATCATTGGACGAATTTAAGCTTGTTAAGGTCCCTTCAGGACCTTTTAGCTGTAATTTCGAGTATGACGGGCCAAGTGAGAATATAAAGCTGCCCTCAGTTCCCGCTGGTGTTTCAAACTCGCCCATTTGCCCGCCTTGAGTATAGCTTGCCGTAAAAGCTCCCAACTTGGTTGAAAAGCCTGCTGTAATATTTCTCAGGCCTCCCAATCTCGGTTGCATAATCCATGACCTTCCGGCGGGGCCAGTCAATCGAATACCCGCCGCTAGGTTTGTCAAAGCGGATGTCGGTGTTGTCGACCAGCCGTGAGCATAACTTATCTTCGAGTCTGCCGTTGTATATGGCGCCCATCGAATTGAGCCATCTGTCGAATAACCCTCAAGAAACGTACTATTCGTCATGCGGGGGTCGTCCAGCATAAAGTCTGCCCACATAAATGACATCAGGTCGACTGCGCGGGATGCGTTGCCCGCTAGATAGTGAGCGCGAAGCTCGAAACCAGAGGCAAACGGCGCGATAGTAGTTCCTCCTTCAGGAGCAGGTGCACCGTAAGGACGAATCCATCGCGCAGCGAGGGAATTGGAGATAACAGAGGCGATTGTAGAGTTCACCAGGCCGGAAATAACGGCCCAGGAGTTTCCGTCTTGGGGGGTCACAGATGAAGTGTCCTTGTCCCTAAATAGACCTGCTGCACTATTCCAAAGAAATGGAATTATTGCGGTCTGGATACTCGTGCGGCTGGCCGCCCATTCCGCCACGACAGTGTCGTCATGGACCTCGTTAGCAAGATAAATACCAAGCCCTAAGGTATAGAAGAGGATCAAATTGGCCTAGATAAAGTTAGCGAAGGGCTCGCCTCAGAAAATGGCTGAAAGGGGAAGTTGCCTCAATATTATGACCGCCCATGGACCTTCTCCCCCAGTCGTTACCACTGGTGACTAATGCCATTCCTGTAGAGTCGATTGTTGAGATACTATAATCAAGCGCAAGCTTGAACTGATCCCAGACTTCCTTTATATAGTCCAGGTCGCCTGTAAATATGTAATAGTCGTATACAACAATAAGTGTATAAAGATGATATGTGAAGCTCCACAAAAAGGTCTCTGAACTGTGTCCCTGCTGGTAAGGCGTGCCTGCGTAAGGAAGCTGACCATTAGATTGTTGCAAGATAAGAAGAGAATCAAGAGCATTTCTGACTGCATCATAGTTGCCGGTAGAGACATAAAGCGAAGGCGCTGAAACAACAATGTCACCAGGCCAAACCATACGAGATCGTTTGGGCCCATCCACAAGGACCGAGGTCCCATTGGAGATGACTTTGTCGGCCAAGAACCCCTTCTTCAATGAGTCTCCTTGCGTGGGATCAATGATGCACATCTGGTTGGTATAGGCTCCCGCATACCAAACGCGATTCAGCTTCTCGCTGTCGCAGTGAAAATACCCAGTGTACGCTGATGGATTGGGCGTTGCTGGCTCCGCATTGAAGTTGACTGTCAAGTTGGATATTGCGATTGTACCAGTACTGTTGCTCACCACCGTCAGGTAACGGAAGCCTCCTCTGAAGACATTCTTTTCTGAGGCATGGTAACCTTTGCTCGTTATGTTGAATGCCATGGGAGGATCCCGGCCAGTGGAGCCCAAGACTGAATCACAAAATTCGGGACTAATCCATTGCGAGCTTTCTGTAAAAGTGAAAGCCAGCGAGTGGCTACTCCCATCGAAAGAGTCTACGTTGAAATTGATATTGCCGCCGATCTCCTTGCCAAAATCAAAAGTGACGCTGGTGTTGACGCCTGTGAAGGTTGCGGCATCACCGGAGAGAAGTCGATGTGCTTTTGCGACCGGGCCATTAAGAGAATATACCGATTTGGGGAGCAGGGTCTTTGACTTTGGTGCCAGTATATATTCGCTGTATAAAACAGCAGAGACGCAGTGAATCCAACAGAGTTCAATAAGGAGACGAGATAATCGGTTTACAGTCATCGTAGCCACTGAAGTCTCGAGGAAATATGATACATGAGATCAATTATAGAGTTAAAAGGGCAACGATTCAGACGATCATGGACGAGAAGGTGATCTTATATAACCGTCTGTCCCGCTCTTGCCTCTGCCATAAAAGAGCAAGGCTTGAACGGTAAAAACACATTGTACGATTTACTGTGATCCAAACCCTCATCTAGTTTCCGCACATAACTAAAGCGAGGCGAAATTTTTTTTTTCACTATTCTGAATACTACTTCACGTCAAACAAGAAATATTATCATATCGTAGTATCTTTAATGCGATGCGACGAAGACAGATTTTCTGAACCAAGTCATTAGACATCCGATTGGGGGATAATTTTTTTGAATGAGCAACGGTTTCCCCCGCGTGCCTGCAGCGTCCTCCTAAGCATGTCAACCCGAATGACTAAGCGCAGATGAGTGAAGATAAACCCCAACTGGGGCAGGAAGCCTTCTCAGCACTTCTCAAGCCCCCCAGGCTTTTTATACGATGATAACTTCTCAAATAAAGAATGCTTCTTACTCTCCTTGCTAGCACCATAAGAATATTATTGGAGGATATTAATATTTTAAAAGCTGCACCGCTGTGGTCGTAATCCTGTAATAATCTCTAATCTTTTATGCAAAAGTCTTGTGTTCAAATTTTGTGATGTTCCAAAAAAAGAAAAAGAAAATCTGGTTTCTGTTTTTTTGCCAGTGGGTGGCTCAGTGGTTGGTTTAGTGGACGGTTTTTTGAGGTTATAGCGTGTCTTTAGTGGACGTTATAGTGAGACAAGAATACTTCTCAAATGAAGAAGGCTTCTTGCCCATAAGGACTCCCAGTACGATATGCAGGCGATTGCTCCCTGTTTTTGCAAGCAAGAACTCCGCCCTGAACTCGGTGAGCGGATGTATGGGCTCGAAATGGCTGAAAGCCAACGATTTCCACCTATACGCAGCACATGATACATGGCCAGAATTGCACTAATGGACGACAGTCTTGGCTGGCTTTATTCAGACCGGATGGCACCGAACCACGCAAGCCAAGAAGCAACACATACTGATTTGAAATACATTTACCGCATAGATAACATATAACGTGTTCCTTTTATTATGACCGGGCTCGCGTCAGTATACGCCTTTCAACCAAAGTATTCATAAGCGTATTTGGCCAATTGCATGTACCAATCACGATCATATTGGTAATAGAAGGTACTGTGATCACTGGGGTCATAGACATTGTATCTTTGCAATTGAGCTCCAGGGGCGAATCTGCCATCAACTAGTCACTCGCAAACACTTCACTGAGCTTTACCAAATGACCCCATTTCTTGTCCTGTTGTATCTCAATCACGTCATCCGATGTGACAGCTTTGAACTCATCAATGGACCTCGTACCAAAGTCGTATTTGCGATCATCATGGGCAAAAGCAATGAGGATATCCAGCCACTCCTCCATCAGCCGCAACTCTGTAGGCGTCGGTCCATGCTGAATGGAAAAGTTCCACCACGGCTTGTCCATGGCATGCGACACGCCAAACGACGCGGGCGCCACTTTTTCCGTGATAAACGACAGCCGCTTGGCCACCTGGTACCGCCAAATGTCCCCCAGCGGCACGCCGTGCGCAAACAGGTGGTGCACGAGGCCGCGCGACGGCGCCAGGACCTGGCCGTCGGCAATGATGCGGCCAAAGACGGCGCGCCACGCCGCGAGGTTGTCCTGGTTCTCCGGAGGCAACGTATCATAGTGCTCGAGGATGCGGTCCGTCGTGGCCGGGGCGTAGTAGTTGCCAATCTGCAGGCGCAGGGCGTCGAGCGTGGGCGCCTCGGGCGCATTGTACGTGGCGTACAGGGTCTCCTCGTTCAGGACCTCGCCAATGAGGATGCGCATGCCGCGCCTGGTAAAGTCGGCTGCAAAGGCCCCGTCGCGCAGGTACTCGACCATGCCGCTGTGGATAAAGAGGTCGTCCGTCACGGGTCGGAATGTGTGGTTTTTGAGGTGGGAGATTGCAGAGACCAGGTCCCGCCAGCTCAGCGCTCGCAGCTTGGCGAGTTTCTCGGCGCCCGATGCCGTCTCCGGGATCTTGAAGTAAGCGCATATTTCGTCAAACTGAGGTTGCGACTCGGCCAGGGTCTTTGGCTGTGCCGGTATAGCGTTTGAGATCATGTAGAACCGATGAAAGAGCTGCTCTGCCGCGCCTACACGCGACTCGGCGCCACGGAAGTCGTGGAGGACCTGGGCCTCGACACCATATGAGCCGGCACTACGCCCGCCGAGAGTTATGTTATTGGGGTCGCCACCGAACAAGTCAATGTTCTCCTTGACCCAGCGGATCGCCAGTCGCTGATCCCACAGACCAAAATTTCCAGCCGAAGAACCCTCGCTCTCGGCGTGCAGTTCCTCAGACGCTAGGAACCCAAATATATTGAGCCGGTAGCCAATGGCGACCACAATGGCATTCAGGCCGCCCGTAGAAATCATCTCCGTCGGGTCCATGGTCGCGTCTTGCGACGGGTCGCCGAGCTGGAACCATCCTCCATGCAACCAGAGTAGGACGGGAAGCTTCTGGTTGGCCTTTTCCCCATCCTTGGGCACCGGTGTCCAAATGTTCATGACCAGACAGTCCTCGGAAAACGCCGTGTCACCGCCCTGTTCAGGGTTGGCACTGAAGGAGCCCTGCGGACATACCGGCCTGAACTCGGTCGCATCAAAGGGCCTTTCCTCCCCGTCGCTACCGCCGCCTGATGAAAATCGGTATGATGCCGGAAGAGGTCTTGGTTTCCGCCATCTGTGCTCGCCGGTTGGTGGTAGGGCATACGGAATCCCGGCATAGCGACGGGACTTGTTATCGTACTGCAGCCCTTTGATGGCACCTTTCTTGCCAAGGTCGAGCTGGCACTCCTTGACGTGATATGAGATGGTGACTCCCATTCTTCCAGAAAATTGTATCTTGGTTCAATGACAATGTGAACGACTTGGTCACAGTACATCAACACAAGTGTTGTGTCAATCGTTGTGGACGGGTCACTGGGTCGGATCCCTTCCGACAAAAGGGCGAATAACACTCACTATAACTGACCAAAATTCGCAATATTCCAGGTCCACTTGTACCGGTCGTACATCAAGGACCGACCACGGAGCGAGATAGCAATAGAAGCTGTGCAAACAGCCGATGATTGAAAGGCACGGAACTCGGAAGATGATGACAATGTTTATTATCTAAGAAATGAGATTGGATTGAGATTGGCGGTTCTGGTTCTGGTTGTGGTCTCTTCATCGCGCTGCCCCGACCGAAGCCGATAGTACGGCCTGTAATCGCTGGTTATAGTTGGGGTGGCCGCCCAGTGGCGGAAGCTTGTTTAGTGGCAACCCCTCTAGGCGACGCTCAGTGATTGGCTGAATTAATCGACGGATGGATCTCCAGCGCATTCATTAGTGTCGTGAGAAATAAGTGGACATGACCCCTAGACTTCTGGGCGATGAATTCCGTGTCGGCAGAAAAAGAGCGAATTTGAGACTTGATGTAAAAGCTGTTTAGTTGATACACTTGAATGTTTTGATATATCTATCGCTATTTCAACATTGATGCTTCATTTAGAAGAAATAGGAATTCCTTCAACATCGTATTTGAATAAAAAGAAAATCTTATCATTTCCCAAGATTAGGTCACATTCACGTCTCTGATCAAGAAGGGGGGATTTGAAGTAAGAAGTACAAAGATAAATCGTTATATTGAGATTCAATTGCATTCATCTCGCGATGGCGGTTGCCTCTCTCCGATTTGTTTCAAATCTCAATCACATTTTCTTCTTTTATAATGATAACGAGCTGCCATCACCACCAAACCAATGCGCAGCTACACATCATCCATAACCTTTATTTACAATCTCATACAGTCATAGACGCTGGCTGTTTAGGATGTGTGATCAGCAACAACTACATGTTGTATCTAAAATGAACGTTCTCGACATCCGTCATGTCGGATTCCGCATTCAGACGGCCTTGATGCTCTGCTTCCTCGGCCGACATTCCGAGGTCGCGCACCATGGCATCGCGCTTTCGGTTTTGGCGAATGTCTGTAGATGTATAGAGATTAGCTACTGGTCGCTCCACGTTCTGAGGCAAGGAATCAACCTACAATAAAGCCTCCATATACTCAAGATGACGAACTGTAATCCGTACATGACAGAGCACACGACAATGGCGGGAATGTACTGCAATGGAGTGTCAGCATGCTTTGAGCTGGGCCATGGGAATCACTGTGTGTGGGTATCAAGATGACTTACCCTTGGGGCATCTTTTTCCTGGAATACTTGAGCACCAATGGTGTTGCCGGTGCAGTATGCAATCAAAAGAACTGTAGAAATGACAGACTTTTTCGTTCGACCGGCAATGTTGGAAGGGATCAAAGTCCATGTCACTGTAAATGTCAATGTTATGATATTTATCGCCAGATTTCGACGCAAAGACTACGTACTCGGTGCAGCGACATTTCCGATGGACGTGATAAAGTACACGCCCCATCTTGTCCACAGGTGGCCGGTCTTTGGCAACAGAGCCAGTCCGAGCATGCCGGCAAAGGACGGGACCACGGAGAGTGCAGCAACATACACTGTGATAGTCAATATCTGATTTGAGCGAGAGAGATGCGAGACAAGACTTACTTCGAAGGTTGGCCTTCTTTCTCGTAAGGATACCGGCTGCGGCGAAAACAGCAATGGAAAGTAACTGCTGAGGGATCTTGCCCTTGACTATGGTATCCAAGCTCGAGAATCCAAAAGAGACATAGACCAAGTTGCCAAAGGCCGTGACTCCACCATTGGGAATAGAGTTGATGACGACGAAAAAGAAGACAAAGTAGAGCTGAGGATCACGGAACGAAGCCCGAACCTGATCCCAACGCCACTGCGTCCGCTCCTGGGCATCCGAACCCGTCTGACTGGCGACGACGCGAGCATAGGCAATGCGCTTCTCCTCGGCGCTGAGCCAGCGGACTTCTCGTGGCGTGCCAAAGACGAGGTAGACAATGAACGAGAGCACAATGGTAAGGGAGCCGAGAAAGAGCGAGATGCCTTTCCAAGGCGCCAGCCCCGTCGGGTCCTGCTTTGCTCGCATGCCGATGCCGTAGTTGATGAGACTCGTAATCACGTCCATACCGGCGTTCGCGGTTCCCCATACCATGACGCGCGAGCTGTGTTCTTCTGTTGTGTACCATGATGCCGTAAGTACAAGAAGTGCCGGACTGAGGATATTAGTTGGCTAATCGTTTTGATCGCATTTATGCATTTGACTCACTATGTTGTGCACTCTGAAAAAAGAGCGATTGATTAGCTGATGGATTCTACCCAAGTCCTTCAATCACTTACCAGCAATACCCTGAAGGGTTCGTACTACCATCAACTCTGCAAAGTTTCGGCAAAATGCAATGCAAAGAACAAGCACACCTTGGCAAGAGTCAGCAAATGAATTGACAAGTGTATAGTGCTCCTTCATACCCCAGATGAGCATGGATATCGAGACCATGTATCGAATGTTGACTTTTTGCATGAGATAATTTCCAGGTGCTTCGGCCCTACGAATGCGGTGTTAGATCTCCAATCTCTGTCGTAGGGGGAGTATATGTCTAGAAGCTCAGATTAAAGAAAAAAAAATAATACTTACAAGAGATAGGCAATGTAGAACACCGAACTCAACCCTGGCTGGACTCAGTACCAATTTCAAGTGCAGAAATGCAGCTAGGATGCATCCAACTCACATGAATACTGCTGACCAACCAATCCCGTGTCTGTACGAAGCCCAAAGGTAGCCTGTGTACTGACAGACACCTTGTCGGCATACTGCGTGCCAGACACAATCCACATGAGGGGAAGAAGAATCCAATCTGCTCGTCGAAGTACCTTGGCGTACTGAGCCGCTGTATACTCTCCCTCGGCAGCGTGTACAATGTCGGCAACCACATCGCTTGCCTTGCCATCGCCGCCTTCCTGGATGGAAGGTGCCGCAGCGTGGACGCCGGGCGCATCCTTCATGGCCGACTTTTCTATATCGTGGGACGACATTTTGGAATCCAACTCAAAGCAAAAGACGAGATTTCCTTCCAATGGCCTTGATTTTCAGAATTACAGCATTACGGTCTTGAAGTTTTAGAGTCAGGGAAGCGGCCAGGTTATCAATTGCAGCATAATCGACAGTAATATCTCCAGGATCTTATCGCCACAACCAACACGCAGTCCATTGTCACACGAGTCTAGTCCATATCCTGGGGATGATCATGTCGATAAGCTGGTGACCTGTTCTAGGGGGTCTCGGCCGGAGCTCGGCTGTGTACCGAAGCCAATAGTATCTGGTTTCTTCCTACGGACATGGGTCAAGTATCAATGATACTTGACTAACCCAAGCCACTGGTTCAATTTGACCGTAGAAGGAGTAAAGTAACTCGATAAGAATCTCCCCAGAGCCATCATTTCACCATTTCGAATGATGATACTTTACAGTATCGGTATTTCAAGAACGTCCGCGAAGGATCGGACGCCTCCGAAAAACGCATCCACCGTAAATGTGGCATCTAAGCCGAGTTGGCGGACCGGGGCGGGGCGGGGAACAAGTGACTCTTTTTACCTACCCGGTCTTCATCGGCCGTCTCTCGTCTAGATTGAGTTGCTTGTGTCACTCTACAAAACCCTTGGCGCAGGAAACGATACTTGTTTAGCATTACTTGCATTTTCTTGGTAACACGGATTATAAACGACTCAAGATGAACGACAACGAGACTGTAGCCGCGGTTTTGGAGACCACGGCGACACGCAAAATGAATGGCCATTTACCCAATGCCGTCGATTTATCGCATCACTTGAATTTGCTATCCCGCTCACGACACCCTAGCCCGCTCAAGGATATAATCAAATTCATGGGCTACGATGGCATGATCAGTCTAGCTGGAGGTAAGCAATCCCCTTACCAAGTTTGGGGTCTCAAAGTATTAATTGCAATTACAAGGCCTCCCACATCCATCTCTGTTTCCCGTGTACGATGCATCGTTCACTGTGTCGGCGCCATCGCCAACGGCGGATAGCCTTGAGATTAAATTGTCCAACGACTCGGGGGAAACGCCGCCACTGTCCAAATTCCTTCAATACGGTAAGTCATCGTGCGCCAAGGGGGAAATTGGAGAAAAAGTCCATCAAAAGCTCAAAATTTACAGGAACATGCACCGGTAATGCCGAGTTGCGACAATGGTGTCTCGACTTTACACGGCAGATTCACCGTCCAGCCTACAAGGACTTTGACGTGCTCCTGCACCCGGGCAACACCAATGCCTGGAGTAAAGTGGTCGGCTTGTTGTGCGAAAAGGGTGACTATATCCTGTGCGAGAGCTACACGTACCCATCGTCGCAGGCCTTGTGGATTCCCAATGACAATTTTGCGGCCCCCGTGGCCATGGACGGCGAGGGCATCACGGACACGGCCCTCGAGGAGATCTTGTCCACGTGGGATGCGACGCACCCCGGCGTTAAGAGGCCGCATGTGCTGTACCTGGTCAGTGTGGGTTCGAATCCGACGGGTGTATCGATGGGCTCTGAAAGACGCCGGAAAATCTATGAAATCTGCGTCAAGTACGGTGAGTGATATAACAAACTGGATCACTTTAAGAATCATGCACAATTGGCTCATTCAACGACTGTAGATGTCATAATTGTGGAAGATGACCCATACTACTTTCTGCAATACCCAGAAATTGATACCTCGGGGACTCCCACCGAGTACACCTCGACAAGCAACAAAGAGTTCCTCTCGTCGCTGGTCCCCTCATTCCTACGCTTCGACCGACAGGGTCGCGTAATCCGTCTCGAGTCCTTTAGCAAAACACTGGCACCGGGCCTGCGACTGGGCTACTTTGTCGCCAACCCGCTGTTCACGGAGCGCCTGCTGCGCGCCACCGAGGTCGAGACGCAGGACCCGTCGGGCCTGTCGCAGGCTCTGGTGCTGGCCCTGCTCACGCGCTGGTCGCGCGACGGCTACATTACCTGGCTGCAGAATCTGCGCCTCGAGTACCAGCGTCGAAGGGACTGGATGGTTGCCGCGCTGCGCAAGAGCTTTGACTTGGCGCCCGCGTCCGAGTATCCAGAGCTATCGGGGGCAGAGGGAGGACTGGTGGCTGCAATCCTCGGCCCGAATGGATCTAGAGTCCCCGTCTTTAGCTTTATCGCCCCGACGGGCGGCATGTTCATCTGGACAAAGTTTTACTTTGGTCACAACGCCAAGTATCTGGCGCTCAAGAACGCCGCGGTCGAGGTGGACCCTGAACAGATCTTTGCAAACAAGCTTTGGGCTGAGCTAGCCGAGGAGCGCGTGCTGTTGACGCCGGGATATTATTACCACCCGTGGCAGGGCGCAGACAAGACCAGCACAACTGCGCGTGGCGCTGATCCAGATTCGTCGCACTTTCGACTGGCCTTTTCCATGACTACGGTACGTTTCCTGCCCTTTCTAACCATGTGAGATTTACTGATAATTGTTACAGAAAGACGATATGGAATTGGGTATCGAGCGAATGGCGAATGTGATTCGGAGATCGTGGTCGCCATGATTGGACATGGAAGTATACAGGAGTACCAATAAAAGGTCGATGCGATGGCACGTTATCAAAAGCAATGAGAATTCAGATGGAACGTCTATGTACGCTCTATGCATTTCGCGTCTATGTAATACAATGCTCTAAACTATTTACAAAATGAAGAGAAAGAAAAAAGGCGATGAAATCTTTTCATCAGAGCCGCTACACACCGTTGTCTTTGACGACAGGGAAAAAAGTCATTCCAAGGAAAAGAAACTCTAAGAGTGCCAGTTGACCTGGTGGCGAACCGATCGCTTTCTCTTGCGGCACTTGCTGGTTCCGCTACCCGAGCCGGTGCTGCCACCAGTGGTATCGGTCGAGTTGGATCCGGTGCTGCCGTTCCAGTTGGCAACGTTGTAGGCGGAAATCTTGGCGGCGGCCTGCTCGGCGACAATCATGATGATGGCCTGGGTGTTGCCGGTGGGCAGGTCGGGGTGGATGGAGGCATCGACGACAAAGAGGTTGTCGGTACCGTAAACTCTAGTATCGAGATCGACAACAGCGGTACCGTTTTGGCGACCATCATCAGTGCCCATTCTGGCGCTGCCGACCCAGTGGTCGCCGCTGACCAGAGACGCAGAGATGATGCTGGACGGGGTGGCGCCCGAGGTGGAGTAGCTCAGGGTGTGGGTGCTGTTGCCGGACGCAATGGAAGAGTTGCTCGAGGTCATGTCCAGCAGAGACTGGATAAAGTCAGAGTAGACGGCCATATCCTCATTCGTGGTCAACCAGGGCTTGGTGTTGAGGACGGTGCTGCCCGAGGACGAAATTCCGAGCTCACCACGACTGGTGGCACCGTGGGTGAGGAAGACCTTGACGGTGACGGTGTCGTCGGCCATGGCGCTGATGGTACCCTGGAGGTAGCGAGTTACGCCATCGGTTCCGTTGGCCGACGTCCAAATGTGCATGCGCTGAGCTGCCTGGGTAATGGTACCGGCACCCTGCTCATACAGATCCAGATCTGTCGAGTTGGGCGAAGAGGCAAGGCCAGAAAAGTCAAAAGCCTCAAAAGTGGGTGCGGCTTTGAATTGCAGAGGCACTTGAGCGTGGTCCATCAAGTTGTGTCCGACAGGCAGGTCAATCCAGTCAGCCGAGTCGGGCAAAGAGACACCAGAAGTGCCGCTCTGGACAATGCTGAGAGCATCGGAGCGACCGATACCAGAGTTCCAGAGAACACGAGGAGTGGAAAGGGCACCCGAAGCGAGGACGACCTTGCCGTTGGTGTTGAGGTTAATGATTTGAGTGGAGCCGTCGGTGGCCTGGGTCAAGACACCAGTGACGGTGCTACCGGTCCTCAGAACCTGAATGACATTGGTCTCGAGTCTCAGGGTAAAGGTGTCAAGCTGCTCAGCAAAGGGCATGTAGGTTCTGGCAGGTCCAGCGCGGAGGTGGTTGGAGATACTCCAGGCGGGGCGAGAAAAGACGGCATGCTTCTCATCGGGGCTCTCGATAGAGTCAACCTCGCTCCAGCCCTGCTGACTGAGGTATGAAGACCATGTGGTGTAAGCCAGGTCGTCATAGTGCTTGCCATCGGCAGAGGGCTGCGTGGTACCAGGGTTGCGAGAGTAGAGACGGTCAGCAGCCTCGGAAATGGAGTCCCAGTTCCAACCCGTGGGCCAACGCTCAAAGTCGTGAGCTGGAGGATGAATGAAGTTCAGACCGTTGACAGAGCTGGAACCACCGAGCAGACAGCCAGCAGTTGAAGCAGTGTCAGAGCAGAACTTGGTACCCGAGAGAGTGGACAAGCTGCTGCCAAGAGCGGGCACATCATAGGGAGTCAGAGTATCGTTCCAAGACAGACCCTGGCTAGAGCCGAGAGACACGGTGTTGGCAGGGCCACGCTCAATGAGCAAGACGTTGACGCCGCTCTCGGCCAAGCGCTCAGCAGCAATGATACCAGAGGTACCACCGCCGACAACAATGACATCGTAAGTGGTGTTGAAGGTTGTGGGGGTAGAGATGGTGCTGTTTGAGCCAGAACCCGTGGTAGGAGTGGTTGAGTTGGTCGAGTTTGATCCTCCGGTGGAAGGAGTAGTGCTGACAGCTGACCCGTAAGAAGCCCAAGTAGCATATTGAGCAGACTGAGCGGCAGTAAAGTTGGCAACATAAATGTTGGCACCAAGGTCGTGGTAGACCAAAGCAGTGGACGAGTCAGACGGCGTAGTTGGGTTGGAGCTGGAAACAGCATAACCAAGAGCACCAGTATCGGCCGAAAAATCAAAAGTCGTAGAGCCTCCAATCACGCAGCCCTCGCAGACAAAAGTGTAAGACAAGTGCGTGCTGTTGATAAAGGTACCATTGGCAATGGGTAAGGCCGACAGTGTCGAGTTCGTGTACACGTCGGGGGTTGAGTATGCGCTCGTGTATCGGAAACTGGACACAACCTCTTCTCCGTTGGGCCATGCTACGAGCAAAAGTCCTTGACACAATCCTAATTTAGTGCATGTTCTTGTAGAGAATACTGAGATGAGATGGGAAGATCGTGAAATACATACTGCCAGTCATTCCTGGGCCCATGGCCAAGGCACCCCAACCAGCTCCGTCGGTCAGAGGCACCACCATCTGACCAATGAAATCGGTAGTGGCATCCTCAGGAATAGCCATACCGAAACTATAGCCAGTGGTAGTGTCGAAATACGTCTGGAAGTCGATGCCAGTGTTGGAATCTGTGTAAGCTGTAGTCTTGACAGCAGCGGCTGCCAGCTGGGCAAGCCCAGCAAGGGCAACTGAGCCCACGAGGGTAGAATGCATCTTGAGTGACTTGTTTTCAAAAGACTGTTTGTGTGTTATATCGATCGGCTAGATATCTTTTTCTTTCTATTTGCTGTAGTTGTGTGAAATGAATGTATATGGCCTTCAAAGGCTTGTAACGAATTGAATGGATGAATGAATGAATGAATGACAAACACCGAACTAGCGGCGATGGTGAAAAGAATGTGCAAGCACCCGGAAAAGATGAAATGGAGAAGAATAGAAGATGAGAGAGTGCAGGCAAGATGACTTGTCTATATATTTCCCCCATTACCTTCAAGACCTTGGTCAGCATGCATAGTAGAGGAATCATTGACTGCTTGTAGATACCCATGACCAGAGCCTCAGGGCCAAGATTCACCTCGGTAGCTGAACCGATTGAAGGAAAAACATCTTGGCATGAAACAAGATGCGCGTATCCACTCAATATGATAAACCAGTTCAGGCAGCTGTATGTAGAGGTATGGAGCCTCATGAGGGACCATGAATAGGTCTTGGTTCACGACGAGCCACTTCCATCTGGTATTGTTAAAGCTTGAAAGGCCGGGCCCCCACAAATCCCTCTATCCATAATTTAAACATCAGGTGAACTTACCCCGGCTTGCTAGCGACTGGATTTTCTCAAGTAAAAGATTGACCCATAGGGTGTTGGGAATGGCAAGTTGCTGATTGGCTAGACGAGATGACTTTTGTTTCACTCATATAGCGACTTGGGTGCAAGCGGCTCTGCTGGCTGATCCTGGAGTGATCCATCGCTTCGGGGCTCGGCTAGGTTATAGGGGGGACAAGATTGGCCCAGCACTATAAACACGACAGCGCCCCTGGGGACCCCCCTGCTTACCCCTTGCTTACCACCCCGGATACATCCTGGCTTGTCGCTTGACATCCGGCATGATTCTAGATCTTTTGACAGTATCTGATCTCATTTGCTCTCCCCTGTGTGGCGTTGATTTTCTGCATGTTGGCGATGCCTACTGATATGGGCGTCTGACATTAATCGAAGAGTTGCGCAGCGTAGGATTGATGGCATGAATGTCGCGTGGGGGATTCGGATTGTTGCGCAGTAGTATAATTGTTTGTCGGCCGATTAGCCTAATCTGTAAATATGATGCCATGATTCCAAGCACACAGATTAAGTGTGCGTGCGTGCATGCTCAGGTATTGTGCTAATAGTGCGCGCGCGTCATCTACAATTAAAAATAGGGAGTCGGCAATACGCTGCACTCAGAAATGGTCTAGATGCAGACTCTGCCTCGAACGACTGCCACATCAAGCGATGATGCATTTCCTTTACAGTGCCTCATGGTTGCACTCTAATCTGCTACCATGTCAGGGGGATCCTATACTTAAGACTCTTCTCCTCGTCTCTGTCAGCTTCCCGCCATTTCTCTATTCCTCCTGCAACTCCATTTTCGTCAACCTGCCAAACTCCGCTTTCAACCAGTTCCACCCAGTTCTCCAGCACACGGAACAACTCCACATCGTGGTTGCGAGAGATGAACGGGTTGACCTTTGTCTGATAAAGCCCGGTGTTGAAGCCCGGTCCGTCTCGACTGTCCAAAAGGACACCATCCGTACTCCGCGCATAGTGAACGGCATCTGTATCCAAGCTACCAGTGGCGGACTGGGGCAGCACCAGGCGGCATTGGTCGTCGAACTCGGCTGAATCAAACCGGGACTCACTAATCCAAAGGCCACAGTCGTATAATGATCGAGCATTAGAGTATGGTCTGGGAAATGGATTGCGATAGTGATCAAATCGAGGAGTCACGGCCTTTGTACCATCGCTTTCCTCGGCTGGAAGAATGAGTATAGGATTGTTGTAGATGCTTTTGTGAAAGTCAATCTTTTGGTACGGCTGCTTCATCAGATCGTCCGAGTTTAGGATACGTATTCCAGGTGCAATGAACCGTAAGTGCGGCGAAGCGGAAGCTACAAGATCCCGAATCTTCCTAAGAAGCTTGAATACGAATGTGGCTCGTGTCGTGGGGAATAATAATGATATAGCTTGATCAATGGCTTTCGGTACATGTCAGTAGGACATTGACATGAGATCTTCATATTTTACTCACCTTGCGCTTTCGCAGGAATGTCATCCGAAATCGACTCAACGCTAGGCATTCGGTCCTGAATAGCTTTGAGTAGGCTTGCGAAAGCCTCAACAGTTCGATCCAAGACTTGTTCACTGTGCGAATGGAGCACCCATGGGCGTTGGGGCTCTATCATCGACAAGAATTGATCAGTCTCGAAATCTACCTTTGCATCGTCATCTTCATCGTCATCACTTGAACTCTCGTCAGAGTCAGACTCTTCCTCGCCCGCGGTGATCTTTCCGAGTCGGATCATGTCCAAATATCCACCCAGGAGAGATTGCAGAGATATCCAGGGCGTTTGTTCATCATGCATTGTCAACGAATATACTGCCTGTACCCTAAAAGTATTCTGGTTGAGACTGAAGGCATATTTCTGTTATTACACGGAGCTTTTCATGCCAAGACGGCGGGCTCACTCACATGACGCCAAAGGGATGACTTTCCAGGCCCGTGACATAATACAGACGTATGATTCCACTTCCAAACATCGCTTCGTCAACGAGCAACTCTGAAGGTGGCGCAAGGCCCGAAATATAGTAGAAAAAGTTGGCATAGCCAGTCTCAAAGTTGCAGAGTTGGGGCTCAATCTCTCGGGCCAATTTGAGAAACTGAATGACTTGGGGAGTCAGTCGTGCAGCGACTCCAGACGTCTCGCACTCTTCCCCATGGCGATCCCACCAGGTGCTGGGAGCAGCCTGCTCAAAGCCGAGTTCATGATACGCAGCCTCCCAGCCTATCTCCAAGATCTCATTATGCAGTTTCGCACAAAGTTCAGGATCAAAGGTGTCTGTTTGGTCCATGGCGAGCGCGGACTTGAATCAATTGAACCAGCGTGTGATAGTGTTTTGAATTTTAGGGTTACTTGTAGACTTGGTTGTAAATGAAGTAGAGAGTCCCGATACGAATTTAAAGGTTATAGCAGAAGGACGCTGTGTGCTAGGCTGCAGGCTGCCCTGACTCGCGGGGTCTAATACCAATGATGTAACTAACTGCTTGGCTGCCTAGAACATAACGTTTTTGGAAGAATCAAAAGTCGTGTGGAAGAGGGGTAAAAACAATCACGTTGGTGTTGGTTGTCTGTATGCCAGCAATGTGCCTGGTACAAGAACTACTCGGATCAATGCATTTAGAGAGCTTTGTTCCTGGTATGGTATATAATGTATAGTCTTAGGCCCTGATCGGCAAAATCGTTCAGCGCCCACATTCGTTATTTCTCGTCGTTATATGCCCACGGAGGACCCGCTGCATATGGCATAAATGCATAGCGTGGTGGTTTGATTACTAGCCGTTGCCTGGTGAAAAGTGTGGGAGGATAACGAATGTATCTTTTTTAATCGTTATAATCCCATGATCCATAATTGGTTTTTATCTAATTAAAAGCTCAGAATCTTCGATTTGGGCATATAACGATGTGGGCAGATAATGCCGCTCGAATCGGGCTTGTTATTTGCCCATATCGTTCGGCGCCCACAACGTTATTTTTCCATAGTAAACAAAGGTGGTACATCACCACGGCCCACTTTTCGTAGTTTTGTACCGTGGGCAAATAACACCGGTCGTTATTTTCTCTGCCGATCAGGGCCTTAATGTCAAGTCACCGTCGTTTTCCCAGGTACATATTGGCATGGGGATCCTTTGGCACAGGCATCCCGCTAGAGATGAGAGTAATATTGGCCATACCATGCATCCTTCTAGGATCATGTCATAAAATTTCATTGTGATGAAAGACACACACACACATATACATACATACATATATATATATATACTTAAAACCAAAAGTCATGTCTAACAATACCAATATTTCGCAAGACTGTACTGTGTTATACTCAAGTATAGACAGGTTGCCCCAGCGGCGGCTTGTGCCTGTTCCAGTGCTGTGGGGCCTACCGATCAGTTCAATGTTGGCTTTAGCTATTATGCCGCAGCACTCTCTGGTATTTTACCGCTGCTTGGGATTGGATGACGGCTGCTCAGATGCACTTTTTGTGAAGGGTTTCCCTGAGGCTCTTGAAGATCGAGTCTATAGTCGTAGAAGTCTCTATCGGCAACTTTCAATGTTGTTTCTGCGTTTGTTATCGTCAGACACAATATGCAAGGCAAAGAAGCCGCTTTGGTGAGCTGCCACCCACTAATCAGATCACCGGCCCGGCGCAACCCGGTCGCTGCCAATAGTCGAACTCAGCGCTACTTGCGCAGAGACCCAATGCGGATCCTGTCAACGTCTCAGCCACAATGACTCTTCAAGTCATGATCTTTGGTATTCTTTGACTTTCTATACTTTTGTTAGACTACATGACTGTCGAAGAAGGCCTTATCCTGGCATCTGAAGTTTCATCCAAGACACCATTCTACTGCAATAACCTGCAGCGATATCCACGTGTACCACGAGCGAGGAATTTGGCTTGTGTTCGTCGGGACAGTCCAGAGGCGTGGGACGGCCTATAAAATCTCAGTCTCTCAGCGCCTGGCCTATTCGTGAGGAGCAACTACTCAGCTGCTGCCACTAGCAAATTGAGATGGCATCTCCTCACGACGGAGCGGATGACGCCGTGCACGAGCTGCTCGCACGAGCCAACGGGCTGCTGTCGGAGTTGTCGACTTTTGCCGTCCATTACAACAAGGTGGCCGACTCGTACAGCGGTGATGGCGCCCATCATACCGCAAGCACCGTCAACTACTTGCGGCAGCAGCTTAAAAGCGAGGTGCAGGCACTCAACGGCATCCTCGAAAAGCACTCGGGCCCAGACAGTGTCATGTCAACACATCGCGTCTCTTCCACCAACCTGCCTTTTTTCGAATCGTTGTGGGCTTACGCCAAGCAGTCCCAGGATATCGTGGCTCTGCGGAAATGGGTTTGCAACGGGCAATTTGAGGGCAAAGACGTTCTCGCCCCGGGCACTCATATTGTCCACATGCCTGGCGACTCCATCCCATCCAAACATACGACAACGCTTGTCGACCTCATTACGGATGGAGGTCGGACCTGGGTCAAAATCGCAGCTACCACTTCAAAACGTCTGCTTTGGGATATGACTAAGCTGGGATGGGCCATAGGCGCTGATGACAGCGACGACGGCGAAGATGCAGACATAACAGATGACGAACTCGAGGATATACCCCTTTTCAAGGCTGCCAAAAGCCTGGCTATCTCAGCAAAAGCTTATCGGATTCGGGGTGCTTCGCCGGCGGTGCGATTGATACTGCCGCGCATCGCTAGTGGGGAGTCAAAAGATGTCGATCTGGTTCTCAACCGGATTCGCGCTTTAGGGATCGAGGTCCTGTGCAGCAACGAGCTCGAGAACCTCACACCCGTTCCTTTGACGGAAGAGATTCTCAATCAGATGGTGCCAAGTCCACTTGCGTCTTTTTCGGATTCGCTAAATATAGATACCTCTATACTCATTGGTCTTATCTCTGACTTTTCCCATTCCTCTGTCGAGAAACAGTCATGGTTTACAGCTATGCAACTGGGCCATCTGGCAAACGAGCAGAAACGGCAAATAGCCACAACATGGATATATCCCGCAATGGGCAGCAGACGACTAATATGTACACCGGAAGCTGCGAGTACCTGCAGAGAGATTGTGACTACTATCGGAACCCCATCAGAGGTTGCGCGGTTGAATCTTTTGCTCTGCGAAGATCAAACTATATCTCGCGAACAGCTGGTGCAGGACTTTCAAAAATTATCAGATCACGAAGTTCCGTAAGTACCCATGATTCTTTCTCTGCAAGTTCTTTTTCAAAAACAGCGTCAAGTTGGATCAATGCTAACCTGCGCGGTGAAGAGCGGATTTGCGACTGCCCGTCAAAATCGTAGACAATACCCCCAATACATCAGACCTCCCATCTGAGGTTTGGGAGGCGTTGCGAGATGTGACAGAGCCGACGAAATCAGTCTTTGCTTTTGGTTGGGCATCTCACTATACAACTCTGACCTCGAATGGTGCGGGCATTACCAGTCTCACCAAGAACCTCGAGGACATGAGTTATCAATCGAAGTGGCCATCAGTTTGGCTTTGTCCATTTAGTCGGTCTTTGGTCGGAGTACCCAAACATCTTCGCGATGGGGAAGAATGAATTAGGTTGCCGGCGGTGAAGCAAGAATACCAAAGGGGCAGTCGGTACTTATCAAAGTCGGTACCAGAGCTTGCACACAACAGTAAGACGGGTATTGGAAAGAATCAATTCAAAGCGTTTTCTATTCGGTAAAAAGAAAAAGAAAAACCCCCCCGGTGTATTTCGCAGCCTTGCGTGATGATCCTTAAACCCCGTATGAAATAAAACATGTACCCTTGACCTGAATGATTATGAATCCGGCTCGCAACAGAGTTACAAGCTTAGTGCATGCTTAAGTCAGGAGATATCAGTCTTCTTGATTCGCAGCAGCCAAACGCTGTCTCAGAAGGCGAATGATGGAGTAATATCGACCTTTGAGAGCACATCCCAATGCTTTTTTCACTTCTTTGAGACGTTTCTCATGCGGAAGCAGCAGTGCAACCATGTCCAGGCGTCCATTCTCAGCCGCAAGCGACAACGAGCGATCACGGCCTGATAAGGTCGCGCCTGCTGCCAATAGAACCAGTGCTATGGGAACATTCCCTTTTTGAGCGCTTGGACCCAATGGATTTTGGAGCATATCATCATCCCACGTTACATGGTCTTTGTTGAACCAAACATTTGGATTTGCTCCCTTGTTCAAATGGAACCGAACGAGCTCGATATCACCAGAGATGCAGGCATAGACAAGTTCTTCGGAGCTGTTGTACTTTGCACCATGGGCGAGAAGTAGTGCGAAAATTGCCATTTTAAGCTCCAGGTTGATCTCTGTGGACAATAACACGGTCCTGAGCAGAGGTTTTTCATAATAGTCGTCATTGACTTTTGCTCCATTTTCAAGGAGCATTTGGATCAGTTGCAAATTCGGTCTGTCACTCGTTGCAGCGTAGGGAAGTAATGTTGAGGAGTTTTCTTTAGGATCAGCGCCATTTTCAAGGAGCATTTGGATCAGTTGCAAATTCGGACTGTCACTCGTTGCGGCCCCGCGCAGTGATCTTGCGTAGTTGGCTTTCGGATCAGCGCCATTTTCAAGGAGCATTCGGATCAGTTGCAAATCCGGCTCAGGACTCTCTATGGCACGGGAAAGAGCATCTGAGGGATTGTGCCCAGGCTTAGCGCCATTCTCAAGTAAGATTGTAACGAGCTCTTTCCACCGGGCCAATTGAGAGTCGTATGCATCTAGGTAGAGATCAACAGCCACATCTAGTACGGTCTCGGAGTCGTCGATCTGGCAGTGAATGTCAGCTCCTCGGCGCAGGAGCAGCTGTACCATGGAAATGTCGCAATTTCGAACGGCGGCTTCTAAGGGCGGCTCGTCGTACCACCTAGATAGTTTTGGATGGTCAACCTCGTTCCTTTTTCGACACCGCTGCGGATTGATATCGAGGCCTTGATCCAGGAGCCGTGAAATATGGTCCTCATTGCTTTCAAGATAGATCAACAGAGCCAGGGAGGGGCTGCTCTCACGCAATTCACATTGTTGAAAGAGCGCAGTCGAAGGCGGTTGTGTGTACAATGGATATCCGCGATCGCTGAGCCACTGCGCAAATTTACGAACTTTATACATGGATACTCGGTCCGAGACAAATTGAGTGATGATGTCATGAATTGACATGCCGTTGAGGACTTCATTGAGTCCATGCGTTATGAGCCATTGGAGCTCCGTTGTCGTGTACCGCCTTGGTAATTGCTTGTGCTCCAAAGGCTGCAGCGGAAGAATTAGTCGACAACCATGCTCATAAAGTAATTGATGGATTCTTGTATCGTCACATCCGCCACTTTTGATTTTCAAGAGGTCGACGGCTCGGGGGTCCACTCCAGCTTCTAGGCACAGCTGAACTTTTGTGATCTTACCCTCCTTGCAGAATTGCTCGAGCAAGATGGTGCCAAATCTTCGTATTTGGTCCGGTCTCAGTATGGGTAGCATGTCCTGTATATGCTCACATATTAGTGTAGTAGACATGGAGTCGTTTGTTTGATCTTCCATGAGGCGATCCAAAATTTGTTGTACAACAGAAGCTGACAATTCAGCACGATTGCGGAATAGTATCTCAAGGATATCAGAGCGCGTTGGACCAGGCAACGAGAGATGATAGCAGGCTCCTCCAATGTTGACTGCGTTTTGTAAAGCCTTAAACTCCAGCGAGAACCCATTCCCCATCATTGACTCGAAGGCTTGAGGAATCGTCAGGCTTCTTACCAAAGCAACCTCTTCGATACGTTTTCGAGGATGGCCATTTGGATAACATATGGTGGCCATATAGTCGCGCAGGGCGTTGCATCCATCCGCAGCGGATCGCAGGATGCCTGACACAGTCATAACGCCATATGGAACCCGGCTTCGCTTCTGCATTTCTTGAAACAAAACTTCGCTGTCGCGTTTGAGGTATATGGCGTCAAGAAGAGTCTCTTCCGACCATAAAGCCTCTAACTTCGATCCATAACCAGATCTGAATGCCTTATCATTCTGCCACATTGGAGCATCTAGACTTTCTCCCATGTCGAACAATAGAGAAAGTACAGATGATAACACATCATCATCCATCACTCCGTTTTCATGAGCGATGAGAGCATACCCAGCTGCTGTTAGGCCGAAGGAGCGCAGTTGACAATCGGCTTTGGCATTCTTCAATGTCTCAAGAACTTCTAGATTGCCTCTTGCTGCGGCTTCCATGAGAGGGAAAGTCTTCACAGTATATTCCCGTTTCCATTCCCGTGTCCTTTCCCGATCCAAACCCATATGCAAGTACCCTTCATTTACCGCTAGACTTGAGAAATTTGGACTTGAATTGTTATCGTCCAGAGAGACTACGAATCGAGACATCTCATTGGGGGACACACCGCATGAAATGATTTTGCGGGCAATTTTGGTGCACCCAAAATATGCTGCGAAGATCAAGCAGCGTGCTCCGTGTAGCTCGACCCATTCGGGGCATCGTAATGATACTTGCATGACTTTTTCGAAAAAGTGTTTCTTGTTGAGATCAAACGACCATTCTGCTAGTGTCATCCACGATGTCTCAATAGCAAAGGATTCAGCCTGAAGGAACTCGCCGACAAGATTATGCGGAACTTGTTCCATGAGGAACAGCAACGTATCCCTTGTTTGATCAAGTCCTGCAAAGTTATTGGATAAATAATAAATTAACAGAGCCAGAATGCGCAAAGGATCAAGGCGTGCGGATATTGTGCCGGAAGAGGGCTGGGCTTGTATGTTTTCAACATCCTCAACTGCATGGCTGCGCCCTGAGACTTCATGTTGATTTGCCTCGAGCGATGAACTGCTCAATGTCCACGTATCAACATTCTGCGTGGGATTATTGCGCGAGACCGGGAGTATGCTATTGCTGTGAGGGAAAGCAGTTTTACCAGGGACTGAACGAAAAAGAAACATTAGATCTCATCGAACTTCAGAAGATTAAACATTGAGGACTCACAAAATCGATGCAGGGTACGACTGAGGGAGTTGAATGGGCCATCTTCTAAGATAGGGTGCCATAAATCCGCCAGTCGAGGATCAAGTATCGCTGCACTGAAATGAGCTGAGATGACTTTATTTGCAGCCACTGCAATATCGACAGTTGGATTGATGATCGCGGGTGTGTTGAATCTCAGAAGTTGAGTTTCCTGAAGAACATCGCTCGGGCTTCTTGACAATGCTGTTGAATCAAAGTCAATCATGTCCAGGTCCTCATTCCTTGGGACATCCAAGGTCAATCTGGACAATTGCTGAGGCACCATTCGCCGAGGCAGGCCTCGAGCGCTCAAGGCCGCCGACTGAGATGACACATCTAGCCATTTTATCTCTACACCAGGTGGCATGGGTAGGTTTGCTGCATAGTCCAGCACTTTTAGCCTCTGGGGTACCATTGACTCGATTGTGGTGGACTTACCTGGATATGAGCGGTGTTTTGTATATCTCGCAATCTCTTTCATGACTTTCCTCTTCAACATCTTCCTCCCATTGAAATACACTTCCCAATTGGTACTTCTGACGCTTCTGATATGCTGGTCGATTGCGACCCATCCTTCAGGATTGAGGTTTTTCCTCAGTCCTAGCAGATCTCGTAGTTTTGTCTCGTAGGTAGACAAACTACTGCTATTAGCCACCGCTTAATCACTGGTTGCTCTCCGGCAAAATTGTGTGACATACCTATTGCTGGGAAACCCGTGGTTGTCTTCAACTTCTGATTGAACTTCCTTCAGCGTCTTGTTCTCTTCGAGATACAGGCGACGAAATAGTGAAGCATGTTGTTGCCAGATGCATCCTGAGGCCATGATTGAAAGCCGTTCAAGTCGTACGTTGCTTTGCAAGGTTTTAGGAGACGTGTTATTTCAGGTAAATCCACTGGAAATTCTAACTTAAGGCTTGGGACTTTCTTGTTTCCTCTTTTCCCTTTTATTATCGCACGAGGCTGTGCCCAAGTTGACGCCTGCACCTGGTCCAGTATCCTTGCCTTGAGAGCCCACAACATGGAGGGTGCCATTTTCTGACAAGGGTTTGTCCAGAATCTGGCAAAATTCTCGCCTGCATTCGGGATTGGCCCAAAACTTGCTGTGTTGCTTGTGGTTACACAGCGGATGGGGCCCTATCAAGCCTATGTGCTTCGTACTTAACCTATCAATGCGCCTCGAGTCGACAGTGCCACGCTCGATTCGCCGACCGTGAAGTGACATAGCCAATTGCATTGGCCCACATGGGCAGCCTGCTTCCGCCCGCTTTGAGAGAGAGCGTCAGTACATTGACATGGTTGTGTAGGACATACGCCGACCGTTTGGCACCCCTCATACGAAGTACATGGACGCAAACTTGTCTGCGCCACAACCGAGTTACCGTCTGGTCGCTGGAGGCTAACAACCAGGCTCAACGCAGCTGATGGGTCTATTTTCTCGCTTTCAGATTTTGACCTAGGCCCTTCATTATACATCTCTGTCCTTGCATTCCTCCAAAATCTCAGTGCCAAAATCTCAGTGCCAAAATCTCAGTGCCAAAATCTCAGTGCCATATCCTAATGACTATAGATTGACTGTCGGATTCCCACCAGTATTAAAGTTGATCGCAATTCCTGCGTCAAAGTCTTCTTGTCTTGTTTTCTGGAAACACTGTTTCACTCCACTCAACAACTCAATACATCGATTTTGTAGGAAGGCTTGCAGTCATACTCAAGAATATCTATACTACTCGAGAGCAGATACCATGAAATGAGCCATCATTGTTGAAAAAGGCTGCAGTTAAAACCCTTTCAATCTAGTTAACAGTGTGCTGCACTTGTGGGATACTGTGCTGCATGCGCACTTTACACTTCTACCTATCTTTGAAACGATCCGGGATATTATCTGCACACTAGGAACTCTGAATCGTTAGAATATAGCGATACTGGGAGCGAGGAGGCGATTGACACCATGCCGCTTTCGGATGAGACCATCGTAGGACTGATCGCTTTGGTCATTGGCGTGGTTCCGATTGCTGTGTGTCTCTTCAGGTACCTCAGGAACCGGCTGTCAATGAGTATGCCCCTCCATGTACTTTACACAGCAACTTGAAACGCCTTGGTTTTCTAACAAGACCTTAACAGGGAATCGAGCACTCACCCAAGCACCTTCAATTGCCGAGGCTCATTTTCAACACTCTGCACCAGGCATCGTGAAAGACCTGGAGGCACAATATATACGGGATAATTATGTAAGCTGCCCATGACTTATCACAATTAACACTAACCTTATACTCTACCTACCTAGGTGAGGAGGGAAACTATTACAGTTCTTCGAATCGATCATTATTCAAGGATAGATACTACTTCCATGGGATGAGCATATTGATTTCGAAACAGTTCAATGCACATCTCATCAACGGCCTGTTTCTTGTTCATCAAAGAATAGATCTTGTACAATACCTTCCTTCATAGGACGCTACAGCCAAATTTCTAGGCATTTCATGACCTAATACCACAAAACAAATTGGAACCCTTTATTGGATAGTCTGAGGTAGTGAGGCTTTAAACAGGTAGAGGGGTGATTGTCCCAATTCACAGCACATCATATTCAATGGAGAAAAACAATTGACCGTGCTCATAAACCTTTATGGTCATAGATGATTACTCTTAGGATTTCATTATCGCTAATCTCATTCATCTCTTGGTACCGCAACAGCTAAACCGGGAGTCCAGGACCCCGCGGGGACATTTCGCCAGGTGTTGCCGACCATGCATGATGACAATGCATGCGGCAGTCATGCGATTGGTGACCTTGGGGTATCGAGTTTGCAGCCACACTCTGGACTATCTATCCACTGTCTTGCCATTCCTGATGTAATACCTTAGCTATTCGCTGAAGATCGCTCTAGATCTTGGACGGGTAGCGAGCCGCTCAGACATGCCGCAGATCAAATCACAAGTTCTTCCGGTATCCTTCTCTTACGCTACACCCACCAGATATGTAGTGTGCTACAGAGTCACGCTGCAGAAATCGGCTGCGGGATGATATGATGATTGCGAACCAGGAAATCTGTTCGTCTGTTTGGAGACTTGCGCCCAGCCGTCTGGTAGTCGGCGCAAGGTAGACTAGATTTTTCTTTTTCATGTCTTATCTGTACGCGGTCATAGACTTGTTCGCCACTCTTGTGCCTGTCGTATGCCGATGTGCAGCTGCTGCATGCTGACCCCTCCTTCTATCTATATACCTAGACAAGCACAACTGCTGAACTTAATAATCTTGTAAATTGCACGTTTTCTTTTGAATTCCCTCGCAATTGAGCTCAAGTTTGACGTGGGATATCAAAATGGCCGACGAGAACAAAATCGATTTGCGGCCAGTAAATGTGTCGGAGCAGCCAGTCGCAATGGACAAGACAAGCTCAGAAACGTCCAGTCTCGAGAAGCAGACGAGGACACGCCGACTCTTTTCCTCGTCGCAGCTGTTTGCCTTTAATATTGTATATCTGGGAACATGGTATTACACGGCCGGGTAAGTATCTCGGTGATCCCAAGGTCAGACGTTCTCATCAGACCCGATGGATTGTAGGAATATGTACTTTGCCCTAGCAAACGGAGGGCCGGCAGCATGGTTCTTCAGCTACATTATCGTCTCCTTTGGCGCGCTCTGCCAGACTGCCTCTTTTGCCGAGATGGCTTCCATCCAGCCGATTGCTGGTGCCCAGTATTATTGGACATATGTGAGTGACTGCATCATTCAACATGTTCTCGAGACAGTGATAATCGAAGCTGTGTACTGATGTGAATATCTTGTATAGCATTTTGCTCCCGAATCGCTCAAGCTCTTCCTCACATGGCTACAAGGGTGGACGACCTGGTTTGCCTACGTCGCCCTGCTCGCCAGCTGTCTGAATGGCAACACCATCATCTTCGAAGGCCTGATCCAACTTGCGTACGAGGACTATGTTCCCGGCGGATGGCACACGGCCGTCATTTTCATTGGCACCTTGTGGTTTTGCGCCCTTGTCAACATGTACGCTTTCCGGCTGGTGCCGTGGTTTGAGCTACTCAATGGCATCATGAATGGCTGCCTTTTTGTGATATTCATTGTCATGCTTTGGGTCATGTCGCCTCGCAACAACCCGGATGTGTTTCTCATCACGAATATATCGACTGGATGGGACAATTATTTTGTCTCGGCCAACATCGGTGCATTGTCGAACATTTTCCTGTACATTAGTGAGTGACCCTGAAGAACAATCGTTGAAGAGTCATCAGAGAATTGATATGAGTCAAGGTTTTGAAAGTATAATCCACATGGGCGAGGAAACAAAGAGTCCGAAAGTGGCGGTTCCTCGTGCCCTTTTTTGGTCAATCGCGACCAATGCCGTGCTGGGTCTGATTATGATCATTACCTTTGGTGTATGGATTTCCCCCACAACATGATAACAGGGTAATGAGCTGACCAGGTCTGCAATAGATTTGTATGCCATCGCTCGACGTCCTATTGAACGCCTCCAGTCCACTCGTCACGATCATGGTGCATGCCGTCGGAACAAAAGCCACCATCGGCCTCATATCCTGTCTAGTTCTCATGGGCATCTCGGGCAACATGGGAGTCGTCTCCTCCGTATCTCGTCTGACGTGGGCCTGGGCCAGAGACGGCGGTTTGCCGCACTATTTCGGCCACGTCGACGCGAAACAGCGCGTGCCCCTCCGTGCCATCATTCTGGCCTGTTCCATCGGCTCCGCGCTGGCGCTCCTCAACATTGGCAGCGGGACCTACATTGCTCTCGGCGCCATTGTCTCGCTGTCTTCGCTGGCGGCGTATCTGAGCTACGCCATTGTGCTGGCCTGCGTCCTCTACGCGCGCTTCGCGGGTGCGGCCATCAAGTTCGGGGAGTGGAACATGGGCCGGGTTGGTCCTCTTGTTAATTTCGTCGGGCTGTTGTATACCGTTTGGGTCATGATCTGGTTGCCATTCCCCAACAATCTGCCAGTAACCTCGGCCAATATGAATTACTGCGGCCCTGTATTTGAAGCGGTGCTGGTTGGGACCATTGGCTTGTGGTTTGTCAGGGCGAGAAAGCACTGGCAAGGGCCCAACCGGGCGATTATTAATTTTGTTTTGCGCGAATGATAGTAAGAAGAATATGCAGAGCTCTGGATATGTGCACATTTACACCTTTGCACATAAAAGGGTCAAGTTGAATATGAAATGCACCCAGTTCAGCTCCTAGCGCGAACTTTTGCGGCCCTGATGTGTTGAACCCAAGCTGCTATACAGAGCGGGGCTTTGTAGTATATTTTCTTGGCAGGCATTGTACCAGACGCAACACTCTTCATTCCCTTCAGCGCGCGCCTCTAGGTAAACGCGTAAAAAATTGAGTTCGACCTTATCCCACTCAATACTCAAAAGGCCTTGAGTGACGTCGCAAAGACGAAAAATCCGAGAAGCCGAAGCTTGCACCTCCTCGAAATCGAAGTGATAGTTGATAGGGCTCTTGAGTAAAAAGGCAACGCTCGTTCATGGCTGTGCGGCTGGAGAAATTAATTCATCCATGTATCATTCGACAATCTCTTCTTTCGAAAATTTAATAAATGGAAAGAACGTCAACATGATGAGATACGTTGAGACTTGGTAGAGATGGAGCCCGAGTGTTCTCCGAGGTGCCTGAAAGCAAGCCCCGCCAGCCCTATGATCTAGCACAACGCCGACCTTGAACCGAACCACGAAAGTCAATGTTCAGCAGCTGCTAGACTTCTTCAGCGAGCTCATTGGCAATTACCTAAGTAAATCATGTTCTGTGCACTGTCATTTGGGTAGCATCGTTTCCAGAAACGTCGAGGCTTATACTCGTCCCGAATATGGTATTGTCATGCAAGGGCAGGGATGTTGGACAGCGGGAACCTGGTCCACAGCATCCAAATGCAATGACGTCTAAGACATTGGATCAGGAATTGCAGAAAGCATTCGGCAGATCAGGAACATTAATAAGACCAAAGGCTATCCTACCAAGATGTATCATGATAATTTTGCTTCAACAGATGTGTTATCTTTTATTTCTATCTTTCCATAAACCCCAATAATCATGGCAAAGAAATCTGTAGCCATCATCGGCTCCGGCTGGGCCGGCTTTACTCTTTCACAGAAGCTGTCGCTGGCAAAATACGACGTGACCGTCATTTCACCAGTCCGCACGATTCAGTATACGCCGCTACTGGCCAGCGCGGCATGCGGTCTCTTCAACTTTCGTCTCGCCGAGGAGCCAGTCCGCCGCAAACACCGGACAGATCTGAAGTACTTCAAGGCCATTGCGGAAGCCATTGACTTTGAAAAGCGGACGATCAGCTGTAAATCGACAGCCGTGACGGGGGACAGCGAGGATGGCAAAACATTCAACGTGAACTATGACAAGCTGATCATCGCGCCCGGCTGCGACATTCAGACTTTTGGCACGCCGGGGGCCGACAAACACGCCCTCTTTCTGCGCACGACCAACGACGCGCGGCTCATCCAGCAGCGCATCCTCGAGATCCTCGACAAGGCCTCGCTGCCGGGCATCAGCGACGAGGAGCAGCGGGGCCTCTTGAGCATCCGCATCGTGGGCGGCGGCGCCATTGGCATGGAGGCCGCGGCCGAGATCTACGACCTCTGGAGCGAGGACATGCGGTTCCTCTTCCCGCACCTCGACGGCAAGCTGACCATCACCATCCACGACGTGGCGCCGCAGATTCTGTCCACGTTTGACTCCAAGCTTAGCGAGTACGCCACCAAGTCGTTGCAAGGCCGGCATATCGAGCTCAAGACGAGCTCGCACATTCAGAATGTCGAGTCCGACGCCATTTTTACCAAGGAGGATGGCAGGCTGCCTTATGGAGTCCTGCTGTGGGCTACTGGCAACAAGGCGTGTTCCTTGGTGGAGAAACTTAATGTCAAAAAGCCAGAGAAGGGGCTGCCCAGGATCATTACGGACAAGTACCTGCGTGTTCTGCACCCGGATGGCAGCCCAATGGAGGATGTGTATGCGCTAGGTGATGCGGCAGACATTGAGGGAGAATCTCTGCCAACGCTTGCCGAGGTGGCGCTGCAGAAGGGAGAGTACTTGTCAAAAACCCTGAATCAGGACGACACTGGATCGATCAAGCCTTTCGAGTATCAACAGCGTGCTCTGTTGGCTTACCTGGGTCAGCACGACGGAGTCATTGGTGGCAAGGAAGACTGGAGCGGTCCCGCAGCGTGGATCGCCTGGAGATCTGGCAGTTTGGGATGGACTCGTAGCTGGAGGAGGAGACTAATGATCATGATAAGTTGGTTGTTTGTATGGATTGGTGGGCGAGATATTGCACGACCTTGAACGGAGTCAGGAGGATGCAAATCATGTAGGTCGGCGGTAGTTTCAAGACGGCACACTTCAGTATTCATATGTATATATTAGTTGACAATGTCGAACACATTAGGTACCTTGTTAAATGGTTTTGGTATTGCCGCGAGATACAAGTGCGAACTGAATAACTGTAACCCGCCGTCCGGCTTTGAATGACACCCCGCTCTTATTGGCATTGAAAGGGGAGTTCCAAACTGAAGGGGCAATCCCAAAGATAAGAAACGCAAGATCTAGCTCGAATCAAGTGCTCCGCCCGATTGAAAGACAGCGTGTTCATCATCTGAATGGTGTCATGCCTTGAACAATTGGGAATTATATGACCATAGTCACTAGGTTCTGACTATTACACCCCTCTATACTATACATAAATCTGACTCATCAGACTATCAAGAGCCGAGAGATCAGATCACTCGATAAGAATTCGATGTATACCACTCACTCATGGATCAAATAGCTATTGTCACCTGAACAGCTCGTCATCATGCACATTTAGGGACAGCATAGGAATGAATCGTGATACGATAGGTCTATTGTGTCTAGTATGATTTTCAGGGTATAGTATGGCATGCTAAGAAACTTAAAATAATCATGAATTTTTGAAAATTGGTTTTATATACAACGGAGTCGTCTCCCTACTTCACCACTATTGCTCGCAGCTCATACTTATCTACAAGAAAGCGACGGCGGCAATAGCAGCGATGACGAGAGCAACAATGTTGGAGAGGCCGCTAGAGACCAGACCAGACGAGCCAGCGGTGACAATGGTCTGCTGGGTGGTGGAGTTTCCAGAAGAGGGAACCTTGACACCAGTGGTCGCCGTGGCGGCGGCAGTAGAGGCGGAAGAAGAGGCGGTGGTGGCCTTGACGGGCACAACGCTGTACGCGCGGGTCATGGTGACCACGGCCGGGGCAGTGGACTCGGCAACCTCAATCGAGGTCGAGTTCAGTGCGTAAGGGGTGGGCACGCTGCTCGAGGAGGGAACCTCCTGGATCACGTAGGCGCTCGTGGTGGGAACGGCGCTGCTGCTGCTGCTGCTCTTGACAACGACACTGCTGGAGGGCACTGCCGAGGAGGACTTGGCGGTAGAGCTCGTGGCAGGGGCAGTAATGGTAACGGTAACAGCACTGGGTGTGACGGTCTGGGTGACGGTGCTGATAACGCAGGCAGCCGTCGAGTTCGAGACCGAGAGGGAGCTAAAGGCGGCGCTCGTGACAGTGCTCGTGGACTTGGCAGCCGTGACGGTCTTGGTGGTGGTACCAATGATGGAGGTGGTTCTAGTCGTGACCATGGAGTTGCCGGTGGCGGTAGCCTCGGCCTCAGTCACGGGGCAGACGGTAGTCGAAACCACGAGCACCTCGGTGGTGGCCGTGGTCAAGGCAGCGCTGGGGTTGCAGCTAGAGGCCGACGAGGGGCACACAGTCACGGACGAGGTTCTGGTGCTCAAGATCGAAGAAGTGGTGTAAGCAACCGCGGTAGTGCTTGCCGATCCAGTGATGGAGGCAGAGCCGGAAGCGGAGGCAGAAGCTGAAGCAGAAGCAGAAGCCTCGGAGGCAGTAACAGGGCAGATAGTGGTAGCAACAACAACAACTTCAGTAGTCTTTGAGGTCGAGGCGGCAGTCGGGTGGCAGCTGGAGGCAGAAGAAGGGCAGACGGTAACGTCCGAAGTTCTGGTGCTGACAATCAAGGAAGTGCTGTAAGACGTGGCAGCCGAGGTGACGGCCGAAGTCTCGACTGAGGCACTGCTTGAAGCCTTGACAGAGCTCGAAGAGGCCTTTGCAGAAGTGCTCTCGGTCACCTTGACGGAGCTTGAAGAGGCCTTTGCAGAGGTGCTCTCATAGACCTGGACGGAGGTGCTGGCCGGCGAGCTGGCCGAGACAGTGGCAGAAGCCTTGGAGGCAGAGGCAGAGGCCTCGGAAGCAGTAACGGGGCAGACAGTGGTAGCGACCACAATCACCTCGGTCGTCTTCGAGGTCGAAGCAGCCGTCGGGTGGCAGCTCGAGGCCGACGATGGGCAGACAGTGACATCTGAAGTCTTGGTGCTGAAAATAGTCGAGGTGGTGTAAGCAGAGTCGCTTGACGCGGTGGCGGTGGCCTCGGAGGCAGTGACCGGGCAGACTGTGGTCGCAACAACGACAACCTCAGTGGTCAGGTAAGTCGACGCCGCAGTTGGGTGGCAGCTGGCGGCCGAAGAAGGACATCCAGTCACGGCCGAAGTTCTCGTGCTCAGGACGAGAGAAGTGGTCAATGCAGCAACGGCCTCAGTAACGTCGGAGAGCGCAGCGCTCAGGACCGGGACGACATCAGGGAGGCCGACCGAGGTAGTTGGGACCGCGACAACCGACGACTGAGAGGTCTGGGTGTGCGGGCTTGAACTGTTGCCAAAGGCATATGACTGAGGAGCAGACAGGACGGAGCTGCTGGACGAAGCTGGCTGAGCCTGAATGGCGGCGGATACGGGTCCGAGGGCCGCAGCCCAGGACATGAGTGATAGACCTTGAGTTCTCATAATGATCGACTTTTTTGGGAGATTTGTTTTTGACTGGCAATATACAAGGAACGATTATAAAAGGATTGTTAGCATGCGCGTTTTTTTTTTAATATAAAGAGTGACTGTATGTTGTAATTAAAACAACATATAAAAGAATGGACAGCAAGTTGCAAGTATACGGCAACGAGCAAAGACAGATGCCAAGAAGAGGTCGACTGTAAAGAGACGTTACGAGGCAGTGGGCGGGCTGCCCTCGCTTTTGTATATTCTCATATTCGACAAGGATCATCACGAATCCTCTCGAGGGCCGGCGTCAAGGCCGTTCCTTGGGCCAATTCCGGCGTAGGCGCAAATGCCTAGGAGGGGACAGGCGGGCAGTGTCCGTGTGACTTAGCTTGTAGCCAGGATATGAATATGTTCATTATTCCAGTGAGAGTCCATCGCATCCGAATTTTGGTGGAGAAAGGGGCGGTAGACTAGCAATTGTGCCCCCTCGATCTCCATGGTGTTCCCTGTGATGAGAAGTGCTCCCGAGCCCATTATCATCATGCTCGTTATTACCCACCCACCTGCCGGATCCAGTTTCAACGGCTGGTTCGCAGCGTGGCCTGCGTCGGCAATAAATAAGTATTAGTATGCAGACAAGTCTCTGGCTCGCTTATTATCCAATATATCAACCCCTCAAATGAATGAAAAAAACGCGATCGCGCACAATGGCAAATGTTCTTTTTCCTTTCCATCTCACCGACCTGAACGGTGATCCGTCGATAGTCTGCCGAGCCAGATAGCCTCACTGAAAGTTATGAGTAGCTGCCGATCTCCAAAGGTTTGAAACCCTCTCCAATCTTACAGGAGCATCGTACGTAGGCCTTCTACCAGACTAGGCAGTTGGTGGAGCATTGGGATGGGTCGTTAATTTGAGCAGGGCAAAGAAGACGAGAGCGCTATAGCCAACAGCGGGCGCCTACCTAGCGGGCTTGACAGCGCGCCAACCCGGGTCCGTCTGGGGTGTCGTATTTGCTCTTTTGTTCTTTGTGGACCGAGACGCAGTTCTGATGGTGTAAATTAAATTCCCAAGATTGATTGCAGTGGATGTAATTCCTGGTCGATCAATTCAAAATCCCGCTATTTTTGGGACGATTAAAGAAACACAATGTGTGAGTCGACCATTTATGCACAATTTTTTTTCTCCGATAATGGAGTGGTTGGCTAAAATATCCCGAAGCCACTCGTCAACCATTATAGATACAGTAAGCTCTCAGCGGTTGCGAATCAAGATAAGCAGAAAGTATATTAGTAGCATATCACTGCTCACTCTAGAAACGGAACTCGCTCATCAAGCTGTTATGTGACTTGCAAAGTCGAGTCTTGTGACCTGTCAAGCCTTGAGAATGACTAGCCATTTGATGATACAGCTTGTTATCTGTTCTATGGCTTTTGCTCAAGAACAAGAACTGAAAGTAAGGCACAAAGATTGTAGTGCCAAGTCGGCAATGTTGTGACTAATTATCTACTGGCTGTCTGATGCATGAGCTCAGTGAAACCACATATACTGAACATGCAGGTGTTTTTCACCTCTTATATAATGTCAGACGCTCCGTTCTTGCCTAGTCATGTCCATGATCAGAAAGACAACAGGCTCCCTTCCTCCATTTCTCTGTGATGCCGGTTCAAAAGGCGGCAATCCATAGTTGTACAAAAAGCCCGCCGTCCAGGCTCGATTTCCCTAAACGCCAGCCGATGCTTATGCAAAGAAAAATTGGTATCTTTATGCTGTGTGCCGCCCACTATCAATCTTACACCATAAACGACTCTCCGCAACCGCATTCCTCCTCTGTTCACCATGTTAGTTCCATTGATAATTCATGACGACTAAGGTTGCAACTCACTGATGTTGGGATTCTTGAATGTGAATCTCTGACTGAGCTTGTCCTCAATCCAGTCCATCTCGCTTCCAATAATACTAAAGAGTGCCTTGCTGTCAATCAAGACCTTGACGCCATCTTGCTCGACGGTTTCGTCAAATGGGCCAGCCTTATCCACCCAGTCCAGGTGATAGGCCAGGCCACTGCATCCTCTGTTCCGAACTCCGATCTTGATCATCTTGGGTTCGGGTCCTTCCAACATCTCACGTAGATGCTCAACAGCTGACGGCGTGAGCTTCATGGCTGCCTTGCGCGGTCTGAGCTTGCGCTTCCTCTCTGGCGCAGGCTTTGGCTTCTGGGTCTCCTGCTCCGGTAGTGACGAGCTGGTTGCGGTCTGTGGCGAGGGTTCCTTGGGACCCGAGGGGGTCACGGCAGGCTGCGGCGGCCTTGTCTCGTGGACTTGTGGTATCGGGCTTGCTATCGAGCTCTCTGGCAAGTTGCTGCGAGGTCCAGTGGGCTTCGCAAGAGGATAGGGCTGATACGAAGGTGTGGACGAAATTTTCTCCGAGGAAGCAGTCCAGTATTTGGACTGTGAAAACTGCCGCAAGAGGTGCTGGCAAGGCCTCGACGATCGCGAAGTCGGCAGCGCGAGGCGGCTGAGGAGCAGCGAAGGCGCTGCCTTGTCTAGCACCAACCGAGGCGCATTCATGGTTGGCGAATCTGGTGGGTGGGTGGGTGCGAAAGTCTATCGAAAAGGCTGTGGCGGATTTGCTATGAGCGCATTTGAGAAAACGCGGCACGAATGTCGTCGACTATGAGGGACTCGAGGTTGTGCAAGTTGCGAATGGTACAAACACTGATTGTGTTGCAGACAAAAGTGAGTGGCGGCTGATTGAAGAAAGCAGACGAATATGTGGTGCAGTTTTGATCATTCGATGTTTGCTTTGAAAGCAACCAACAGCACCAACCAGAGGTCCCTTAACCGATGACATAGACTGGCGGCGGAGAGACCCGGCTAAGCAGCTTGGAGCCAACCACGGCTCTTCTTTTGTCAGCGGGGACTGCCAGTGTGACCTGGCCCTTTTTCGCAGTTTCCGTAGCTTGTGGTGAAAGCCCGTGATCGGGAGGACGGCTTATTATTGATCCAGGCCCAGTTCTTATCTTAGGTAAGTCGGGTGAAAGCTGGAGGTTTCCAGAGCCTAGAGAGAATCCCCGCCGTCCGTCTGGGCACTGTTGGAAACTGCCCCACCTCTAATTCGAGACCCTGCAGTTGAGCCTTGGAACTCTAGTGCTTGCGTGGCTGAAGCAGCGACGCCGTGTGTCGGCCCATAGCAGCAGCCGATTGCACTGAACTTAGTGGGAAACCAGTGCCTATCTTGACTAAATCGGCGCCCGTTCCAGCGCTGTGGAGGCTGAAGCAGCCAAAAAGTTAACGGCTGCGTAGAGGACAGTTTGGCAGAGCTGCTAGGAATATTGTCAGAGCTGGTGTTGCAGAAGCTTGCATTCTGTTTCGACGATTGCTCTCAGGGTGCTTTTCTTTTTTTTCGCCTGACTCTTTCTCTCTTTTCCCTTATCGCGAGCGGGTTGAAAACCATAAATTGAAGCGGCATTGCTGGGTGCTGTCTTGTCGCTTTTCCCTCCCTCTTCGGACTTCCCTCCATGCATCGACCACAGTCAGCTGGCAGATATGGAGGCGTCTCCCCTGACCCAACAGGCGCGCCCTGAGGTCTTCCAGCAGAAGATTGTTCAGCTGTACGAAGCACTATTCAAGGTTCGAAACCTCTAGAAACCCATCGTGTACCAAAAGAACTGGCGAGACTGACTCGAGCGTTCAAGGTATGCCTCGATATGCGCTGCGCAAGCTCGGCCAAAAAGTACAGCAATCGCTGACTATACGTATGACCACCAGGACGAAGTCGACCCCGACAACGATATTGAAAAGCCCGAGGGCTTCTGGCGCGAGTTCTTCCTTCTAAGACCAGACCGATTGGCTCTTCAACGAGTATTAGGGGACTTGAGCCCAGATGACCTACTCGCCTTACATCCGCAGACCAGGCAACTATTCGCAAGAGCGGTCGCGTGCCTCAAGAAGGGAGCAGGGCCTGCAAGCCTGCATGCATTAGATGTGCGTCGCACTACCCCCCTATGATGGACCATATAAGGTTTCCTGACCCGGTACCAGACTTTGACGACATTCTTTTCTGCCGTGTTGCCTAAGAAATACACAAACCCGAGCTCAGATATCATTGCTGTGCTCGCCGGACTCGATCATGTCGACCAGATATTCACCGACTTTGTAGCCGCTCTAGACGCCATCATACGCAATGCCGACACGTGTAAGTAGACGTTCTGCCCTAGACCTGCAGGACATGGTCTAAGACATTGTGAATCTAGTGGACTTGCGCCAGAAGGCCGTTGAAGTGGTTCTAGCCATCACCTCAGGGGCTTACCAGACAAGCCTTCTAACATACTTCATCCATCGGGACCTGTTCCCTGCCATTATGAAGTTTATTCAAGACTCTGACACACCAGCACGGGTCCTGGAGCCATTCACTCTGCTTGGCTTGTTGGCCAATTACAACAAGTTTGAATTCCAGAACCCTTACCAGTTGCGTCTGAACGACTTTGTCAACGAGGCGGCAATTCAGAAAATTATTCACTGTGTTGGTCAAACGTGCCGGAATCTGCGTAATCGATATGTAGACATTCAGGAAGATCTTCCCGAAGGCTGGTCCCTGGCCTCTACACTTAGCATGTTGAAGCTCGGCTCCATCACCCCTGGTGCCAGAGCTGCGCCAAAGAAACCCGTCTATGACCCAGAAGTAGCCAAACAAATGTTCTCTGAGCTGTGAGTCTCCATCCATGTCCTCACCATCCAGCGTCACTAACAATCGACTGCAGTCCTGGTGAAGATGCGGCTGTTCTCCTGGGCACCTACGACTTTGCGCACGCCAACAAGCTTTTTTGCTTCAACTTGGTTTCACTGCCCGCCGAGAAGGGTGAAGAGCAGCCTATAGCATGCCTGGTTTCTTTGACATCATATATGCTACAGCATGCCTTTTTATCAAATCGAGCCACTAATTATGCTCACCTGAGCTTAATGGTGTTTAGACTTGTCATTGAGGATCAGCTCTTGTGCAAAAGGATTTGCGGCGAGGAAAGCAAGATTGCTGTCCGCCTGTGCCGACAACGCTCGCCCTATTTGCCTGTTGTGCGTGGTGAGCGCATCTTGGCCACGTGCGTCCTCGACACCATGGTTGACGGTATCAACCACAATCTCCGCAGGCGACTCGACGTCAGTCTGTACAATCTATGCACGGGTATCATGCTGCGCATCATATCATATCTATCGCGTTCTCGAACACGGCTCCAGTACCACTGGTCGGAACTTTTCCGGTCATTGCTTTCCCTGATTCGTTTCTTGACCTCGTATGCATCTGATCTGAAGGATCTTTCTCAGATCGAAACACTCCTAGACCTGGTGGTCAACCTATTGGCCCTGTCACTGTCGTCTGGCGAGGCGTTTCTACCTACGCCCGCCGCATATGACGACCTCTTCTACAAGATTGTCGAAAGTGGCGATGTCCTCACCAAGTTCCGCGATACGTACAGTCTTTCAAACCGGCCATCAAACTCCATTGATACCCTGATAAACGTGAGCACACACTACAAATCCATGCTAGATGCCGGTGGATCCAAGAAGAACCTCCTCACCAGCTCCGAGGTTACGGATCTAATCAAGCAGGGCTACGAAACTCTGAGCATCCAGGCCAAGGAAGGCCTCGACGGCTGGGAGAGATATCGAGAAGCGGACGAGAGAAGTCTGCTGAAGAAAATGGCGCGCGCCACTGTTGGCGATGTCAAGACTATGGTGGAGGCTTAATTAATAAATGCATTCATGTAGTGCATGCAAATCAGAGCTTCGTCATCTAGACTGTGCAATTTTACACAACTTGACCATGATGAATATACGTCTCAAATATTTGACTTTGATATAATTTCGATCCCATACGAGGGGCGCTTGTAATGGTTATGGTGTGAGAGTTGTTCTTGCTCATCTATATACGGAAATGTGTTGTCAGTGCGGCCATGAGTGGTCCCAACACGTTTCTCGTCCTTGATGACTTGAACGTAGAAGGGGTTAAAACTGAATGAGATACACCCCGTCAAAATGACTCCATGAAGCTTTTTCACACAAGAGCTCGCTGCGTTGCCTTGCAAGAATGGCCATATTAGACGTCGATATCACACAGCAGTGACAAGGGCAGAAAAATGCATCATTGCTCAATAACTCACACGAGAGTTTCCTTGGAAATAGCACGCTTTATACACATGGAGAGTAGGTGTCTATGATAGAAGATACATGACATACCACTGAATTTTATGAAATCATCTCCAGTATGGCAAAGTATGAAATTGCTTGCTCTGGGACATGTCGGAATCACCCACATACCACAACAACAGATAGATCCAATCTTTGCCTCAACCGGGACAAGCATGTTGCACCACATTTCGAGGCAAGATGGAGCGGTCAACCGCTGCGTAACACATGCAATGGACCCAAGGTGGTCGCTTAGAACATTAAAATTTCCCTGATTTCTTCTTCTTCATCCTGCTTCCAAAAATTGGGGGTCCTCTTCCAGAACAGTGACAAGGCGTGAGGTTCCAAGCTATCAAAAAACAAATCAAGGCAAGGAAACCAAAATTGGTCCGCTACTCCTTCCCAACCCGAAGTCACCTAGTTGTTGACCAGCAAGGAGGCCATGGAATCCATACAGACGCGATAAACAAAATAAGATTCAGAAGAAGCAAAAATGCAGACAGGAAATGTTTGGCAGCGGTGGATTAATATAGTCGGTGGTGGGAATGCAATGCTCGTGACGGGATTGGAGATGCATATACGAACGCAGCTACAGTTCATCGGAGTAAGTCATGATAACAAGGCCAAATAACGAGGCATCATGTCGATTCAAACGACAATGATATATTACTGAAAACGGCAGCGTGTCCAACGCGTACACCTACAAAACACCAGAGTCACGGGCTAGTTCCTGTAAATTTCCGAAAGAACAAATCTTGTTGCATTATTCTATGGACAATTGTGCGCATTGTATATTAGACGCCTTCCACTTCAGTATATCTCCTACACAGTGTACTAGCAAGACCCGTCGTGACACCTGATCTGCAAGACCACCTCGAAATTATCTAATGTGACTTTACGCGCCACACGCATTTCACCAATAGTCACACTGCTTCAAATTCCGCCCATGTAGCTCGTAGATCCATTGGTCCATCTTCAGCCCTTTGGTTTTTGCATGGGAGCCATGATTGTTCATTTGATGGAAATACGCCCTTCTCTTACATCTTGACCAACATCTCCATAGTACAACACAGCAAGCTGGCACCATTTGTAACTGTACTAGAGGAAGCCCCTGCAACCGTCGTAAAATAAAGTACGACTCATCGATGTGCATTAGTTGTTGAGAAAAGGAAAATTCGTAAGTCGCTTATGTGGATTGCTTTTGACCCGCCCCCTCAGAAATGGAATGTGAGCTCTTTGAAATATATACTTTTTCCCCGAAGGTTTATCTCGGGTGCTCATGCAAGTTTCCGGCCATATCGCGAAAGCGTAGATACGGAGTACATATCACGAGCGAATGTGCTCAGAATGAATCGGAAAGAAAATAGCCGTTTAGGCCGTGGGAAAAACGTAACCTCCAACACCGTGTCTAGAATCAGTGATGAAGATGTACGATGTGCCTTGTTATGGCAAATGGTTGATTAACAGGCGGCCAGAAAAATAACCACCCAATTCGGGGTATCTCAGAAGATCGAAGAAAAATAAAAGAGCACAGAGCTTTTCGCACCAGAGCTTTACTAGAAGTTCTGGGAAATGCCTGCGCTCTGTTGTGGGTAGTGCGAGGGGTTCTCGATTCGTGTGTTGCGTCGGGCTGGGTTGTCACGGATGATGGGCTGACCACCACCGGGTGCGCCGGTATCGTAGGGGTTGCTGCCATACTGGTCGTAGTATCCTGGACCGCCATAAGCCACGCCAGTTCCGACATCGCCAGAACCGTCCGAACGACCTGCAGCGCTGTATGAAGACGAGGCGTTAGATGGTCCACGGTGTACGTTGCCGCCGCGAGTGTCGGCGGCTGATGGGCCCATGGCACCAAGAATCTCTCCCTCTGGCGAGTGAGAGCCGTCGCTCATAAGTGGTTCTCCTGATCTCGTGTCAGATACGTTGCCATATTGAGTGCCGTCCGAATAAGCCACACCTGCTGCACCACCGGACAAGGTAGTTGATGCTTTACGTCCTGTAGATCCGGCAAGGGTAGTGGAGCCCCAGCCACGGTACCCCGAAGAGGTATCTTCCTTCATCTCATAGGCACCACCTGCGGCGCTACCAACATCTGGCAGAGTCGGGTCGGCATTCGGGTTGTAAATGTAGTCCTCAACCTCTTTCCTTCTCTCTTCCTCGGCATCCTTTCTCTGCTTTCGCTTCCTCCACAGGAAGATGGCACCGACAACCAAGAGAGCCACGGCCGCAATTGGAACTACGACGGCAACGGCGATCTTGCCTCCGCTGTCGAGTCCTCCGCTGCTGCCCGAGTTGGAGCCATTCGTAATAATACTTCCATCGGCGGCAGTTGATGTGGAACCGGCGCCTCCCGTCGTTGCAGTGTTGTCAACGGCCTTGGTCGAGGTAATCACGATTACAGTGGTACTTCCATTTGCCGATGAGGTCAGCTCTGTGGTCACGACAGTGCTCGAGGGAGTACGGCTGCTTGTCGATGTCGTGCTAGGGGCAGTAGTAGTAGTAGGAGTTGAAGTTGGCGTGGTGGTTGTGCTACTAGATGTAGTTTCCGATGTACTACTTGTTGAGGTGGTTGAGGTAGTGGTTGGCGTCGCAGACGTTGTTGGATCTGTTGTTGAAGTAGTCGATTCTATCGACGTTGTTTCACTGGTTTCTGAAGTAGACGTGTCACTGGTAGTTATGGGTGTTGTGTTTGCAGTGGTGGTTGTTGGAGTATCGGCTGGGGTGGAAGCCGCATCCGTGGCTGTGGTGGTAGGTGTGTTAGTAGACGTCTCCTCATCAGTGGTAGAAACAAGACTTGATGTTGGAGTCGCTGCCGAATCCGACGTGGTTGTCGGGTCAGCAGCAGCAGTGCCAGAGCCCGTACTGTTAACGTTTGACGAAGACATGATCAATATCTGTCTTGCGCCTTTCACTCCCGAGAAGTGCCTGCGACGAGGAGACATCTTGTTAGCCGACTTGCATAGATAATGGGCAACAATAACAGCAACGACAATGTGAAATTGAGTAAAGCAAGAATGAAGACATTGCGAATGCCGTTGTGTGCAGAGTCATTGATCATGGACAAGCGACGGCAGAGCGCAATGGCGGTTGTGAATCGACTAGTGTCAGGAACTGAGCGGCAACCATACGTCGCGATTGACCAACTGGGGCCATGACTCTGCATCACGACGAAACAGACGGGCAGCAATAGGGAAAGAGATCAGCAAAAAAAGAGTCAGTGGTTTGCGTACCTTTTTGAAAAGCCTTGGCAAGCGTCCTAGGCTTTCTCGCAGTCTTTTTGGGAGAAAAAGACTGGACGAGAGAAGCGCAACTCGAAGTGGATTGAGTTGGCGATGTGTTTCGAAGTTGACGATGTGAGACGTTGAGAAAGCGAGACAGTGGACAGAGAGTGTCGAATGGATTTTGAGGAAAAGGCAAGCCAGGCAGGAAAACGGGAAGGATCCTGCACAAAGTACGGAGTAACGTAGCCTAGAACAGGACTGGCGTCTTTTTCCTGTCTGCTTTGGATTTTTTTTGGGGGCACTTCTTGGGCTGGTCGGGGGTCTTGTGATGGGCTGGCTCGGACGGCACTATGGATGCAACCTGTGTATGCACGGCAGCACGAACTTGGCCAACCAGGGATCTGCTGGGAAGCTTTGCTGGGAGAGACCGAGGCGATTGGCCGACGGGCGCTAGTAAGCGTGGCTGAGTGTGTCCCCTCGTGTCGGATCTGGTCGGTTGTCTCGTCTCGCTGACTTGGGTGTGATGAGGAAGAGACAGAGAAGGAAAACCGACAGAACGGGCCCAAAAGAGGAAGAGAGGCGCCAAGCCAACGCTGATTGATCCAGGAGGTTGGAGGTTGTTGCCAAATTGGGGACCGTGTCTTACAGGAAAGAAAACCGTTCCCAATCCAATTCCAATTAATGGTGTGGACAAGTAAATAAAAAGCTAGAACAGTGTTGCTCTCTGGCAAAGGTGGAGGATGACGATGACGCCCGGAGTTCCCAGCTGGGATTGCAAATGAGACGGTCGCAAGCAGGGAAAAAGAGGAGAATTGACTTCAGCAGGTAGCAGCCAAAACCAGGCGGGTGTCGCCCAAAGCAAGCCCGGCGTAGGATAGGCAGGCTATGTGAATGGAGATTTTGGGACGGGGCGTCAGTGCTGCAGGTTTGGCGAGCAGCAGAAGGAGCCAATAGCCAGGCAGTGAGGGAATGAGAGCTTCCAGGGGGGGCAATGATGAGATGAGCTGCTATTCCCTGTCGCCAATCTCCGCATTGACAATCAAAGACAGCCTTTTGAGCACCTAATGTAGGTAGGTGATCCAAAGCCAAGTGCAGAACAGAGCTGGCCGCAAGTAAGGCGAAATGGCGCCCGTCGCTTACGACAAGGGGTTCAGTTCAATCTTCAGGTCAATTCAGAATTTATTTCAAGGAGTTCAGCCGTGGAGTGCAGTGCAGTGGTGCTGTGCTGTGCCTGGGCTTCGCGGCGTGCCAAGTGAATAAATGTTGTAGCCCGCTAAGCAGTAAGCCGGTAGTGGTTTCTACTTGTACCGGTATGCGAGTAATGTATTCGCCTCGGTACAAAGGTAGAGGTTTTCTCTCGACTGTGTGAGATGAATGGTGTTGATTCAGGGAAAATGGAAAATAAGGAATTTGACTGAATGAATGACTGATGGCTTTAGTTGGGTGGGTTTGCCGATGCTGACTGGTGACGATGACTTTCCACGGTTTTGGATGCAACGATTGATAGGAAATAGTAAAGAGGGAAACCTTTGGATGCGGCAAAAGCGAATCAATGAGATCCGGCAGAGCGTGCAGTGATGCAACCAAAGATTGCAGTGCCTGCCCGTTGTATTCGGGATTCCAGGAGCTCACAGCAGACGGAGGGGAAAACCAAAAACTCTCCAAAAAGACTCTTCTGGCGCCAAAAGACGAAAGGAGATATGTTGTGTAGAATGGCTTGGTTTTAGTTTCACACCAATTCCTTTTGACGTAGCCTCGAAAGCTGCTTGTTGATAATGCGCACTGCTGCTGCTGCTTGTTCTTCTCTCGAGCTTCTTTTCTGCTTCTTGGTCGACGAATCACTCCCAGATCGTTGATCTTGATCTCTCTGGTGAGAGCGGCTTTTGCTTGGGTTGCTTGGCTGCCGCGCCTGCTGGAGCTGCTAAGCAGGTAGCGTTCGGATGGGTTGGGGCCGATTAGCGGGTCTGCAGCTCTAGACTGCAGGGTAAAAGACCCCGCTAATGCCGATCCAGGAACTGATACGCGCTGCCGGGAATTGCCAGTCTACCAGTTGTCGCCTCTGCCAAGTTGGGCTGGTTGTTTGACTGTCTTTTTTCGGCGCAGCCCTTTCGTATTCGTGGAGAACTTTGCGTCAGAACCTCTTTATTTGCCGCGAATTATGACGAGCTCCGCGGTAGACTGTCGTATCGGTGGTATCGATCGTTTACTGCTCTGCAGTGAAACCTCCCACGTTCAGAATTCGATAGTCTGTATGTTGCAACTGTTTTTTTGTTGTCATGGACTGAAATGACTGATAACCGTCGGGGCTTGTGATTGCCATGCAGTGTTGAGCCCGGTGCAAAGCCAAGTTGTAAAGAAAGTTGCCGCAAGTGACAACAAGGCGCAAACTTCGTCTTGCAGCTAAGTAACCTTCTTGCTATCGCCCTCCTCTTCGATGCAACGTCGTTGATAGCTGTAAAAATGGAACAGGCTGTGCACTTGTGGGATTGGCTTAGATGATGACGCCGGTTATGATGATGGTGAGATGCAAAGTCATGGGAAGAGGCTCGCCGTCGCCCTTCTTTAGCTATTAGCTGGCTATGCTTCCCAACTTAACAGTTGACCTCTAAGATGATCGTCAACCCAAACATCCTTCCTGTCTCTGTCTCTTGCACTGACCCTTTCGAGGAGACGTTTGTTGTGCCTCCGAATACGTACAGAATTCTCGGGGAGGGTCTCAGACGTGCGAATTGGGTTTTGCGGGATCCCGATAAGAGGCCCTTGTTACTTGGACACGAAAAAGTGTTGGTGGCGTCGGCGGGGGTTGCGGATTGCCCGTTATAGGCCGTAATTTGCTTCGAATCGTTGAAAGCTTAATTCAGCCTCCCGGTATAAGCTCGTTGTTTGCTTGTGATATTTCTGGAGACCGGTACGCCCTTGATTTCTTCATGTGCCTTCAATTTTTTTTGTCTCTGTCTGTTTTCGCTCTCTTCATGAAAAAGTCTGCAAAGTGGGCGGACGGATCCTTGTGTGCAGAGCTCAATAAACTTCTCGAACCACAAAATGTCATCAAACCCACCAAGACACTCAGGTCAGACCCAGATGGCTCAAAGCGCTATGTGGATTCAATCTCTGGTCTGGGTACTCATTCATTCAGGCTTTCTAGCATCCTATGATCAGGGCGCGGATTGGCGGTAACGCTGCTTGCTAGCTGGTGGGCAGGAATCGGTAACATTTGATTTGGGTTGGTTCTGGCGAGCCGCGAGGCTTACAGTACGTGAGCCATGTTGAGAAACGGAAATGCCGCTCGAGACTTGTGTGGCAGTGTCACTCTGCTGCCAGTGAAAACGCCAATTGCTGTCAGTTTGTTGTGTTTTATTGAATGTTTCTGGCGCAGAATCAATCCCGTTGTCTGTGGCAGCTTGTCTTGCCAGTTGTTGATGATGATGATGGCACCAGTCAGACCTTTTTATTACTAACCTCCCGCAAGGCAATCAAAGACTCGGCAGATCTTTCTGTTGTATCCAATCTACACAATAACAATGGCAATTACCTGTTCTCATCCCTTGTAAAATCATGCCGACTTGCCGTAGTCACCATGGTCAATGGTCATAGGCTTGGAATTTGGCCGAGTCGGATTATGCCTACCAATTTCGCCAGGTTACACTCCGGTTGTCCTGGTGGCCGGCGGAGGGTATAGTATGTTGCCCAATTCTAGACGTTCACTATACTTGCACCAAGCAGATAGAGAACCTAAAAGTCAGAGGACGCAAGCAGAACCGGGAACCTTTTTCTGCTTGTGCTGCTACTAAATCCGATGCATGCACCATGCATCTATGATCTGCACGTCTTTAATAGAGCCGATCTGCAGATGGACAGGTCAACCATGTGGCACATCTCCTAAATATGATCAGTGCCAACATTTCTGACCAGTAAATTATAATTCAAGATAAATGACTGGTCTTAAAGACGTGGCCTGACCTACAAATGGGCAGCTTGTCATCATTGCTTCCATGATCTGGATCGCAGGGCACGATGTAACACTTCTTGTATGGATGAGATCAGCTTAAGGTTGAATGGTGTGAAGAAGCCATGGTCCCCCAGGGTCTTTTTGTCGTCCACTTGCACGTTGATGACATGGCACGCGAGAAGAGAAAGAAGACCCTTCAAAAGGCCCTCTAATTAAGATGAGCTGCCAACCTTGAAAATTTGGGATAACCTTTTGCGGCTTCTGCGGTGCCGTGCCGGCTGCCCCTTTCGACGGGAACTTAATAGCACGCGTCCACCATGGGCTGGGACGACTTGCCGGTAAGCCAGCAACGTGTAGATAACACAACACTTTTTGATTGTTCTTTCTATGCTCATCAGTCTTCGTCTTCTTCAAACAAACGACGCATCGTTGCATACAAGTCAAAACTAACAGCTGACACGGCATTTTTCAACAAAGCTAGCACACCCTCAGCCCCTTCACCGATGATCGATGGGCATCGTTGTTCATCTCCGTTGCCTATAACCCCCCTTCTTAATGCTCTCCTCACTGCTACGACATGACGTGCCATTTGCTACCTTACCACGACACCATTTATTTTTTTCCAGGTCTGGATCTTTTTAGTGGAAGAACGCTGGTCAATAGCAGAGCTCCGCTATTACTCTTGTTTTTGACTGGCCTCCCCAGACAAGCAACAGAAGAAGACAATCCTTGGCAGTTGGAGAAACCTGGAGAGTAAGCATTTTCTCTCACAGGCCCTTGTCTGTTCTACTGTTATAACCCCCTCGCTCTATTATCACAATTTTTTCTCCTCATCCTCCTTCATCTCATCTGTTGATTCGGTCCGCGCCGGTGGTGCTCACACACTATGCGACGTCATCATCTCAACGAGGCGGTCGGCGGACGGACCAGTTGGCAGTCGGAGCTCTTCCTCTCCCCCTTCCAGCCCCGAGAGACGAAAAAGAAGAGCTTTCCCGGAATGGCAACTCCTCCTGACCCTGACCATGCCTGTTCCCGTTTCCGGGGAATTTGTTTTGATCGTAGCTTTCCGGTTGATTGTTTGGGGCACATGAGAAGAACCTTTCTTTTCCCCCCTACCCAGGTTGCCACGGCTGCCCGATGGAAAGTTATCCATCGATCGGGACGAGGAAAACCATATGCGATCATCTCGTAGGCTTTAATGCATTGACACCAAGTCAAGTGATGAGAATAGCCCCGGCCAAGTGGATCGTGGCCTTCTCATATACACACAGTTGACACTACTACATATGCACTTATAATGTGAAATCTTGCTTGATTGATTGAGATAGTCCCTCAATCCAGAGTACCAAGTCCAAGAGAACATGAGCCTTTGGATTACAATCAAAACAAGAGACACATAGTATCGAAGCCGAAACGGCAATGTATATGTTCTGAAAGAATTTTATAGTTATCAACCTCTCTCGCTCGTCTGAAGAGTCGTCTTTGCAAGATTCATTGACGGCGCAAAAATCATGTGGCACCGTTTCCGACCCATCCGCTCTATCTATATACATGTAACAAAAGCTGCTGTAATTGCCCGCCATGCAAAGATACTTGATCCGTCATGTTGACCCATGAGATACTCCGGCCAAAGAAGAAAAAAGAGAATTATCAATACGGGAAGATGGCTAATAAGTGTTCCGATTGAGCCTCAACGCCGGTGGAAATGCAAGGCCAAAGAGACAAGTGGTTTCAATGGGGGTTGTCTAGTCGCGCATTCCCCATTTCGGCTTGAGCTGGCCTCCAGAGAGTGCTTGAGTGAAGACCTGGTCCTCAGGCAGACGACTCACACGTCCAGCACCGTTACGGAGGGCATTGTTTGTTCTGGCAGAGATACCACTGCCCATGCTGCGTACGCTGCCAGCATCGCTCATGTTCTCGGGATCCTTGAACTTGCGAGGAGGTGCAAAGTCAAGGGCAGTAAATGTGCCAGACTTGCGCATGGCGTGACTATTCAATCATTAGCACACATTGTGTTACTGACAAGAAAAAATGGTGTCAACTTACGGGCTGGGCAAAGCCGGAATGTCGTCAAACGAGCTCACCAGGGGCGAGGAAACGGGCACGCCGAGGTGGTAAGGACGGCGCTCTCCCATGGGGCTTTGGGAGCGACCGGTGGCTTGGTCCTTGTATGTGGGCGGAGGTGCAAAGTCAAGAGGATTCATGATCATGAAGCTTTCGTCCTTGAGCATGGCCGGAGTGGGAAGAGTTGTCAATGCTGCCGGCGGAGGCATGGGCTTCCTGGGTCCGGGCGATCGACCACCCATGCGTGCCGAGGCAGAGGAACCTGGCCGCGGGCTCATAGGGGGCAGGTGACGGCCAGACATGACGGAGCCGGCACGGGGGCGCGGTCCTGGGCCACCTGGTCCCATACCCCGAGGTGGGCCTCGTCCGCTAGGTCCGGGCATCGGTCTCCTGTTGCTCGGAGGCGGTGTCATGGCACGTCGAGTGACTGGCTCAGCATAGGGCATGACGAAGGCATTGGATTCAGGGTCGAAGTAGGCTGCGTCTCCAAGGTAACCTGCGTCTTGCGACTGGTCGTAGTACTGAGCTGCGTGGGGCTGGGGCATGGGAGGTCTTGGTGCGCTGCCGTCCTCAAAGTACTCCTTGTAGAAGGATCGAATACGGTTGGCTCTGAATTCGGGATCTTCCGACTCGAGATAGTCACTTGGAGGCAAGGGGCGGAATCCGACTGAAAGACGGTTGCTCTTGTTTCCAGGAACTGCGAGACCGGCGGACTGAGGTTGCGGCTGCACAGGAGCAGGGGCCGTCACCTGTTGCTCTTTGACGTGATCATCTTCAGCATCATGGTCTTCAACAATGTTGACATAGTCCGAGTACTCAGAAGGAACATCAGAGACCACCCTAGCAGGCTTACCCGGACGAAGGCTGGCAGGTGTCTCGTCTACCACTTCGGCCGACTGTGGCGCCATAATACCCAGGCCAAGCTCAGAGTCTCGGTTACCTGCAATGACGGGCTTTTCGGGCTTGATCGACTCATACGATTCAGGGCGAGCTTTTTGGGCAAAGTCATGGTGTTGCTCCTCAGGTTCGTGAACAAGCGGCATGGCAGGCATATCGACGTGCTCTCCTCCGACGTGAGGCGGAGTGGTCACCTCTTCGGTGAAACGGAACTCGGCCTTGGCCTCTTCGGCATGGTGAGGGGTGGGGACTTCATGAACTTCCGGTACCATCGATTCCTTGATAGGAGCAGGGACGCGAGGCTGGTGTGCGGTCGGCAGGGAGTTCTGGCGCGGGGGCAAGCCACGCATCGACTGGGCTCTGGGCGAGTCGAGGCCACTCTGGCTGGTGATGACAGAGGCCCGACGATCGCCACCCTTGGGGAAAGATCGCAAAGAAGCACCATCGCTGATGAAAGAATCGACATGGCGGTAAGGGTCCTCGCTCTGATGCAAAGTCTTTGCCAGAGAGTTGAAAGATTCCCGAGATTGTTGCATAGCCGGGGGAAGCAGGTAGGGGCTGGACAAGTTCATGTCCATCGACATGCCTTTCGTGTGACCGCTTTCCTTCTCTCCACCAAACAACTTGCTCTTTCTCTTGCCATTCTTGCCGGGAATACCGTCGCCCATACCAAAATCCATGGATTTGTACCGCTCGTCATGATCCTCCTGCTTTTGTAGCTTCTTGGTTCGCCGATGAAGATAGATCAGCACAAAGAAGGCCAGAATCAGCGGTATCCTTGAGACAAGATTAGCACAACACAAACAGCACTAGGGCAATTTCCTTACACTACGGCTAGGGTGATGGGAACAGTCAGTGATGAACCGGACATGGGCTTCTCGCAAGCCGATGAGGTGTCGCCATCCGCGCAATCTGCCCTCCGGAAGAGACGTGACGCAATATTGTCTGATGCCAAAGATCTTTCCACCACACTGGGGCTCTCGAGCGTGCTGGGAGCTCTTTCGACCGGCCTCGAAGCAATTCTCGCACCGAGTTCACGGCGGTGATGGTGGCGGTGGCCATGCAAGTGTCCGTCCATGATTGCAATGTATTCCTCAGATATTCAAGCCAGGTTGGATATGGTTGGTAATATGCTGCAATGTTGGATGATATTACGGAAGATGATTACAATGAAGCTGTAGTAAACGATTGTTCTAGTCGTGACGGGTTGTCTTGATTATCGCCATGAAACTTTTAGAGAACCGACGTGCTCCGTATTAACGTATCCGGGATTGTCAAGTAATCGGTATTCGGTGCTGGATAGTAGTATGTACGGTATTTTCGAGAGGTACCAAAATTATTTCTCGTCGACAAAAATAACAACACGGTAATGACGGTAATGAGTGACGTTGGGCACGAAGAAAAAAATGAATGACTGATAGTTGGTTGCTGTGAAAGAATGGCACGCCTGCTAGAGCAAGCTGGAATCAGACAACCGTTTATCCAAGGACGCCCGGGAGTTGAAGATTGCGGCGGTCGAGGAGTAGAATAAGGAGAGGAAAGACGAAAGAAAGCCGTCCGAACAGATGAAAGCCCACTAAGCGTAGGTGGAGATGCTGCTCAAGTCCAGGGTGGATTTGGATGGTAGGACGTATGGATACCAGTCCCACGTACCGCACCGCTCTAGATTGTACTGGGGTCGCGAATTGAAATTGTTTTTGGCGGAAATGAAGTAGGGGGGTGGGGAGGGCTTCGCAACCATGGTATGAGATACAGGGAATGGCTCGAGGCCGTGGGCTCTCTTCGAGCGACGATTGAATTCCTCACATTGCAATTCGTCTTGTAGTGGCACATTAATATCCATCTATATATTGGCTTTGGTATGATGTACCAAAGAATCCCACTCGATTCTCCCTTTCAAACTTGACCTCTCGAGTAGCTCAATTGAACAAGGCCAACTTGAGAGGAATCTTGTGCGCGCTGTTGGAGATCAGCATCGATTCCTACAGTTCAGTCGGGGATGACCGTCCTCTTCTGGGGGAGGAGTTCGGCCCTCCTAAGGGAGGAGTATCACAGAAGAGCGGCGCCAGGGGCTCAATGCAGGAACAGGAGAACCGACATGGATCTCATCGGGCGCTAATCTTGTTTGTCGCTAAAAGCCAAGCCGGTCGTTGGCCTTAACCCCCGTCAGTCCCGCCAATGATTGCTGTCGACCTGTTTCCAAAAGAAGAGACGCCCCTGGCGATGGTGGCCAGTGGCAGGCCATTGAGCACTGGCGAACAGACGGCGCGGCCCCTCTTTCAGATGAAAAATGTCACTTCCCTCATAAGAGAGGGTGGGACGGTACTTTGCGATGTTTTCCTCCCGAGATGAAAATAAGCGATCCTTTCCCCTTCATCGCAGAACGGCTCAAGGGGCAAACCCAGACAAGCCCACGCTGATGAAGCTTGTCAAAGAGAGGCATGGCTATTTTGCAAACCACGACGGCGGCCCTTTGTCTGCTCGGTTGAGGCGTAGTTAGGTAGCCTGGAATCTGGATCTCGGCGGGCCGTCATTGATAGTAGGTCGCGATATGAGCACTTGCTCCCTACGATGCTACTACGTACTGTGCGCAGCGATGCATGGAGCAATCGCATGAACCTGACGATTTGGACTCGCTTGTCCAAATGACAATTAATTCTCGCAGAGTTCGAATAAATGACATACTATTTATCTTGTAGTCTCTCTGCATGCTAAGAATCCATGGTCCAAGGTTGGTGCTGGTGCGATTGAGGATGCCATGATGCGTCCCGTCCGCAACAACCGCAAAATGATGAATTGGCTGAATAAGAATCCTGAAATTGTGAAAGTCCATTGGTTGACAGGTCTGTGGGTGTTTATTTCTCAACTGGGTTTTCGCCTCGAAAACAGGCATATGGACTTCACAGAAACCCCGCATCATAGAAAGAAAAGAGTTGAGCTAATGAGGGTTTTCCTTTTTAAACTTGCCGTCGGGTGATGTGATCCGCAGCCCATGAGAAGACGAACATCGGATGAAATTCTGTGTAAGAAAAAGCAATACAAAACACTCTGGCGGGCGAGGTGCATTGCAGCAATACATACCTCGTGTGCTCTTGTGCGACTGAGTGGTTTTCGTGGAAAATTGCAGCAAATTTACAGAACCACGGATCTACAGGCGACTGTGCGCCCGTTGCCTCACCATCAGCGAGGGACGCGCAGCCAATGGGGAAGCACAAATGCCGCGATAACGATTGGTTGGTCCATGACTCGAGTTATGATCCGAGTGTGCAATGTTAGCTGCCATCACAGTACGTAGTACACAGCACGGTCAATGTACGCTTAACTTTCAATAGCCAGTCCCAACCGACATGGTGCTGAAATGACTGAGTGATACTTTCAAGGTTTTTCGTTCAGGTTCAAGCTCCAAATATAGCCCATCTTGACATAAGGTGCGTCTTTCGGGAAGAGTTCTAGAAGATGAGCACGCCATATTCCACAGGCACAATTTGCACAGACCAACTGTGGAAGTTGGTTTGAATTTGCTTCTGATGGGACTCACATGATGAGGCTTTTGTTTGGTAAATATCAATTCCGCATCAAAGGAAAAAGAAAAAGCAAAGACATATGACCGTCTTCGTGTTGCCACAGATGGAGGCTGCCGTTCGAGGTTGACGATCTGGTGAAATGCCATCTATTCCGCCTCGAACTGGCTCGAACCGAGCCCACATCAGGGCTTTACTTGATAAAAGTCAGCTGCGTACTCTAGAAGCCATTGTTTCTCAATCTTGGTGATATCTCGGATAAAAGTCTTCTCCCCGGTTTCCATGATCTCGTGGAAGATAACCCATTCCGCTTTTCGATTGAACATGAGAGAGCTGGGGTGAGCATGGAAAACGACTCCGCCTTCCACGTTTCGAAAGGTGCCGTCCGGCTGCATCTTGGCGGCATGAGCAAAATACCCCGTCGTGAGGCAGCGTCTTATCTGCTCGCCCTTGTCCAAAGTTGTGGTTGTGAGGTTCTCAGAGATTCCGAATCGTTCGAGATATCTCTTGAGCTGTGCACGAATGCTCACCGCGCGGCTCATTGCCTTGAAGTTCAGTTGATTCTCATAGCAGAACTTGGCTTCCTTCTTCCCCTTTGTCACAAACGTTTGATAGACATTCAACAAAGTGAGATGATCACCCTCCTCGGCGGCAAACTTGCGTCTTGCTGACTCCATCTGTTTCTTCTCCCCATCTCGCTGGATCCAGATGGAGCCGCCCAAGCTCGTCATGGCGGCGATGGTGAGAATCTCACTGAGACAGCCGAATGAAGCGGCCATTAGCAATGTTTTTGCCATCATTGGTTCGACTGCTAGCTCGGCCATCCGTATTCCCATTGGACGTGTCAACTTTGCATAGTCATCTAGCGCCCCCAGAGAGAATAGAAGCTCGGTGGCTTTGACCAAGAGCTCGGCCGGAGGAGGCGTCAAATAATCAAAACGGACAACGTTGTCGATTCCAAGAGCTTTGAGCTGCAAAACAAACGGTGCAAGATTTGTTCTTTGGATCTCTGGTATGTTCGCAGCCGGGAGCGCCTGGAAATTTTCTTCAGTGTAGAGGCGGAAGCACTTTCCGGGCTTGGTTCGACCTGCTCTTCCAGCTCGCTGAGACGCTGACGCTTGGGAGACTGGAGTCGCTGTCAAGGTTTCGATGCCTGTCCTAGGGTCATAGGTGCGAAGTTTGACGAAACCGCAGTCAACTACATAGACAATGCCGTCAATGGTGACGGAAGCTTCAGCGATATTTGTCGCAACAATGACCTTCCTGGTGTTCTGCGGCGCCTCGTCAAAGACGTACATCTGCTGTTCTGTAGTCAGTCCAGCGTAGAGTGGCAGAACCAGTATTGACTGTGTTCCAGGCTGCAAATCAGCAGCCCTCTCCGAAATTGCCGCAACTGCATTATCAATCTCGTCGCGACCAGTCAAAAAGACGAGGATGTCGCCCTCGCCTTCCTTGGTGTGGATGTCAAAGACTGTTGTTAAAGCCTTCTCGACATAGTCCTCAGTTGGCGATTCGAGGTAGAGGACATCAATCGGAAATGTCCTGCCTTCAATGCTGATGATCGAGCCTTTTTGGCCCGTACCGGTGTTTCCGACAACCTCGTCGTCATTCGCTGACGAAGAGAAGAACGCAAGGAATTCTTCAGCTTGAAGCGTGGCACTGCTGATGATGACACGCAAATCGGGCCGGCGTTTGAGAATCTTCTTGAGCAGACCTAGAAGAATGTCGGTACTGATCGACCTCTCGTGGGCCTCATCCACCATGATGACGGAATAACGGGAGAGGAGGGGATCGACCAGAGCTTCTCGAATGAGGAGGCCGTCAGTCAAGAACTTGATCTTTGTTGCGGCCGAAGTCACATCCTCGAATCGGATGGAAAAGCCGACCTCCTTGCCCAGCTCGCAGCCAACTTCTTCCGCGACCCTGATGGCGACGGTGGTAGCCGCAACCCGTCTCGGCTGGGTGATACCAACGATCTTGCCATCCTCGCACCAGCCTGCTTCGGCAAGGAATTGCGGTATCTGTGTTGTTTTACCACTTCCAGTCTGGCCAACGACGATGGTGACCTGGTTTGTTTCGACCAAGTAAAGAAGACTGTCCTTATGCTTAGCAATCGGCAGCAGCGCCGAAGGTTTATGCAGAGAAGGGATGAAGCTTGAGCCTAGTTCAAGGTCTGCAGCCATGGTTTTGGTTTGGGAGGTGGTAGATGGGGGATTGCGTACGTTGTTTGTCTCGAGATTTAAGCCACTTAGGTTTCGAGGTTGTTCACTGAAGCCGCGATTCGTGTCGTGCTTTCTTCTATTAGGGAATCACGAATGAAAATCCGCTTGGCCTATATACTATAGTATTTAATGACAGTGACTAATATCTTGTCCTGATGCCTAATCCATTTGAGTCATAACGAAGTTGTTGTGCGACTAGAATGCAGATTCTCTACCATGTTGCAGCAGTTGCATCAAACCCTCTACAAGTGTTTTTGATCGTACCGAGTCATACAGAGATACAAGGTACTCAGCTTGGCAGTTAGGCAGCTGCTTCAGCAGGTGCTACAGTGGGCTTGGTGGGAGATACGAACCTAAGCTTGATACCCGTGGACCTGTGGCTCGGCAGTGTGGCACAGCGGACTGCACAGCGATGTCACCCCTAAGAATAGATGGGAATTGATGTTCATTGCCCCTCGGTTTCCAGACGGGGCCCACTTGATCTAAGCAGCTGCCTCCTGCCCAGGTGTCGATCTACACATTCCGAGCAGCCAACTTCTTTCCTACAAAGGCAGATAGCTGCTACAACAAGCTATTGGAGTATTTGTTCTAGAAGCTGGTCGACTGACGCATATCCCAATCACACATATCTCGCCGTATCTCTGCCCAGGGAGTTGCGCAATTTAGCCAATATGGCTTCCAATGAAACGGTAAGTTTCATCGGGACGGCTTCATGCGCCATTACCCCCCCCCCAACAGCATACTGGCTTGCCGCTATTGTCGAGCTCGATTCATTCCTCCCTTTGTTCACTTCCTCTCGACTAACATCCTCCTTTTAAAAAGAATAAGCGGATGTCGACTTCCTCGCTCCGGGGTCCAGAGTCGCCAACCACTGTCAAGCCGTTCGAGATGGATGACGATGATGTTCAAGAAACTGCGCTGCTGGGAGATGACGGAGCGCACGAAACCTCTACAACTTCTGCAGCACCAGCTGCTGCTGCTACTACGAGCAATACCGCCGCGCCAGCGACAAGCGATGAAGCACCGCCTACCAAGCCTCCTAGGCCCGTTACGGAGGCTCAGAAGAACGAGCAAGTCCTGAAGGAAGCTTTCCCAAGTATCGATGCTACAGTTATCAAAGCCGTCCTTGTCGCGAGCAATGGTCGAGTTGAACCTGCTTTTAACGCCCTGTTGAGCATGAGCGATCCCGATGCTGTCAAGAACGAACCTGCGGTAGAGCCCGAAGCTCCTCCGCCGCAGCCACCTCGGCCAACTGGGCGTGCGCCCATGTCTCAGATGGAGGCCGACGAGCTCTATGCCAGACAACTGGCCGAGCACTACGATAATGCAGCCTACGAAGCGCGAACTCGCAACCGTAGCCCTGGTCAGCCGGTTCGCCGTCAGGCTACTGGACTCAAACCCAACGAAATGTACGATCGCGAACACAGCTTTGTCGACGATGATCTCCCCGTGATTCGTGAGAACTTGCGCAAGGGATTCCTTGAAACGCAGTCAAAGGTCAACACTTGGTTTACCCAGTTGAAGAAGCGTATCGACGGCGAATATGATTCCGAAGAAGATGAGTCACAGCCCAGCAGGCACACCCAACCTGGCAGCAGCCAATACGGCGCCGGGACTGCTCGGAGAAGCACGGATTATGACCGCTATGATGCAGACCCTCAGGTGCTGAGTGACGACTTTGCTGGCATAAGACTGAACCCCGATGGCAGTACGTCAGGACCATCTTCCCCTCTTTCATGTGCATGTAACTGACCGAATACCCAGCCGCACCGCAGGGACGATCCAGCAACCCGAATGTGTATAGACCCCCACCCAAGTCTGCATCCCCCAAACCCGACGGTCGTAAAGTCGCTTTTAAGGATGGTCATGAGGATATCGACGACCCATACAATGCTTCACCAAGGGTTCCACCTAAGGACACATCGTCCACGCCACCTCCCGGAGGTAAAGCCAGCAAGTGGCAGCCCATGTCTACGGTGGACCCGAGCCCCATCACCGACCATGACCCCTTCAGTCTTGGTGATAGTGAGGATGAGAAAGAGACCAAGGACAAGCCCACCAAGGACGCCAAATTGGATGATAATGAAAGACTGAAGCAAGCAACGGCAGATGCAATGGCGGACACTTTGATAGATGATACGAAGAAGACAGATCCCGCTGCCAAATAGGCATAGCGGCAGAAACTATCCGTACGAGAAGCAGTCGAGGCCAAAGCAGCTTGAAATCCCATTCGTTTGATACCATTCATTTAGATCCGCTGTTCATAATGTATATTCAAGGATCTTTGCGACCAAGTCTAATACCCTTGACGTAGTACCTGTCTCTAGCCGGCCCTTGACCATCTATCCATAGAGTTTACTCTCTCTCTGGGTAATTTTCTGTGCCGGACGAACTTGGCCAGGCATGCTTTTACGTATCAATGCGCCTGTCAACACACCATACTTTGACAAGAAATGCCTGGCTCTTCATGAGGTTCTAGCATGGCGGGATTTCGGGCTCAGACTTAATGCCAAGCGTCAAGGCCGTCAGACCGGAATCAACGCATTCCGCAACAAAAAGCCTGTCGTCTAATGAACTGCCGAATTTCTCTTGATGGTCCAGGACAAGTGTTCTGCTGATCCTAATAGATCTCAAAATAGGTATAGCTTTCCTTGTATACCTATGCAATGACCATTGTAGGAAAAGGAAATACGTCCTTGCGTTTACCAAGAGACAAATGAGGTCATCACGCGTCCTGCTCTTGGTCCCGGAGCCTGAAGTTCTGCTTTTGCGCCTCCTTGCGCAGATACTGGACGACTTGCTGAAGAGACCAACCGAGAAATTAGTGAGAACCCGAACAGCACGAGAGATAACGGGCCGGTGCTTTCTTACCGCCAGGGCCTCGGGGTTGACGCCGTTTTCAATCATGGAGATGCAGATTGATAATTGTTTACGGTCCAGCTGGCAGTTCTGGATATACATCACGCATTAGCCACTATTACACCTAGTTACAGGGGGGGCGTTAGGCAGTGTAAACGCGGCGGCGGAACGAACCAGGATTGTGGAGATCTCGTGCAGAATGTCTACGGCTTGTTGAGCGGCCTGCTGCTTCTCGCCTTGGTCTTTTGAAGTGGGAGGTGGCATGTTTGCGGTCTTTGTATCAATGGACAACCTCGAGCATGTCTGTACAAGGTACGCAGACGGGTTTCTCTGTGTGTAGTTTGTGCTGCACAGGCACGCTTTGGATGTGGGAAGCAGGAAGCGCGTGGAGGGGTGGCAGTTGGGAGGTTACCGGCCGTGCTTGTGGCTAGATTAGGCTTCAGGTGTGCTAGCATAAACATCTATCAACTGAGCATGGATTGCAACTTTTCAAAACTGTAGATTTGAATGGTTAGTCGCTCTTCTTCTAATTGCACACTCTCACGCTGATATAGAGATTTGTTATGAATCGTCATTCGTTATTTCTTGGCTCAAGTATTGCATTTGGCTACATGTCCACTTGTAGAGTATCACAAAAATCAAACAGGGTATCCTAACATTGTAACGCCAGTCATGTCTTCCACGTAGCGCCACAAAACCTAGGCCTTCATGGCCTCAACAAACAATTCTCGCATGCCCTTGAGCAGAGTACTCAGTTCTCTAGTCTCGTTGACCTTGTCCAAGACCTTGTCAATCTTCTCCCGCTCCAGCTTTGGGCGACAGTGCCTGACATCGTAGTCTCTCGAGCTCGTGCACAGCTCGAACCAGGCCTCCCTCTCCCAATCCCTCTCGTCGACATGGCTGTATACGAACTTGAGCCTATCGGTCTGGCCGGCACCCTCAATCTTGAGGCACAAGTTCGTCATCCAAAAGTCGAGCTCAGGGACGTTGAATCGCGACTGTGTCTCTAGGTAGGCGGCGTGCGCGCGCTGAGCCGCCAGCTTGGTATCGATCTCTTTTTGCGTCTCTGTGATCTGCTGCTTCAGTGTATCGCGGTGCTCCTGGGCCTTATTGCGCTGCTGGCTAAGAGCAGTGATGGCGGCCTGCATCTCCTGTGTCTCAGCCTCTTCCTTTGAAATCGTCTGCTCGTGGGTCGAGGTCTTGAGCTGGAGAATTTCAATGTCCTTCTTCTTCATGCGCTGGTCCTCTGTATTCCTCATGTGTTAGTAAACTCTACGATGCAGCCGAAGATTTCCAGCCCAGGAAAGACGTGACGAACCCTGTAGCTCTGCTATGTTCATCCGGAATTGGTTGCGCTCCTCCAGTACTCGCTTGCGCCCTTGCTCAATGAAGGCGTCAAATTTTGCCGTGAATTTTGCCATGCGATCGCGCAGTTCGTCAAAACCAAAGTTGATGTCGGGCAGTGAATCAGCCATGGATGGCGCGGTCGTGGACAGCGGGAGCTGGCCCCTCAGACTGGCCGAGAATGATGGTTCAAATGAGGACGCCATGTTGCTGTGTTAGAAGCAATGATATGTCTTGATTGTCCTCTTCAGGTGCGTTCCTTTCTCTGATGATGATGGGAATCGGCGATTGTGAATGCGCTGCAGGGTCCAAGTTGATGATGTATGTATGGTGCATGAAGGTCCACGGATACTCCGCGCTGAGATGTGCTGCGACTTTGTTTACTCGCGCTGGCCGTTGCTAGGTCCCATGGTGGGCAGTGGCGCTAAGATAAGATAAACGACCTACAACTTTTTGGCGGGGACTGACCGTTTGCAGGGCCATTCACATCACTTCGCATACAAAGTGGGAAGCAAGCTTGAGTATGGACTCGGCTCTTAAAAAACGTCGTGCACGCTTTTTCTTTTTTCTTTTTTCCCACTCTTTTAAATAATGCGAAGGGAACCGTGCAGCTTTTCGGTCTGCTGTCGCTTTTTTCCTTCTTACACTGCCGTGAAAATCGATTCACAGGCCAGCTTGGGCTGTCGACTATGAACCAGCTCAGTGAAGAAGTGACTGTGCAGACGAAATTTGAGTTGAGCCGTCTGCCGGATGGCTGACAGGCGCTACAATGAATCACTTATCGGCAACCCAGGACGTCTTGAGTACCATCCCTTGGATGTGCGACAGGCGGAAGATCAGGGTTGGCTGAGCGTACGAAAGCACGAGGCCAACGGTAAGTACACTATGAGTCTCCCCAATTTTACTCTTTTGAACATGCCGGTGACTAAGATATCTAGAACCTCAAATCAGAGAGCTGGGATCTCATCAGGAGTGGCCTGCCTCTACATTTCATACAGTACCACCGGTCATTCCGCAAGGCACTTGGCACGAGAACCGAAGGCAGAAACAATGGCTCTTGAAAAACCATCCAGAAGCTGCACTCGGAAACGACGAGCTTCGAGATATCTTGGCTGATGAAAGTCCTTCGAGCAACAGGCCCCATATGCCACCATGGGAACTGACTCAGTTTGCCATTGGCGAGATGACAGATACCATTAATGGCCAAAAGCCTGTTGGTGTACCACTCATTGCTATGGCCACAGGCTCTGCTGGAGATGTTCTGCGGTTCACCCGTCCTGCAGCAAAACAATGGCACCTCGATTCCAACGGCACGGTCGGTTCACTCCTAGAGCCGGACAAGTACCAGGAAACTCTCTGGAGCAAGGATGTAGGGACGATTCGTCGCATTCAAACTGTTGTGAATACCAAGAGATTCGAGCCGGTCCGATGGGTGGTCGTACAAAGGGAATCTGTCACATCTGTATTCCGCCCCGAATATCAACGAGTCCCCGTCGTCTCAGAGACATTCTCCGGAACCGGTCCGCAGTATCCCTCGCATATTGCCCCCAACTTACTTTTCAAAATATCGTACCGCGATACCGGTTGCAATCCTCATTGCGATGCGGCTTTCAACCCAGGAATCAAATCAAAGCGGCCTCAGCTTGCCATAATCGATGAAGGTGGCGAGTGGACAGTCTGGGATATATCAGGAACCCGCAATCGGACCTACAAGCATCCACGGACGCGTCTCAGTGTCTGTGGTAACATTCGCGCCGGTATTCATCCGCGACCATCCGTCGTGCCAACTACTCTGCCCCAGTGGCATCGAATCTTCTGGGTGGGTGGTCCGGATCCCAACTATGAAGATTATGCAGATGACGATGCATCTGCATTCCAATCAACGTCCAAATTTCCTCCTCTTGAACGTTCGTCAATTTTGCTTCTTTGCAATCAGAAATCGCTACGGTTGATGAATTTAGAGAAGAATGAGTTTTTGCCAGACGTACAATTCTTTTCCGATTCCAGCAAAGACGCGATCCTTGACGTGCAAGTAGATCCCCAGGACCGGCGATACTTCTACGTTGCCACGACCTCTCGAATTTTTGTGGTCACGGTCAACGCCTCGAATGATCCCACAAGTCAAGCCATCGCCGAAGAAGCCTCAATAATCCACTCGTTCCCGCATTTGAGGAGTAAGCTTGACAAGAAGCTGAAGCTGATGATAACCTCTGAACCTTTGTCAAAGCCGGACAGAAACGCCCTTGTCGTGCTCTACTCAGAACACAGCAATTGGCAGGACGTCTTTAGCATCAGATTCCCCAGGGAGCCGGCCGGCACAATCTCTTGTCACCACGGATACCTTGTCACTCAAGACGTTCGACCAAGCTTTCACGGCGGAGGGTTGCAGACATTTGCTTTGAGTAGGATTTCGCATTCCAACGAACAGTCAATTGCGGGTAATATCGCGCCTATGAAATCAAGCAGCAATACATGTTACTTCCAAATGTTCTCATTCAGGGCGGATCTCAGTCTGAGCTACTGCCTCGGCGTGAGCACAACGAATAAATGGGACCAGAAGACGATGACAGTCCAACGCGTGCCTGAAGTTGACTACACGGACGCTTCTGCCAAAGAATTAGGTAAAGCGACCAAACTTGACAGACTTTCGCGTCAAGACATTGAACGTCAACGGGCCGTGCGTTATCTAAGCACGCGTTTTATACTTGCCGACAGCATCGCAGTTTTTCGGTACAGAGGTGATAATAGCGTTACGGCAAAGAGAGCTGCTCGGAGAACCTGGAAACCTGCGATGGTTCGACGAATGATACAACCCGTCCACGCTGCGTTCTCTGAAATGCTGGCGAAACTCTGGGCTGAAGGCACCGAGGATGTAGAAGCACTGGATGGTTTTGGAGAAGCTCCATTTGATCCAGTCTTCATTTTGGTCCAAGAAGCCATGGAAACAAGAACTCTGGCAAGAGTCGCATTGTAAGTCAACTGGATCAATGGCTCGCGGTTTTTTCACTAAGTCTCTTGCAGATCGGATATTGTAAAGGATTTCCGCGTTCCCGAAGACTATAAGGAAGCAAGTCGGGAATGGGAGGCCGAGATTGACCAATTCCGACAAGTCGATCCGAGTTTACAGATTTCTCTGCTCGACAGACCACTGCGCTTCTTTAGCAGTGACAGAACGCTAGAAGAGCTGTTCTGCACCCTTGTGAGAATCACTCTAGGGGCTGATCCTTTGGAGCTTGCTTCAGATGACACCAACGGGCTCAATTTTATAGTACTGTGCCGAATTGCTTGCGAACTATACCTGGCTCGTACTGGCATGACGTACCTTGAACCAGACATACTAGAGCCCATCAAAAGTCAGACAGCCGATATTCGCTCATCACCCCCGCTCATGTCAGATAATACGCTCGTTGATGGCCAGGACAACTACAGCTCAGCCTTTCGGTCCTCTAGTTTTGCCCCCGGGAGCCAAGCCAGCAGTCGCGCTTCCACGCCAACTTCTATCATTGGCTCTACCGTGACTGAGACTGCTAGAACTGGTAATGAAGGGATTGGCCTGATTCGAGCTCTTACGAATTCCGGAGATGTTGGAACTCAGAGGCTACGACTTCCCACGCCCTGGGATGTAGGCGGAGACCCATCGAGTACCTTTTTCAATGTCGACAATAACACGGAGATCACGGAAGGAATGCGCAGAAGAGCCAAGCAAGAAGCTCGGGAAGCACGTAAGCGCAAACGAGCCGAGACTCTTTTCCGGTTGCAAGAAGAGCACAATCTGCTACCATCAACCCAGCCAGTCACCAGGACTGGGTTTTCCACTCAAGTCAGTCAGCCCATGACCGATTTTTCCTCGCAGCCGCGCTTCTTATCGTCCACACCGGCTGTTGCCATGTCTCAACCGACGGCTGGCGCTTTTGGTGGACGATCCATGGAGAGGCCAAAGAAGAAGCCAAAGCGCAAGGGTGGTTTCTAGTGTGTATATTTCATGGTATTATATATTGTATATAGTAGATAAATATTAGTAAATATTCATGTCTGAGGCCACATCACTTCAGAAAGCGAATTCAAGGTGCCTGCCTGTAAAGTAGAAAAAGGCACGGCGCCTGAAGTTATGACACATTGTGGCATATTCAAAATCTAGAACGGTGCACAAAGGGTCGTGCAAGAAATACTTATGTTGGTGTTGATTGCTTCGGTTGCTTGCTGAGACGCAATATTGAACGCCTTCAGTGCGGACTACAATATTCATATAAGCATGCACTTCAGGTACACCCTCTCTAAGTCTGGTCAACAGTGAACACTGGCATAGGTCGGTTGGAAGAAATCGGCTTACAGAGATGAAGGTACATGAAAAAATGTTTGCTTATATAAGTGTTCTGTACTCTTGGTCACTGCAATTGCTTGCCCAATCTCAAAGGTTGTTTGTTGGCTGACTGAGCGTGGGCGGGATTCCCTTTGGTAACTGAAGTGTTTGTCATGTAGCTTGACCCGTCCCACATTCGGCCGGTCATAGCTACCGGGACTGCCTCCAAGCTCCAACCTGGTTGGCCACCTCTGTACCGACCGCACCTACTTATTACTCTGAACTAAAAACATACCAACCAAAGAAATAAAAAGCAGACTAGTTCAGTCATAAAAAGACATCTATCTCATACACTTCTGGAGGAGCGTTTTCTTGTTGATATCTTCGTCATTCACCTTCACACACATGAGTAAGTAGAAGAGTAGATAAACTCATCCAAGCAAAGGATAGAAAAATGTCCACCCACTGCCACGACGAACACCAGCACTCACACGGCGGCCACGATGGCCACGACCATGTGCACGACCACTCGGACGACATTACACCGGCCCTGCAGTACAGCCTCTACCAGCACATAGATTTTGACGGCATCAACACCATGAACGAGGCCGTCGATGACTCGGGCCGCGCCATTGTCAAGAAGACGTGGGCGGAGCGCACGCAGGAGCAACCTGAGCTCGAGAGCGATGCCGATGAGCAAATTATTATGAGCGTACCGTGAGTTTATTTATTTCTTTTATTCTCCATCCTTTTGTGTAGGTTTTCGTGGGGTGGAAAAGTCAAGTCTTTGAAGTAATTTCTGGAATGCATTTCATCTAGGGCAAGCCCATGACCTAGAATATAATCTCAATACTCAATACTAGGGCCTTGGTTTCTAGTTTCTACAAGTTTTCAAGGTCACTAAAACCACAAAATAAACAGATTCACAGGCCAGGTAAAGCTACACTCTATCCTCCTGCGCTCATCGCCATCAGCCTCGGCCCCTCGAACGCTCAAGGTCTTTGTGAACCGGCGGGATCTGGACTTTGAGACGGCCTCGGAGCTGGCGCCGACGCAGGAATTTGAGCTGTCACAGACCTCGGACGTGCAAGAGCTTCCGGTCCGGCGCGCCCTGTTTGGCAAAGTGCAGAGCCTGACGTTGTTCTTTGAGGACAACTTTGGCAATGATGACGACGACGACGAGGTTACTCGTCTCAGTTACCTGGGCTTCAAGGGCGAGTGGATGCAGCTTGGCCGCGCCCCCATCAACATTACCTATGAGGCTGCGCCCAACCCTAGTGATCACCGCATCAAGGGTACCAATGTCAATGCCATGGGAAGTGGCATTGGTGGAAGAGGGCCGGGAGTGTAGAGCAATGATATTCATCTGAGATTAGGGAGAGATACGGGTTCTAATGACCAAGAATGCGAGAGACTGCCGCTCGGGACACGCATTTGATGGTAGGATTTGCATTTTACTGTATTATTATCATGATGATCTCTTCCAAACGCCCATCTCGACGATCAAGTCGACGTTTGGACGCTTTGATGGAAAATACCAGACTTTTCTTTCACATGAAATCATCCTCCCAATCCGATCCGACATCCTGATTGCTAGAGGCTGCAACATTGTCTGCCGAGAAGAGATCATCATAGGCGTGGTCCTTTTGATACTTCTTCTCGGCTCTCTCCTTGGCCACGCGCTGCTCTTCCTTCTTCTGTAACCGATATTAGCACTAGTCGTATGTTTTCGATTGGTTTAAATGAAAAGGTTTGTGTTTTTTCAAGCACGAAATACATGGATATATGAAAAAGTAGAACTCACCCTAACCTGTACGGCAGCCATGTCCTTGCGCCTGCGCTCCTTTAGCATATCCTCGCGCTCCTGCATGAAATCAGGCTGCTTCTCAACCTTGGTCTTGTTGAGGCGGTTGATAATGGCGTTCTCGCGCGTGGCCACGAGGACGCGCTTGACCTTGCGGGGGTCCTTGAACGAGACCTGGCCGACGGCCATGGAGCCGTCCTTTTTCAGGTTGGACCACGGCGTGTAGATGATGGTCACATTGTCCTTTTTGTTGCCCTCGATGCTGTTGGCCTTGGTGAGCTGCGCCAGGTCCGTCACCAGCGCCTCGGGAATGGCCTCCCACGAGTCCTCTGCGTTCGGCATCCGCAGGTAGATGTGTGCCGATGAGAGCTTGTCGGCGTGGAACTGCGAAAATAAAAAGACTCATGGTAAGGATCCCGAAGAATAATGGAAGAGTATTATTATAGCAGGTTACAGTTTTTATAGGTAAAAACTGGCCAATGAAGGATTTGTTCTCATACCCTTAGAGTGACTGTTAGTCTTGCTGATCCAGAGTAGAAATAGAAGCATTGATAGAAGAAAAAGTAACGATGCTGAAAATGTTCAAACTCTTACCAAACATCTTGCTCCCAGCCATACTTGATCAGATCCTCATCTATAGAAGAAAGGTATTAGTAGCGGCTCGTCCTATACCCAGAGGCTCAACAAGGTGTTTTCCTGCGTACTCTCGAATTTGTCCTTGCCGACATAGACAAAAGCGGACGGGGAGACCACAGTCGAGGTAAAGTAGTAAACCATGTCGCCAATCACCGATCCGGATTCACTTGCAACGAAGTTTGTTCGATATGAAATATTCTTGCCAAGATGTCAATTATAAAAAAGCTGGTCTGCATGGAAGGAACTGCAGGATAATTAATTCCCAAAGATTGCATCCAATCCGCAGCCTGATAATTGGCAGCAAGACCGTCGCGGCCCGCCAGCCGAAAATCCGGCACTAGCAACTGGCAGGAAGCACTTGAGCTTGCTGACGGCCCGGCGCATTTTTTCGATATCGAACCTCAATGGAAAGCTTCAATCTACCATAGGAGAGAAGAAGAAGCAGCTCGACAGCCCCAGGTTCCACGGGCCCAATTGCGACAATTGCCTCGACGACAACCCGTTCACCAAAGCTCCGATTGAACGCGTTCATCGATTCATCTTTTGCGAACGAGTAGAAACAAAAGACCTAGTAGCAACAACCTCAGCTCCCAGCGAAGCAAATGGCGCCCAGGATGCCAGCCCGCTGGGCAGCCGCCCTCCCGACACACCTGCTGTCGCCCTGCACCACCGGCCTCATCTCGACGACGGCGGCATCCTCGAGAATCCTCATTACTCAAAGCGGCAGCGCGCTATTGCCCCGGACCGCCCGGCGAGGCGTCAAGTACGGCTGGTCGACGCGGCCAAAGCAGGACAAGCCAACGCGATTCAACCAGGTCTCGTCGGGCCTGCCGGCGCCCACGGCGGGACCCGCCGCGGCGCTGGAGCGCAAGAGAGCCACGACGCCGCTGCGCACGGGTGTGCTGGCCGTCAAAAAGGGCGTCTCGGCCATGTACGTGGCCGGCCGCCGCATCCCTTGCACCGTTCTGCAGATGGACCAGGTCGAGGTTGTCGCCAACAAGACCCGCGCCAGCAACGGCTACTGGGCCGTCCAGCTCGGCTCCGGCCTCAAGCGGCCCGGCAACGAGACTGCCCCCATGCTGGGATACTACGAGGCCAAGGGTCTGGCGCCCAAGCGCCACCTCGCCGAGTTCAAGGTCCGCGACCGCGACGGCCTGCTGCCCGTCGGTGTGCAGCTGCAGCCCGACTGGTTCAAGCTTGGACAGTTTGTCGACGCCCGGAGCAACTCGAGGGGTATGGGTTTCGCCGGTGGTATGAAGAGGCACGGTTTCGCCGGTCAGGAGGCTTCGCACGGTAACTCCAAGAACCACAGAACAATCGGTACGACGGGTCCGAGTCAGGGCGGTGGTTCCCGTGTGCACCCGGGCAAGAAGATGCCGGGTCGCATGGGTGGCGAGCGGGTAACGATGCAGAACCTCAAGGTGTTGAAGGTGGACAATGAGATGGGCGTCGTGGTAATCAAGGGTCACGTAGCCGGCCCCAAGGGCTGCCTCGTCCAGTTGTCAGACGCTATCAAGAAGGACCCTCCAGTGCAGTCTTTCATCGACAAGGTTAGAAGGATAACACTCGAGAGAAACCCGGAAGCGGAGCAAAAGTTGGAAGAGGCAAGGCTAAGGCATCTGGATCTCAAGCAGATGCGAAAGGAGGGCACTATTGCTGGTGCTGTATTGATGGGCTAATGTCCGAACTTGTACGATTTTTTTCTTAAAAAGGGCATTAAGTAAGAGCTGAGAGAACATTCGTGTTCATTTTGTACTATACAGCAGTTGTACACATATTTGATGCTATGAGATGATATGATATGGCATCAATGAAGACATTCCACGATCCCACTTCTTTCGCATTGTGCTTTTCGGTAAGCACATTCAAGACATAATCAACAGGAGCTTAGCAGCTTGATCCTGGAAAAATGATTGCAAGACTCTGGACCTCTTTGAATGGACAGTCGAGCCCTTTCTGAGCTCATGTGCACTTTTGTCCAGTCTTGCCAGCCATTCAATCCGGGCTTTCCATCGCATGGCCGGGAGATTCCCTATAATCATTTTGACTTGTCCTGGCAATCCGTTCTGTCTAGGCAAGTCAATTGTTTAGCTTGCAGTATTGTTGCCAGTACATCTGCAAATGTACCTCACACGGAGGAGTGACAAGATCCGGACGCTCACTTGAGCTCTGTTCGGAAACCGCGGCCCTTTTGTTGCATCTCCTCCTCCTCGTCTAGGAACGCGGTGCCCTCGAGGGCACGGAAAGGGTCACCGCCCTCGAGCAGGTCAATGGTCTGGCCGTCCTTGGTCTCGAGGGACCACTCGGTAGTCTCAAACATGGCCTTGGGGCCGGGACGGAAGCTGCAGAAGCGCATGACGCCTTCGTTGCGGGAGCCGCGGACGCGAAAGCTGATGTCAATGACGCCGCGCAGCTGGTTCATGGTGCCCGAGATCCAGGGGATCTGTTGGGCAAAGTAGATCTCGTCGCCCAGATACTCGCGGGCGCGTTGGCTCGTCCGCAGGGCGTACATTGTGGATGCCACTGTCGGCGACGACATCTTTTGGTAGTTGAAAATGGCCAAACTCGATATGGTCACCAGGACGGCGAAGATGGGAAAGGTGCGCGACCAGCGAAAGGAAACGGACTCGACGCCTGTGCAAGAGAAGAAGACATTGCTGTTAGTTGGTGACTTATTCATGAACGGGCTCCGCAAAGAACGATATCATTCCAAGATGTGGGCGCATACTGGGAAGTTCGCGATCCGCCCTGCGCTCCATGAGCGGGCCATCACCGGGCTTGGGTGCGCGCACCATGGTCCGACGCTGAACCGGTGTCGCAACTCTGGATTGAAGTTTTCGTAGGCCGGGCAGAGCCCTTTGCCTCAGTGTTCGAGACAACATCTTGTCCGAGATTCCTCCAGACAAGTGCTGAAAGTGTGATGCTGGAAAAGGTTCAAATTAATTGTCCGAAAACGCTTTCTAATGTCAAGATTTCGAGATCATCCCACATCAAGCCGAACCAATGGACCTGCAATCGGCGGGCCGGGGAGCTTCTGCAAGACGGAAGATCGGCGTTACAGATTCGCCGTCATTTCACAGCGTCCTTCACTCTTCTAGAAGCTCTAGGCTAGGTAGGTAGCTACCCAAGCTACCTAGTAGGTACCCAAGCAAGCTCCAACGCCTGTAACAGGCATGAAAGGTCAAGGGACCCATATTCAGTTTGTTTGATCCTCCCGCCTTGCGCAAGCCCATGGCTAAGCAAGGCTTAGCCAAAAGCGGGTTGGACAGCTGCATACGTCACTCTGTCGTTGTGTGCGACAGTGACCCTCTGCAGCGGCCCCAAAAAAAGTCTGGGGAGGATTCCAGGGTCCAGTGATAAACACATGGCGAGCTGATGTACGTACACTACTTGCATCACATGGCGGCAGAACAAACCAATCCGCATCCAGCATATCCAAAGACACTTTTTTGCCTGGACAATAAATTTGGGTTGATGTCTTGGTTCTAGGGTCGGACTCATTTGTGGAAAAGGGAAACCGTTTCAGTTGTTTACACCACCAATACATTTCAATCCCAACATTTATCTGGCCTCTTGTTTGTTTTTGTTTGGATTCGATTTCACTGTATCAAAAGCGAAGCTGGTCCAGATCAACAACACGACTTGACTTGTAGATGGCAACGACATTGCAACATTGCCGTCACCACTAACTCCTCATCGACGAAACCCAACTAAATCAACATTCCTCAACACATACCATCAACGTCACGCTCTACAAGATGGACGTTGCCTCTACCCGCTCCCGCCTGCGCCGCACGTTTGCCTACCCAACCGACGACGACGGCAGCAGCAACAGCAGCTCGGCCCTGGCGCTCGACGAGACGGAACAAGAAGACGTCATTGCCTCGCTGGCGACGCAGAACCACGCGACCAACTCGCAATTCCGACTCTTTCTCCTCGCCCTGCCCACCGTCTCGGCGGTGCCCTACCTCCTGGCCCTCGCCAACCCGGCCGCGCAGCACACGTCGCGCACCACGGCGTCCCTCGCCCTGACCAGCCTCGCCAGCACCGCCTGGCTGCTCTGGTCCCAGCTCCCCGGCGTCACGGGCATCGACGCCCTGGACCGCTGGGCCACGGGCCGACCGGGCGCCATGGATACTCTACATGGCGACCACGGCCACCACGTCTCGACCCGCCGCCGCGATCGTCGACAGAGCTTTTCGCTCACGGCCGCCGTGCCCCTGGCCGAGACGCGGTCCCCCTTGGCCATCTGGCTGCCGTACCTGAATCTCGCCCTCTGCGGTCTGCTCGTCCTCGCCGGCTTGGTGAGCAGTAGTCGAGGCGGTGGCGGCTCCTGGGGACATGTCAGCTTGGCGAATATGCCCGGCGTTGTTTACCTGGTTGTGTTGCTCGCCAAGGTGGTCATGGGTGGTGTTGACCCCGAGAAAGAGCTGAGTGGTCTCAAGTACGAGTTCAAGGGAGCATAAAGAATGTTTCGTTCTCTACCCTCATGTATACAAGCAAAACAAAAACTGGCGGATGTGGGCATGCAAGTGACAGAGCGGAAAACCGCCTGGGGATTGAGTAGGCCTTGAGAGGCCATGGGTATTGTTTACTACACCTAGATGCTGCGTGTAGCCTTTATGAGGATATGGACGACGGTTTGGAGCTTTCTTTGGACGACAATATGATACCCTTACGCAATGAACCACACTGGTTTGGACTAATATTAGCATAAATACTATGTACGGCTCTGCATTGCAGCTGTAGCCACATAATATACCGTCTACACTGTGCTGTTGAACCAGCGACTAGACCTGTCTGTAACCGCGATATCTCCGACTTGCGTAACAATTTCTTTGTAGCAGTAACGGGTCTAACCGTCTTTCCTAGGCAAATGGCCGACCAAAGCACAATCTATGGCATCCAGTCCTCCCCAACGCCCATTCATTTCGACAAGACAAAACATCTTTCTTGCGTCCGGTGTATGACACCTTGCCCCCTTTTACCATCTCGCCATGCATTGAACCAAGTGCAATAAATACATACAAAAGACTAATCTATCTACACGTCTATCGACTCGTTGAACCGCAGAACGCCATTGCCCTTTACGACACCGTCAATGCCCTGGGGCATACGTGGGAACGGATCACCAAACGGTTGCGATTCTGTTGGTGGCTCTGTCGACTTGTCAATGACCAATGCCAGACCCTGAGATTTGATTGCATCCACAAGCGCTGGAACCATGTCCTGTTAAACAGATTAGTCAGAGCTTCTATACTTATTTGCCAACAAAATGTCGAATATTGACAACAATCCAGTCCAAAGGAAAGAAACTCACCAAAAGTCTCGAACTGCAAATTAGTCCCATGAAGTTATTACTCTGCGCAATGCGGACCACTTCTTTGATACTGCTTGTCCTACGTCCGCCATTCTGAATAACCCCGTTCTGAGTTTTGGCAGGAACGTCATCTCTGCCCAAGTCGTTGCAAAGAAAGACTGGAAAGTTGGGCTGCTTCCAGTTGAGAGTGGTACACAGTGTCGAGTTGTAACTGCTGAATACCACAGATCGAACGACGTCGGGCGCCTTGATAGATTGTCTCTGTGCTCGAGCATGGTCGAATACGACACTCAAGACTGCATCCACGAATATGTTGATATCCACGGTAGGACCCAATCCAAGAACACGTTCCTCATCTTCAGAAGGGTATATGATCTGAAGGTTGACGTGCATAGTGGCGGGCAGGATGGCAAGGGCTTGCTGCAGTGGAATACCGGCGGTTGCCAAGACTCGGTGGACATCTGCAATATTTTCTTGTGGCTGAGAATGCAATTCGGCTAGATAAGCTCGTGCTGGGCTTTGCGATGTCACGGCACTGAACTGTTCCAGAGACAGGCGGGAGACGGGTATATCCACGCCGCCACAGTTGATCCGCCATTGCGGCCACAGTACAGGTACACCATCACTGGTAGACTGCACGAACAACTGAACAAAATCGCCAGAAAGACTCGATCCAGTAACAAACATACTCTGATGCGATTCCAGCTGACTTGTCGCTTTCCAGTATGTTTCAAAATCTGTAATTTCAAGTGGAACGCCCTGGAAAGGCTTGATGACTTGCGTATTGAAGGTTATCTGGCCAATGGCCCGCAGCCTGGGATCGAAAAGCGGAAGACAGCATCGTCCTGAGCTTTGCAGCAGTGCCCGAAAGGTATTTGGTAGTGCCACTGTCTTGGCAATAACCTTGGCACCATACGCTGGGAATACGTCAAAGTCGAGGGAGAAGGTGTCCAAGTCTTCGACTTGGAACGACACAAGCCGCGTATCTTCTTGGAACGGCAATATAATATTCTTTGGAATGAGGTCGGAGAGCTTTGACGATATGGTAAGTCGTGCTGCAGGGTACTTGCTATCGTGGAAGAACACAAGAGGCTGCTCCCCTTGTTCGTCGAAGCTGATCTGCACGACTGTCTTGGTATCAAGGAAGTTGTGTCCATACCTTCGGAGAGGAATGATGGGAGGGGGCAGTTCAAGAACAGGGATAGCATCGGGGTCCAGAGCATCAAGGGCCATAGGTATAGGACCAGTCCCGCTGCCCATTGGTCCCAATGAAGGAGCGGTCGCCTGCAGGCCGCGAGGACTGGTGGTTTTGCCTCTCTGGTAAGGCGTGAGAAGCTTCATGCATTCAAGATGTCCTTCCCAGGCTGCATAGTACATTGCTGGCAGGTCCTTCTCGTCTAGAATATTGGGATTGGCCCCAACAGTAAGAAGCTCTCGTAGGCAAGGCACATTACCTTCGCTGGCAGCATGCACTAGAGGTGTCCAGCCGTAAAGCTTGTCAATCTGGTCCAGATCAGCCCCAAAATCCTTGAGCAGACGAAGGAGCTGGGGTGTCTGGCCAGAGCGAGCGACAAGATGCTGTGGATAAAGCCCTTCTGCATCGGGCAAGATCTTTGCTCCATTGCGCAAAAGAAGCTCTACAATGGCGAGAGAGCCATGCTCGCAGGCCAAATTTAATGGAACGTGATCCGTCTCTGACTGCGGGTCTAGTCGCGTGGTTGCTGCCAGGAGACGCTCTACACAAGCAAGATGCCCATGAATGATTGCATGAATCAGGGGAGTGAAGTTATCATGATCAATCAGATCAACGGTCGAAACATCCGCTGCTCTAGTCAGTAATGGCTGAGAACGAAGTCAATGTATCGGACTTACCTTGCAGAAGGGCATCGAGCATGTCTAAACGGCCATGCATGCTAGCGTAATGCAACGGGACTCTACCATAGACATCGGTTCTGTTGACTGCGACGCCTTTCGAAAGACCAACTCCAAGCACAAACGTGTTTCCATAGATTGTGGCCTGGTGTAGGCAGTTCCGCTCGTTGATATCATCCTCAGATTGAACATCGACGAGCCCTGTGGCCAGCAGGACCTCCAGAGAAGCTTGCGGCGCCTCGTGAATGGCAGCCAGGAAGGTCCTTGTGATTCTCTCCATGAGTGAAGACTCCATACTTGCCGAGGAATTTGTAGCTGCCCTCATTCGTGTCAGAAGGTCCCGCAAAGATTCCAGGTTGCCAGAGATGGCCGTGTCGAGCAGCAGGGAGTCTGCGTCTCCCTCATCAGTACCCAGGAGATGTTGGCTGCTAACAGTATGTTCCTGGCGGACTTCAAAGTTGACATTATCACCTTCTGACCAGGCTCCCAACTCCTGCAAACTGGTAGTGGCCTGGTCAGACAATTCGCTGATGACTGTGGCATTAAAGAATGGCTGTACTTCCACAGCACGTGAAAGATACAACTCTTTTGTCTTAGATTTCGAAGTCTTGTCCCATTTCTTCAATATCTTGGAGAAGGCAGTTCCGTTGATCTCGACAAACTGCTGGAGCTTGTTGAGGTCGTTTGCAAATTGTTGGAAGCCTTCTTGAAGAGTTGTAAACTTGGCGGATCGTCTGGAAACACCTTGGCGCGACTGAAGCACCTTTTTCTTGTCCAACAGAGTCTTGAGCCGGATTTTGAGCTGAGCTAAGAGTCAGTTACACTACACTCTTGGTCCGGGTGAGACTATCGTTTCACGACAGACGGCTTACCTCGGCTTCCTTTTGCATGTAGAAAGCATTCACTTTTTCGAGTTCTCGTTCCTGAATTATATCAGCTCTGTTCCGCAGCACGAAGAAGGCAAAGTAAAACTTACTAATTGAAAGAAGAATTTTGCCTTGTTGGCTTGCAGGGCAGCCTGCGAGTCTATGGGCTGGTTGGGATCATTCTGCGCGCTGAGCACCGGAGTGGCAGATAGTCGCTTGATGAGCTGTTTGTCATAGCGTGAGCGATACAGACTTGGGTAAGTACGAGAGCGGGCAGCAACGGAGAGGAATCAAGCTTCTGTAATGCAATGAAACTTGCTTTTCGCCAAGGTGTTCTCCAATGCGTGGAGCTACGGCAGATTAATCGTCAACATACCTTCTTCAAAGCCTTGTAATTGACGAAGCTGGCAGCATATTCTGGTACCTCAAGCTGGCGCTTCTGTATTTGTTTTCCGAACTTCCTGCAGGAGCTGTCAGTTGATCCACTCCATTGGAGCCATAGTCATGCTTGACAGCAGGAGCGCTTTGGATGGAATCCAACTTGACTCACATGTTGCAACGTGTTAATCGGCAGCCAGCCTATGGAGGCTGGTTGCTCGAGTAATTTAGTTGGGTTCAAGAAGCAATGTGTACGTCAATGGGTGATTGGGCTGCTTCTTCTTCTTTCAAGTTATTGGATACAGAGCTGAGCAACAGGCGGTTGATCAAGCAGTATTACGTGGCTGTCTACCGATGCTTCTAGCCCTTGACGCCCAAGATATACTTTGACGAATGGTCGATATATCTGTGCGTAGAGTACTGCAGTTGAAGCACGAAAGAGAGCCAGATTGAAGCCCAAGCCACGTGGTTCCTGCTGTGGACAAAAGAGCCTTTGGGCATACAGAGAGAGTGGTTGTCCAACGGATAAACGGAATACCAAAAGCGGAATTCCCGTATCGTATCAATTGTGTCTGTCTATAGTAGTCAATATATTATAGCTTGTTGGAATGATAAATCAGAAGGGGTGTGAGGACGCTTCATTAGGAGATGAACATCCCCGTAGAAAGTGACGCTACGCCATTGAGCAGGGTGTTTTACCTTGAGGTAAGAAGACTGACTGACTAGATACTTGGTTAATGTCAGCCGCCGACCCAGAAGTATGCAAAAGCAGAATAATAAGCTAGCGTGGGTGGAAACACGAGAATGAATAAATTGAGTCGCGATTCTCCAGTCTGGCCCAAGCAAGTCCATGGTCAACTACCCAAGACGTCGAGGCAGCAATACTACCCAGACAAGGTGGCCAGCGAGAACGCTGGACAGAGGTCAGGTGTAAGAGGTGCGTGAAGACATGGGACTGACTCGAGGGACGTGCTTGCTGGCAGCGGTGTCGGACTCAATCACGACTGGTCACCAGACGTATTCCGTACCGACCACCCTGCTTTGGTGTAACCAATGGTTACAGGGAGTTGTATATAACACACACCCTGGTGGGCAGCTTGCCGACCGACGGGTTGGCTCCCAGGCCTTGCAGAAGGATGGACCGCGAGATCCCTACTTGGGCTCAGCAAGTGCAGGATGGCCGCTGCTTGCTTGCAGGCGAGTATGATAAGCAGCAGAGCGGCAGATGGCTGCTCAATGCGGTAAGAAGCGGTCCCGGGGAGAGAGAGAGAGAGAAGCACAAAAATTGACCCTGAGCTGGGTGCAGAGGTACAAGCAACAGCTTTGGAGCAATGCAAAACAAGACAGCCGGTGACTATAACGGCTCTCGTTTCTGTCTCGGTAGATGCCGCCTTGACAGGTTCAGGTACAAGCAAGGGGAGCTAGGGATTGACGTACAGAGTGGCGTTTCTGGCAGCGCGACCGAGTCTCGCTGAGCACTCTTTCTGGTCTGTTTGTGGTCGCAGAATGGTCTCAGAAGGAAGATAGATCGATCGATATGACCAGTTAATCATAAGGTTCGGGTTGAATGAGGCTCAAAGAAAGTTTTCCAAGGGAGATTTGGGAAGGGCATCCGAAAAGGTCATAGATGGTGGGGTTGGCGACTTTGGCGGTTAGGGGAGGGGCTTTCTAAACTTGACTTCCAAGGGCCGAACTTAATGGTGGGACGGGTTCTAACATGACATTGCAGGTGCTAGATACATTACTCTTTTTTTCCCTCTTCTACTTTTCTAATATTTTCGCTCACTTTCTCGTGTTGTTCGTACCTAGCTGTCGAGTTTTCACACATGACTACATATCTTATTTTTTTGGTGAGAATGATAGTAATGCAATGTCAAACTTTATAAATTACAGCTCTCATTAAACGACCGTTCCCCATTTCAATGCCGCCCGAGAAAACCATTGTCACTGACCTTTCACAGAAGACATCCAGTACCAACCAGAACATCCCTCCTCTCACATGCCATGGCCGCTAAAACGGTGTGAGAGGAGCATAGAGGGGTTCTTTTGCTGGGAACTGATGGGTATCGTTCATGGTCGATATACATACGGAATGCAATTGAGTTGGAGGCCTTTATACAGCCAATCAGCGGCCCCAACGCGACCTCGTGGCAGCTCAAGCATCATTTTTGGGCAAGGCTGACTGGAACCCCCCCTGTTCGCTCTATTTAGCTAGTAGCTATGAACTTGCATGTAGGTCATGTAGGCAAGCATCAATGATCCTCAATAGGTGAGTCCAATTACACGGAAATAGTGGGGAGATCCAATGTTGTACAGAACAGTGTGTCTGGTGTATCTGGCAGTCAATATGTAAGCACCACTCAAGGCTCGGTACCTACCTCAACTGCCTTGTACCTACCGTAGTCACATACGCAGACAAGGTACGCAGTACAAACTAAGGCATATTAAAGGAACACGGCTCTGTCAGCCGAGGTATTATACTGCAATCCATGTTCGGGTAATAAATGCTTGAAAAGCTTGTCATGGATCTCCAGCTATTCCCAATATTGAGTATATTGTCCCTATAGAGTAGTTCTGAACATCCCCTTGTATGGCATCTTGTATGTCTCTAAGGCGGCACTCTTTTACCCATTTCGTTTTTATATGAAATCTCCAGGCATGCAGATGGCATTGCAATCGAGGCCTGCTCATAACCAAGCGACCGTGAAAAGTCGCAACAAGGAGAAAGACAAAAAAAAAAAAAAAAAAAACGCCATCCCAATTCATCTCTCAATATTGCAGAAATCTTCGCTAGACTACGTAAACCCATCCAGGAAATTCAAAGGGCCGCAGTGCAGCCAAAAACAAATATATATCTCCCATGCAGTGTTGAGCTGTTCCCAAACGCCGATGCTGTGCCTGAACCATGAAACTCTTTTTGTAAACAAATTAGCCCAAACCGATATTCTTGGCCAAGCCCTCTCTATCGATGGCCGAAAAGATTGATCTCGTCCTCCTCATCCTCGGCGTCGTCTTCATCCATATCGTCTGCCGTAGAAGAGACGGAATCATCGTCCGAGTCGTATTCCTCCTCATCTTGGTCGTCGTCGTTGGATGTAATGCTCCGCGGGACCCGTCTCCATAGGCCAATCATGTCTTCTTTATCCTCCTCGTCTGAATCATCCATATCGCCGCCAGGATGATTGATCGCTGTTGGGGAAACTGATCTGGCAAACCTCTCTTGCACAGTGTAAGATCCGATCTCTGGGGGCCTGAGATTCAGATTGTCTGTGCTTAACTGCATGAGATTGGAAGAATGCCGCCTTCTCCGGGGAATATCTCGAGCAACAGAAGCTGTCGAGGACTGTAGCAGCTCTGTACTGCTGCTGACTAGTAGTGGTTCAGTCGCCTGCACATCGGGTACCGCAGCAGAAGCGGTCCCGCGCGAATCGTCTTCGCCTAGTATTTGTAGTTGTGAAGTATTGTAGGACTGACAGACAGCACACTTCAAACCAAGCCAGTGATACTTGACTGTAGTCTTTGCAGAGCAGTCGTTGCACGAGACAATAGCACGGGTGTCTTGAAACTTTTCCGGCATCGGTTGTGTCTCAATTGCAATGTCGAGTCTCCTGAACTGTGTTTCCATGTTGACTATGCTCTTGCTGCATATCGGGCATTTGTAGGCGTGTTTGATGTGCTCATCCCAGCAATCCTTATGCAACGTGTGTCCACACTTCATGTGACATATGCCGCGGGTCGTATTGAACATGTATTCGCCGCATATAGGACAGTCACAGTCCAGAAGGCGTTCGATACACTTGTGCCTATTTTCAAAGTTGATGTTGAGGCAGGCATTGCATGTCTGCAATACATTGTTAGCTTGAAAGAACCATCCAGGAAGAATCTCCGGGCCTACCTTGCAGTGGAAAAAGTCCTTTCCAAGCCCTCTTCCCACCCGACAAATGCCACAATCAGGGCAATGGTAGATGCTCCTGTCTGGGTCGTTATTCCACAACTTGCAGATCAAGCAGTAATACATGGCAGCGGTCTCCCCACAGCTCACGCAAGCTTCACCCGCCTTCTGCGCAACGCCACAATACATACAAAGCATATTTCTAGTGTCTTTTGCAATCATGGCGTGGCTTTCGATCTTGTCGTGACAGAATCTGCAAGTGTACCAGCGCCCACAGATGGAGCATTCCGATTTGACATTTCTCTTGTAATGCTCGCAACCCAAGGCACGGTACTCGGACTCCTCCTCTCCAGGTTTCAGAGGAGCAAAAGTCGGTCTTATGTCGTCTTCTGTGAGACGGAACTTCTCAGCAGGTGCTTCCTCGCCAAGTAAATGGTTCCAAATGAATGAGTCAAGCACACCCTGCGTTGGTTTCTGCTCCCATCCGACTGAGCTGGAGGGCGAAATAGGTCGGTCTTCCTCGGGTACGGCGCGCGACTTTTTGTTATAGTTCTCCATCAATATCAAATGCATCAAGCGAGCTTGGTCGGTAGGGGGTAACTGCATAGCCTGAACTTCTAGAATCCGCTTCCTTAGAGCACCCATTCCATCGTCTTCTGGCAGAGGGTCTGGCCGCTCAGCAACCGGAGGAGCAGCATCTCTCGCGCTCGACGCTTGAGCGTCTGTGCGATCACTTTCGGCGGCGGGGGCCGAGGTCATTGACACATCTGATGTATCTCGTTCTCTGGTGACAGTTTGGCCTCCAGCTGCGCTCGCGACGCCGCTTTCGGATGTCGTGGAGATTGCATTTGGTGCTACCGTCGTTGGTGGATTGTGGGAAAAGATGGATCGATCCCGTTGTAGTTCTGGCTCGACATCCTCACAGCCCAGATGAGGTATTAGCGAACTTGGGGATGCGGTGGGCGGGGATGTATTCTCGTCCCTGTCCTTGGGAAAGGAACCCTCTCCAGTCTCGGAGATTGCATCGTCGCGATTGATAGGGAGGCAGTCTTTGGATCGACAAGGAGAATCTGGTCTGTCGGTCTCGCTTCTGACGCTGGAGCGAGAAAATCGGCGGACTTGTTGTAGGGCAGGCCTGATGATATATTCCGAGACCATGTAGGACATGGCGATGGTGACGAATGTGACATCAGACGGCCAGGACTGCCGGGGTCTGGAAGGTCATGCCGTGCAAACGATTGCGTAGAAGCTGGGGAAAACGCAGGTCCAAGAGAATCGGACGCAATGAGGGTTTTGTGTGATCGGTCACACTTTCATTCAGGGATGACTCGGAAACGACGAGAGGGAATCGTGTGACTCTGTACCCATGAATCAATCGATTTGACGGAGTCGTCTGGGTCGGGGCTCTTCCAATGACATAAGATGATTTCGGCGGAGAGTTTCCACTGCGTTCAGGCGCTGGCCATTGAAGGTTCTAGCGCGGGCGGGCGGGCGGGGACGGCTCAGCTGGCACTGGTCCAGGCTGCTGGAAACCCACTGGAAGCCTTCTGCCAGCATGTGATATGCGCTGGATCCGGCTCGTTAGCCCATTGTATCCGCTGGAAACGGCCGGTCGGGTCCATCAATCGGCCGGTCAAATTTGTGTTTTGAATTCTTGACACTGGATGCCAAGAATGGGAGAAGGAACCTCAGATATCCCAGTACGAACGACGTATTCATAAATCATAATTACCCAAGAGACTTTGTCCTCTGCAACAAGCAACACTATTCATTCCGAGTTGTTAGCAGCGGTTTACTATTCATTTCTCTACATTGACAAAATGGCGGATATTCAGGTGCTGCATGCATATCGTCATCTTTACCGTCACGGCCTTCGCGCCATCCAGTTCTCCAAGCCAGCCCGCTTTGTTTTACGAGATCGCCTCAGGGCTGCATTCCGCGAAAAAGGCGCGCAGCTCGACCAGGCCGGTGTAGCAAAGACTCTGCAGTTCTTTGAAGCGGCACAAGGGTCCCGGGGTTTAGAGCACAAAGTTCTGAAAAATCTTCTATTCGTTGCGTTCCACCGTTACGAGGGTAGAGGCATGAAAACGACGACTATTGAGAATTTCAAGTGAGTCGTCTAGACTTGACTAGTCGAGCTACATTTGATCTGACATTTGCTAGGATCCGTCCTTTGAATCGAGAATTCAGAGCAACAGCTTACAAGCACTACGACATGACAATAGCTATGCTAAACAAGTCTATGGGACTTTGTTTGAGAGGATGAACAGGCTCGAGATATCACACCACCACCTTCACGTTGACAACATCATCAACAGTGAGTTATGGACAAAAAACTCAAGGGCCATATCATTGCAGGCTAGCTATCGTATTCTCAACTGTTGTGTGCTGGCTCTTTAGCATTATGAGCTCTCATGTGCCATGGCCAGCCACAAACGAAATTTGGGTCCAGACAGCCGGATCCTTCTCACCACTTCCAGGAGCTCAGGACTCATTTTGGGGGCTCGCCGTCGATGCCTCTGATTTGGATCTTGCTAAGATGTCGGGTTTGCAATGAACTTAGACATTGCCTTCACAAACTTGAGCTTGTCCAACCAAGGTTACTGTTGGTACTGCCAAATACCAACAAGAACGTACTCGAGGCGTGTCGATAGAGGTATCTGACGCGCATAGAATTTCTGAAGAAATTGCAGAGGTTGTCCAATTGATGATGGGGCGGCTCCTTCATTCCAGGAACAGGTATACACATGTGCATTCAGTGCCGGCTCCACGAGTTGCGAGACTGATCGCGTAGAAGCTGCTGACAATGGCGAGCAAGATAGCAGACTTGCCGGATTTGAATTCACTATCTTTTTTAATCTTCTTCTTTCTCATTTACAGTGGGGACAGAAGACTTGTTCACAAGTATTTCTTCGAACATCCCGCAGTAGATCGAAAAACCACCCAGTCTGAAGCTTCATCAAATGGTATTTGATGTCCACTGCGGCTCAGTTTTGAGCTGGACAAAGACTGCCAACAGACGGTGCTTTGAGGCTTGTATCGGATTCCTCGTAGATTGATGTGATGATATACGCGTCGCCTTCCATGTTACTTTGGGAAGACTATTTTGATTCTTTTTTCATGATTACATATGACAAACACCATAATGCAGGGATTCAATGGACTGACATCATCGTGCAAGCACTCTCTTTTGTTTACAAGTCATGGTTAAAGTTGTCCCAAGAAATGTGATAAGTGAACTTATCAGGCTCAAGTTATCTCTACATGTAATTGGTGGAAATGGCAAAATTATGAAGTATCGAATCCTGTATGTTAAGGCATATTGGCAGGCTATAAACTTACGGGAGGAACCACCATCCAGCTGCCCAAAGCGAGTTCGACTTGGAGACGTAAGCTCCTCAACTTTCGTAAAATGATATCAGTAGACGACTGAAGGCTCAATGGCTTGAATATAGTACAGCCGTCTCTGGCAACTCGCGAGACGTACAATACGTCCAGCGAATCCCGTGTCACATTCGGAGTCCTGGCAACTCGATTATGGCACGGATCGACAGTGAAGGATAGACTAAATACCACATATTGAATTACCCAAATTGCACGAACCGCAAGATGGTTCAGTATGCGACAATTAATGGAGAATGAGTCGGTGTTTCTCGAATGGTGCCAATCCCAAGCTTTTACGTATTCATGACTGTATACTCGTCTCATGTGGGTTACGTATGACTGTGGTTAATTTCCAAAAAAGCTCGTGGCCCAATATAGCTGTTGGATGCCTTCATTCTCTCAATGATTCCTGCAGTGCAGAGTGCTCACTTGGGTGAAGCTTCATACACGTGATTGAAATTGATTGCGAAGTCGGAAGAAATCGGTTGATTCATCTACTCATCATTCTCCTGTCTGTTGAGGAAGTCGGGATCCGTGCCGTGAGTTTCAGTCTCTGTGCAGGTAAAAAGAGGCGGCAAATCCGTGTCCCCCAGCCGCCCACCACTGGGAGATGCGCTAGGCCGGTTATAGGGAAAAGCCACTGAGAAGTGGAACGAGTGAGCTGCTGTACTACCGAAGCTTCAGCTCCATTTTTGCATGACCCCCCAGGAGGTGGATATTAGAGCAACTCCAGACGGGCCAGGGGGACAAAGAGGGAGCACCTTTTGGAGCAGCAGAGCAAGCTACTATCAGCACTTGCTAGCGACGAGTGCCAGCAACTAAACCAGAAGAGAAAAACATACGACCCCGCAATTTGGAAGCATCAACCCATCATATCACAAGACTGGCCGGTCCCAACCCAAAAAGTAAGGGAACCAAATTCACCGACCCCCCCAGGACAAACAAGAAGAGCCAAGAGAGAGAACATCTCCCTTCTTTTGATGGCAACGCCCCTGCCGAGACTCGATATCATCACAGTATAGCGACCGCGCTGATGACTCTGGTCTCCTCCCATGGGGCCACTGTCTGAAGCTGCCTGCCCCGCAATACTAGGAGGACGAACATAGGCACACGCCCTGCTTGTCCGATACAGCCAAGAGGAGGCCATGCCGGCTGCTACTGAGGCGGTCGACTTCAATCAACAAGATGTCACAAGGTTCCAGAACCGACCCGCCAGCAGCATGCCTCAATTCAGCAGTGGAAGTAGATCGACAACGACGACGGCGAGCACCTCGGCGTCGACCCAACAACACCAAAACCAACAACAGCAGCAACAACAAGACCAGGACCAACCGAGGCGCTGGATAAAGCGCTACAGGACCCAAGTTTCAGCGAGCTCGGCCAGTGTCCTGTCCACCATTACCGCCTTCCCCCTCGACAGCGTAAAGACTCGACTACAGACATACCCTTACAATGGTTTCTTGCATTGTGTTGGAAAAACGTACCAATCGGAAGGAATCCGAGGCTTCTTTCGAGGTACGCTTCCAATTGACCACCATGTACTCCACATCTTCATTATACACATGTTCTCTACATTACTCTGCATGGTGCATTTCAAGAAGCAGGAAGTGACTCGAAGCTGAATTCATTGCAATGACAGGTGTAACTGCCCCTTTGGCTAGCGTGACGCTCGTACGGACTGTCTCCTTCTCGATATACCAACGTTCCAAGTACATTTATTCGGATTGGATGGGCAAACACATGGGCTTTTGCCCCCTTGAACACGTCAACAAGAATGGCACGTATCCGAACCTGGGAACTATCGCCTGTTTTGGAGCCGCTGGGGCTACTGCCGGTTCAGGTATTACCTTGATCGCATGTGAGTTGCTCGTGCAATCCATAATTGAGATGAAATGTGATCGACATCTGTAATGGTCTCATGACTGACTCTTCTCGTACACGACTAGGTCCCTTCGAGCTCACCAAGATAAGCGCACAAGTATCGGTTCTCATGGCAAACCAGAAGAATGCGGATCCGAAATGCCAGGAAATTGCAATGAGCTACCATAACAAAGGCACCATCATGACTTTACGAAATCTAGTCAAACACAGAGGGCTCTCGGGGATGTACACTGGTCTCAATTTACATCTCTGTAAGTTCAATGGAAGGGTTCATACTGTGAGCTGGCACCTCTGACATCCAACTCTAGTGAGAGATACCCTAGGAACCGGAATTTACTTTGCCACATACGAGAGCGGTAAACAGCTCTTGACTACCTTTAGTGGCACCGACGCACACAAAAACCCCATTGCCGTTTTGATTGCTGGTGGTCTTTGCGGCATTGTATCGTGGGCTCTCATCTGTGAGTATCCCGAGCTTCGGACATTCTTCTGGGTCCGAACTTACCTCACACTAACACCCTAATTCCAGACCCCCTTGACTCGGTCAAGAGCATCTACCAGCGCAACGCATTGATGTACTCAAAGGGCCAAACAGTGCCGATGCCCAAAATCGAGTTCTTCAGAAAGGATATGTATCGAGGACTCGGTGTATCCATGGGCAGATCAGCTGCGGTAAACGCAGTCTTCTTCTCCGCCTTTGAGTTCTTCAAGAAGAAGATTAACAACCTCGAGGATATCGACTAATGAAATACTCGCACACACCTACACACTCACGCATGGCGAATCTCAATGTGGAACCCAAGAGAAATGGGAGACCGAGCGCCTCAAGTCAGCTTGATTATGAACTTCATTTGCATTTATAGGACGAACGCGGCGCAATCAATGGCGCAAATGGAATTGGCGTTTTTCCCTCGAGGTGGCCATATGCTCGCTACTGCAATAACACTCCCAAATTGAGAAACAAAAAATGGGGCTGGATCATGAGGTGTATTCCAGCGAAACGGTTTTTTGGTGGCATGTAGGAACACGAGATCCTTATGAGATCCTGATGAACAAGAGTTTGATGATTCGAGCGGAGGAGATACCAGAACTCTGGCATGAGGGGAGACCACATTCCCCAAAGCAAATGATGCGCCACAAGCAATTGCACAAGCAGTACATGAACAATAAATTTTGCAACAAGAATGTCATTCGAAAGGATATGTGATGAGCAGAAGATATATCGATTTCTCATCATGGCATCAGTCTTCGTCCGTTCCAAGCCAAGTCGATACATGACTAGCCCTGCCCCGGAAGTCCTTTCGGATGCTGTAATGCATGCGTATGATTATTTCCCTGTGTTGTCTATTCCGTACAATCAAAACCCTGATCCGCTTGTCCTTGCGAACGCCAAACAACCAACATAAAGCAAAAAACCCAGGTCCAGATATCGAACGCCGCTCCTGCTTTCTGATGCAGGATACGAAACCTGAAGCCATCGGCGGCATTCCTTTGCTATCATCCTCATGAACCGTGACCTAACCATTTCCTGTACAAAGTTTCCAAGAACATGCCATTTCATGCGCATCAAGGGAGGAGCAACTTTAGTCGCTCTTCAACATGCTCTCCACTAGGTCGCCCAAGGGTCCCCAGTAATCCTTGCCGCTGGCGAGGTGGTGCTCGTCGATGAAGAGGACGTACTGCTTGAAGCTGGTGTTGAGGTGGGGCTCGAGGCCGAGCTCGCGAATGACGGGGTAGTGGTGGCAGTAAATGTGGGCGTAGACGCGGTACATGCGCTTGAAGATTTGGCGGACGAGGCTGGGGAACTGCTTGGGGAAGGGGACGCCGATGCGCGAGGGCAGGACCGCCTCGTTGTCAATGTTGCCTTGCACCCACGACATGAGCTGCTCAATGTAGGCCGGCGCCGGCATCTTGGTCGGTCGCTTGTAGTTTTCATTGTCCTGCCAGAGGTACTCGAACCTACAGGTTGAATCATTGGGTCAGTTTCTTGATCGACATGTCTTTCGATATATATGTCTCGGGCCGATAATAAGGTTCACGTACTCATCTGTGGCCTTCATCTCCGGGCAGCTCTGCGGCGAGCAAAATTCGGTGATGGCACCATACAGCAGGTTGACCTGGTTGTAGAAATCGACCATGTTGACGGCGAGCCACTCGTTCTCATCTTCACCCTCGGGCAGCTTGACTACCTTGCGCAGGGAGCCACCGCCCAATGTCGCCTCGGCATACTGGCGCAGCTGGTAGGATGTGTTGCCCTTGCCGCCAGCGCGGGGCCGGAATTGGTTCCGGGTTCTCTGGTTGCTGTGGCGGGAAAGAGTATCGCGTTAGTTGTTGTTCTTGATCGAGTATATGCGTTTGCTCTGGACGTGAGAAACGAAGGGGAAGATGCATACACTGTCGTTATAAAGGAAGTCATTCTGAGAGCAGTCGTTTGGTCTGTAGTCGCAGGATCTGGATCTGTTTGTCGTTAGCGGGGCACATTGTCAAGGGGGTTTGATGGCGACGCAGCGCAGGCACAAATCTTACTCGAGTAGAAATTGCAATGTACCAATAAAGTGGGAGACGTGTAGTCGAGGTCAAAGGTTGTATATGTGGTTGATTGGTAGCGCGGCTGTCTGTGAGGTTTTGTGTGTTTAGATGGTTCGTCGGGAGGTGCGAGACTCGTCAAAAGTGATAAGGCGCAAATCAAATCAAATTGGTCTGTTTACTGTCCGATTGAATGAGATGCGGCCCCCGTTGCCCAGCACTAAGGTCCAGCAGTGACGTTGCAGGTGCCCCACATCTGGCCCGGCCGCCTGGGGCCCAGTGGGCCATTCAAGGCTTCTTCCCCTGATCTGGAATCTTGTGGTCCCTGAACTTGCCGCCCCAGCCAAGCTGACAGGGGAAGGTCCCGAATGGATCTGGATTCTGTAGGTACAAATGTACTAATGCGAGTTAATCCCAAACTCTGGGGAATAACCAGCCGATCAAAACCAACCGCAAGTTTGCCATTCTCATACCTTATGACAAACTTGACGATAGTCTCACAAAGTAGCTGATATAGGGTCTGAACTACTGAATTATGACTAAACTTGGCCATCCGATTGCCGTCATTCTTCTCACACATCACGCACCAGAAGCCACAATCTTCCACAGTCCCTCTTTCTTCCAAGATGTGGTCCCAAATTGGGAATGAAATCGATACCTGCCCAAAGACGATCATCTTCCATTATAGCGACAGTAGCCTTGAAAGTGGCATTCATCCGCCTTGATGAGTCCTTGAATATCTGACAAGCAACAAAAGATCTCGATTTGATAGCCTTGTGCGCTAGCATCGCAATGTCCATCTGCCTCGAAAGGGTATTATCTATTCCATAGTTCTTCAGGCCATAGTCCAGTCAGGTATATGCCCTCTAAGGCACACAGGAATGCAACAGGATTGAAAATTATTCTCACTGGTCTGATTAGTCGTTATCGGTAGATTTGTGTGACCAAGGGAAAGGGATTGCAAATAGGTTGTTCGGATAGCTTGGCGAGTGATAAATTTACCAAATTCATGTTTCATAGAGTGCTAAATGTTGTACCAACAATTTGCGTGTTTGTGGCACAGATACCTTGAGTAGACTTCCCAGCTGAGTAACATGAGATTTGCACGTCTAATAGTTCGGCTCGACTGCTACAAATTCTTGTCCTAAGTTTCATATAGCTACCGTAATTGCTACGGTGCAAGAAAGGAATACAAATAATGGCTGGATTCACTTCAGATTCAAAACAGCTGTATCCGCTAGGCGGTCTCGAGGTAATATGGATCATGGGCTCCCATCTGTTCCACCTGCTCTATTGAAACTCAAAGTCTGTACTCATGGCGGCATTCGAGGCAAAGAAGTCAGCGAATGATGATTGGCCAATGTCTGTCTGCTCTCCTTCAATAGTTGTATAATATTGCAAAGTTCCCCCGGAAGGCAATGGCGAAGTCTCATAGGTGGTTGTCTGCAGTGTCTGAGAGGCAGACTGAGAATGGTCGGCTGACGATCCTGCTTCTTCGACCCGGCGATCCACTCTTGCTGCGAACCCAACTACGGGCTGATTTGCTGTGATTGTATCAATCTGTACGGACGGCATGATGTCTGATATGAGGTTGCCCTGACCATCGGAAATCGGTGACCGCAAATTCGCCACGGGGCCGGTGAGAGCAGGTGATATCGATGTACTTGAGGATGGTGGAGTTGTGGAAGCATTTCTTCTGAGACCAACCCATTGTTCATAGATTGCATTCAGACCTCTGGCCAAGATTTGTCTTCCTTGCGCCTCTCGCTCCTCCGAAGAGAGCGACCACACGCCGTTGCGATTAAGCTCGTCCATGAGAACGTCGTGTCCGCGATTCGTCCAGTACTCCTGGAATGAATTCATCTCCTCCGTCAGCTCTGATTCCACGTAAGCCGAGGCCGGTCTCGCCGCACCGGGAAATAGGATGCCCCAAATGGTAAACCATTGCTCTTCCTCTCCCAGGTTGCGGTCTGACTTTTTGCTGATGGCTCTGCTTTGCATCGTCGTTATGCCTTCCAAGCGGCTTCCAGGAGTTCTGAAACAGGCCACATTGGATTGCAAGTGTATATCATATCGATCGGTATCTTCGAAGACCTCTAAGCACCTATCACAATACATTTCTGGAGTGTGGCGGCGATGGAGATGCTGCTTGACATCCCGTATGCGTCTCAGGGTCAATTTACAGCATAAGCGATGTTTTTCCCAATCTTGTTTCCAAAACGGACATGCAAGTACTTTCAGGCGGATACCATCTTCTTTCGCTCGTTTTGCAGCCTTTGGCGGTGGGCCGTTGTCAAATCCTTCAGTGAACTCCTGGTCGCTCGGCTTTCTCTTCCCCAAGCTGGACTGAGAATTGCTGCGCGTAGAAAGACTGGAGGCACTTGCTTCTGGCGTAACATATGAATCTCCTCCGTTATGGGAGCGCGTTATAGCCTGGTAGTCTCTCAAGATGTGATCGAGTATGCGCTGCTGGATTGGAGGGAGAGGCCGAGTATCGAAGCACAGTCCAGGGTCAGAGGTATCAGATATCGACAAGAGGTCCGAGTCGGTGGCAACACTATAATACTCTGCCGGGCTACCACTTCCAGAGCTGACTGTGGACATGCTACCGCTCTTCAGGGCTTCTGGGGCCTTCAAATCTTCGATCCAGACTTTGGTACTGCTCTTTGCCAAATGCGATGGACTCAAAGTACCATCCAGTGAGGAAAACGATTGATGTTTATCCAGTTCACCTACCACATCTGCTAATGAATGGTTGTCCATATCTCCGGCTGGAGATGTGCTATTTCTTTCCAGAGGGTTTGATAGTGACTAGGATGGCTCAAAGTTAGTCTTTGTGATTGTTCAATAGAAGCAGTCAGAAGGCGAAATATCAGGATGAAGAGAGTATCATGCAGGTTCCTCCATTGAGGAGGCCAGATAAGTATGGTGCTTCAAGCCATAAACATAATCAAATGAACAAGTACTATGGGGAGAGCAAAAACGGGCCTGTACTTACCCGTACTGGAATTTGTCTCGGGTCCTGGGTAATTTCGCTTTGGGGTCCGCCCCAGTAACTCATGGCAACATAGGGCGATGCAACTTCAGCTTCACTGGTTGGCGCCTTCAAACTCGGTAGCAGCCCTTGACCTGCCGTCGCCGGTGTAGTCGATTCATGTTGCAATACTTTTCTGTCGTGATCATGATTCGAATTCGAATGTTGATGCGGAGCCTTCTTGCTACATCCAAGAATATGTTGTTCGAATAGATCCTTCGCCGTCGGTAAGTAGGACGCAGTGCAGGAGCACAGATATTCCGGCTGCCTGTGGGTCTTTTTACAAAAGCGAATATGCCTGACCAAATTCTCTGCTCGTTGATACTTCGCTCCGCAGAGGCACCGAGAATATGTCTGCTGAGAATTTTGAGACGCCCGGTTCAAGCCAGTATTGATACAGCTATAAAAATGTTAGCATTTTGTCAGATAGAGACTCTCAGCGAATTTTACCTTTTATTGGACGTGCATGTCGACTTGGAACCCGCAGCTGATTGATCAACCGGAGCATATCGGTCGTCACTAATATAGCCACTGTCGACAGAGAAACCAGAGATATTAGTGAGTGATGGGGAGACGTTCCACGTTGTTAAGTTTCCGCCAGCTGGTGTGAATTCGGAATCGAGTGGATGTAAATCCTCAAGTGGATTTGAATCCGGATTCATTTGAGGAAAAGGGTACGTTATCGTGAAATCTTCACCGGAGCACGGAGAAAGAAGATCATATGATGGAATAATAGAAGATTGAGACATTGCGGCAGTTGCGGATGCCACCACTCAGCAGAATGCCTGGGTAGCTTTTGGGGGAGGGGGAGGGGAAGGGGAATGAGAAGCGATAGAGTGCAGGGTCTCGTAGGAATCAAAATCACCGAAAGGATATGTTTTTGTATACTATGCCCGCAGCTGGGACCTTGAAGAAGATCTCATGAAAACAGGGCAATCAGCGACACAAAACTTTTGAAGCTTATCAGCACTAGGCGGCAAGAGCACAGTTGAGGTTTTGTTCTCTCATTGGTCCGAATCCTCCAGCTCTGAGGATCCTTGGAACAAGCGACTGCCACTTCCGATTGGTTCAAAGTCTGGCAATAGATATGAACTGCCATACTGAGTCTCTTTCTTCCCCTCTCGATATAAACCATTAGAAGCTACGTCGCTATTTTCATTGTGGGACGCTCAAGAACCAACAAATGATCTCTCGTGTCGACCTTATATTCGTTGAATGAGTTCGCAGACCGAACACTAAATGTATTTTTCAGTCAACGAACGTAAATACCACTCAGGTGTGATACACTCGGCTTTGATTAAGGACACGCAGGAAGCCATGAATGGATGCATTCGATGAACCATGAAATTTTGCCCTTCAGTTGCGTATTTTCCAGCCAATGAGCACTAACAGCACAACCGTGCTTAACAAAGTTACTTGCTCATGAAACTTCAACTGGGTAAGTGTTTTCTTATGGTCATCACGCCCAAGTGCTATTCTTGCGTTGCGGTAATTCAAATTATACCAAAGGAATCTTATGTGGCCGAAGCAAGTTACTATTTGCAATCTTGCAAGAGCAATCGCTCGCTGTCTTTCAGATATTGCTGCTAGTGGTAATAACACCTACACGCCCTTAATTGGAAGCCACATTAGAAACAAAACCACGAACCGTTCTCCTGCAGTCATATGCTCTTCATGCAGAGTAGATTATATATAGTGCCTATGTGTTTCTCGATCTTCTTTCGTGATGAATCCACCAAAATATCACGCACAACTGCCTATATCCAACGGCACTCCACGAATTCTATCGATATTTTATCAGTCCTGCAGTATTTAAAGATATAGGAAAACATGACACGGTCTTCTTCAGTCCCAACAACCAGAGACACATGGTTAGTGAAAGGCTTCCCACTACAATCATTGGGACATATCTAACAGCTTTTGGAAGCGATACCAAGAGTGGCCATCCATCCACACCACAAGAAAACACTGCATTCTTCCTCAACAACAGCCCTCAGGGGGTCGAACGGCTGGCTTTTATCAAATGCGACACGAGTAACCAAAGCTCAGAAACTCGCCGGGAGCATGCAACTGGAATGTATTTACAAGAATGGCAGGCGAATTGGGATAAGTTGGCTTCCAAGAAGTCGGAATAGAGCTGGGCTTATTATTGCTAAGAGGGCATGATGGGGTCGCCGGCTAGATATCAGATATTCCGGCCTTCTATCCAACTAAATATCTAACCCCGACCCACGCATTTTCTCATGAGACTTCTCAAACTATGACAAGTCATGCTTCCATTAGATGGGAATATGACAGATTGAATTGTAATAAGCTCGGAATATGCTGGTGCTATCCTTGAAATGGGTTGTTGTTATTATGCATAATATCATGATCACGCCTTTGACACTTTAGCTGGCAGAAAAACTCTTGTAAACACTTGTCTGGATAGAGAGAGACAACCACAAAGGCTGAAATCTTGAGAAATTTTCAAACTCTAAAAAGACCGTATATAACATAAACTGAGGCTGTATATAAGGTTGTGTTTTGTGGAACTCGATCATACCCGTATTTCCTAATCAAACAGCAGTCCAGGTAAATGACATATTAAGGCCCCGGAAAATTTACAGTCCAATGAAACTTTTGGTATATTATCATCACCATGTAAAAGAAACACTATTTACCTACACGTTCTTTTTTTCTATGGAATTCCCTGGTCGGTATATCATCTGTCCGAAGCACCACCATAGGCATCCCCGCACAATGGCAAATGATCTCTCGCTAGTGCCAGCGATCGACAGCGTTTCTATCTTTGGTTTGGACGATCCGGTTAAAGTCGCATACCCCTCTTACAATTGGATATAACTACAATAAGAGTATGTCTAATGCTGCAATTATTCAAATTTCCAACAATTTAATCCTATAATTATAATGTAAGGTAACACACGAAAATTGGCGGTACAATTTTCAGCCATGAATCTTTCAATCTGGTTCTCACTATATATCCTACTAGGATGCTGTGACTTTGCCATCGCAGGAAACAAGACTGCCACCAAGATAGACAGGAGAAAGGTTGTTCAGCAATTCAATCCTCGGCGCAACGCTAGCTCGACCTCAACACCGCTCCAAGTCGGCAACGGAAATTTCGCCTTTGGCGTTGATGTGACTGGACTCCAGACCTTTCAGCCGTATGGGGCCCTGTCAACTTGGGGTTGGCATAACTTTAGCTTACCTACGACGCCGGGCCAGACGTCTGTAGATAGTGAGTCTGATCTTTACTGGAGATTGACTGGTGACGCGGATGGCTAATAAGTACCAAAAGATTTTACAGGGCTGGACTGGTGGACTCATGGTCGTTTGGTTAATTACGACCAACCCAATCCGGCTGAGAACGACATTTCGCAATGGCTGATCCAGAACCCCCAGCGAGTGAATCTAGGCAGGGTTGGACTATCTTTCAACGATGGGGTGGTGACCGAGGAGATGCTCGAGGACAGGTCGCAGACGCTGGACCTATGGACTGGCTCAATCCACTCGACCTTTACCTACCAGGGACAGCAAGTCAAGATCGAGACCTGGTCGGATTCGCAGTCTGACACTGTTGGGATCAGCATAGAGTCCTCGCTACTGTCTAACAGGAGTATTGGGGTATTTTTCGATTTTCCCTTACCGACGAGGAACAAATTTGATGCTCCTTTTGTCGGCGTCTTTAATGCCACTGCCAATCACACCACGATTATCACAGCCGGCCAGCGCAATGCCAGCATCCGGCATGACCTAGACAATACCACGTATTTTACTTCGATAGCCTGGAACCAGGATGCCGCAATATCTGGTCCGGTCGATAAAACCCACCGTTACTTGCTCACTCCTAGTGGCAAAAGCGATACGCTGGAATTTTCAGTTACATATTCCCCCGAGGTGGTGAATCAGGTGCCATCACTCTCCGAAATCAGGACTTGCTCGGAGAGTTGGTGGGAAGAGTATTGGACAATGGGAGCTTTCATTGATCTCACAGCATCAACTTCACCTAACGCTACCGAGTTGCAAAAGATCACTATTCTATCACAATACTTGGTCGCAGTAAACTCTGCCTCGTCTAATCCGCCTCAGGGTGCGTTCCTACTCATCTAGTGGCTCATCACACAATCACAACTGACATTGCGAATAGAATCTGGACTTGTAAATAATGGCTGGTACGGTAAATTCCATGTAAGTCTATAGCATGCCCAGCGCCTGTCATCACTTTCCACATTATGCTCATATCCAACAGCTCGAAATGGTCCTTTGGCACAGTCTTCATTTCGCCCGCTGGAACCAGTGGTCTATATACCAACGCAGTCTACCCAACACTTACCAGCGCTTTCTCTCCTCCTCCATCGCACGCGCCGCCGACCAAGGCTACGCCGGCGCCCGCTGGGGCAAGATGACGGACCCGACAGGCCGTTCCGCCCCGGGCGAGATCAACTCGCTGCTGATATGGCAACAACCGCACCCCATGTACTTTGCCGAGGTCGAGTACCGCGCCTCCCCTCCCGCCGACAACAACCAAAGAAGCAGCAGCAACGAGACCCTAACGTCGTGGGACGAGGTCCTCACGGCCACGGCCGACTTCATGGCAAGCTACGCGTGGTGGAACCAGAGCACGGGCGTCTACGACCTGGGACCGCCGCTGTACCCCGTCTCGGAGAACACCAACCCCAACGCCACGGTGAACCCGGCGTTTGAGCTGGCGTACTGGCGGTTCGGACTCGACGTGGCGATCCGGTGGAAGCAGCGCCAGGGGCTCGAGGCGCCGGCCGGCTGGACACACGTCCGCGACCACCTGGCGCCGCTGCCCTTGACGACGCCCGCGCGCGATGCTTATGCAGTCTACGAGGGAATTCCCGACATGTGGCAAAACAATACCACGGTCCAGGACCACCCGGCCATGGCGGGCATTTTCGGTCTCCTCCCGCCTCCTAGCAGTGGACCTCCGCTCAACATGACCATAGTTCAAAACACGCACGATAAAATTGCTAGTCTGTGGGATATTGGGGACTGCTGGGGTTGGGATTTTCCTATGCTGGCTATGAACTCTCTGAGACTGGGGGATATAGACCAGGCTATTGCGTATCTGCTCCATCCTCTATTCGAATTCGACGACGCTGGGTACCCGATTGGCGGAGTGAGAGTTGCGACGCCGTACTTTCCGGGTTCGGGGGGCTTCTTGCTGGCAATGGCCATGATGGCTGGTGGCTGGGATGGGAATGAGGGTTCGCAATTCCCCAGAGAATGGAATGCCAAAGTTGAAGGATTCATGCCGGGGTTGTGAGAATAGAATATAACCTTGAATACTTCATGTCCGAAAAGTCCCTTTCATTACCAAGGCGCGTAGACATCTAGAATCCACTCGGGCTCAACTGACCACTTTGTCCCAGGAACTCCGTCACAGTCAAATTTCTTCTCCAGTACCCAATCCCTAAACCTCTGTCCCCGCAATTCAAAGTCGATTGGTACCGTCGTTTTCCAACCACGCTTTGTGTACAGGCTCCTCGCAGTCTCGTTGCCCTCATATACCAGGAGCCAGACCGCTCTATGGCCTTCCTCCATGACCAGGTTTTCAACTGCCTCCATGAGCTTCCCACCTACTCCACATCCCCTGAACCCCTCCTTGACGTACAGCTTGTTAAGGGTTATACGTGAGGCTTGGTCGTAGGGCCGATGTGGGCATTGGCAGTCTCGAATAATCTGGGCAAAGCCAATCACCTCTTCATTACCGCTGCGCGCGACAAGGGTGGTCCGTAGTTGCTTATCAAGGGCGCGGGCGACTGCGTCCTTACCAAAGGACTTTTCGATAGCGAAGTCTGTAAACCACCGTGGTACTTTGTCGTCGAACTGAAGCGGTAGTGACTCGATGCCGATCTCTGCTATTGCGTCGATATCTGTGTGTCGTGCCTCTTCCACGGTGACGGATTCCACGTCCTTTGTAAGTCGGGCCATCTTTGCGAACTTGTCAAAGCGATAAAATTAGTAATGAAGCAAAGTCGGAACCCGAGTGTTTAGCTTGTAAGAGAAAGCGACAGAGTAACGATGAATTATGGCCAGGGAAGCGGTGGCTTCCTTTTAAGAAGTTGAACTCCAACAGAGTGCGTCCAGCAAGGTAGATTGCTCAGGCCGAATAAACAGAGAAAGCGCAAAGTTTATGCAGGGTCCAAGTCTGTGGGCATGGAAGAAGGGCCGTTTAAACATGACAAGGTGCTCGCGATCAACGTACACATATGAATGTGGTTGCTTGTATTGTATTGGATAAACGTTTGCCCGCCATGTGCTTGAAACTAGACGCACATATCCCATGGCAACACGGGCAAACAGGGTGGAAATAGGACATTTCACAATATTCTGTCCTTGATCATTTCCTTGCCACTTGTTATATCAAGCTCTCTCTCACATCAGAGTCGAGGCATGATGTGTTGCGTTGTTTGGCCCTTTTCCTTTTGTAAGGCAAATCCTAGAGAAGGATCTCGCCCATGTTCTCGCCCTCAAAGCCAAGCGTGGCCAGCTTCTTGAGCTTCTTCTTCTCCTTGACCTTTTCGGCGGCTCTTTTCTCCTTGATCATGTTCTCCACCACTTTCCACTCCTTCTCCTCAAAGCCGGCGGGCATATCGTCGTCCTTGTCAAGATCGATCTCGCCGAGGAGCAGAACGTTTTCGCCGCGCACGAGGAAGATGCCGTGCGTCTTATCAGCGTAGTAGCCCTTGACGGGCGAGTCCTCGGGGGCGTCTTGTAGAGGGGTATATATCCGCTCAACTGTAGATTGGAGGACGAGGTTGGCTAGCGGGGGTTCAAGTGTCAGTTCCTCAATACCCTGACAGTGGCGTCTCCTTTCCATGCTCAAGTTACGTACCAAACTGGTCCCAGCTTCGCAGGATACCAGTCAACTTTCTTCCGTCGCGTAGGCAGATAACCAGCTTCTCTATTTGGAGTTTCCATGTCAGCATAGTTGCCCTTGTTCGGTCGGTGAAGCAACTGTGGTTGGCATACTATCCGTCAAGTCCAACAGCTGGGCGGCAGTGGTAAACATCTGCGGCGGCAGCTGCTGGGGTTGGGGAGGGGGAGGGGCGCGTCCTCCCAGAGCTTGAGTTGGGAATTGGCCTTGGGGCGTTCCCTGCCCAGGCGGCGGCGTGTCGTGTATCGTGAGGTTCTCCATCATGTCATGAAGTCGACGGGGGGTTGCGATGTGCTATGTATGCTAGATGAAAGTGGGTGGCCTGGCCCAATCCATGGAGGAGGCGACTGATGTAGCTTTCGTTTTCTGCGCAACTGATCGCACCTTACAATTGGAAAGCTTGGGCTCAGTCCATTGAAATCTAGAAAGCCTCTGATTTGTTTACTTTTTTCTTTCCTCTTTTGAGAGCTCAAACGGTGATTCGGGCCCAAAACGTCACCAGCTCAGCAGCATAGGCGCATATGACTTACCTTCGCCGTGCGCCGGAAGAAACTTGACGCGATTGCGGTGGGATGCCGCGATTTCCAAAAGGTTCACATGCAGGTTGGGCAGGTTCCGTTCTCAGGTTCCCCGCTACTAGTCGCCAAATTGACTGGAACTACTGGTGACAGTGTGGCAGCACCTAGCGAAAACAACTTTAGACACTGTGATCAGTACGTATTGGAAACAGGTCAGTCTCAATTGTTACACTTACACTTTGGCAAACTGCGAATCGATTCCAAAAAAGTCAATAGCTTGATTTCATTTCAATAAAGACAAGCAACACAATTACAATTCGACATATCAGATCTCGACCTCATTCAAACCGGCTCCCACCGAAGCCGTGATGGCTCACCAAGACTTTCCAGCTTGACTTATTTGACACCTACTCTTCATGAGTGCTAACTTTTATTACAATCATAACATGAGACTCGTCCGCGATTCCGCTCGAGGAGCTCCTTCTAATCTCGGGAAGTCTTTTCAACTTGTCCTGAGAAACCATCGGCTCTCGTCAGGCAGCTCCAGATAATCTCTGGAGCCAAACTTTATATCATCTGGAACGAATACAATGGTACCTAATAGTTTCAGCAGAATGAGGAATTTCCAGGTCGAGAGAGCTCAATGGCAAGTCCGGCTAATTGAGAATCCGGGCTGATGTCCTGATGGTGACTGTTTGATCGTCGTCCAGACCCCTCCCCACATGTACTATATCTCATGTAAGCTTTTTTTGGTATGGAGGATCTGTAACCAACCTCCAGCGCCCCCGTAACGAATAACTCACTTCAACTCTCACTCCTGCTCCTTTGATGCCTGGGGGACTTGCTGCGTCCCATTCCAACCCTTGCCACATCACCGTCTGGTCTTCGTCTGAAGACATCGAATCTTGCTTGCAGTCCGATCCAGGTCGGCCACTTGCATGATCGAAATGTCGGTCTGGACGGCCTCGGCAACAGTCTCATGTCTGCATTCGGGTCCGCAGTATCCATTTGCAAAGCTCAATCAGCTAGGCGAGAGATATAGCTCGTAACAACACATACGACGTCATGTTCCGTTCTGCATCTTTTCGCATCAAGTCGTCTGTTTCTTGCCAGAGAAACGACACATTCCAACACACCAAACTTATGTTTCTTCGACTATGGTTCTTTGTATTTAGGATAATTTGTAGTGTTTACCCAGGACAATCTCATGAAATCCGGATGACCAAGTTGGTCTCTACCGATGTCGATCATGGGCGTTTCGCAGCGACTCATTTGCATGGAAAGCCAAGAGCCTTTGCCTGCATTCCCACGGTTACAAGCCGGACTCCGGGCAAGGCTTGCTGCAAGGGCAAGTTACCTGATTGGGCCATGTTCACAATGCAGAAGAGACCACGGTCATGCCTGCTTAGACTGCAATGTGACTATTGCTCATCGACTGATACTGGTCGTTGCATTCCTCTCTGTGGGTTTCTTTTCGAAGATCATACGGACCGTCTTGAATGCAACCACTCCTGATCAAATGGCAAGATCAGACGGTCGGGTGCATATCTCGTCCCCGGTCGAGCTTGCGGCCGTGCGAGCTTCACACCCCAGTTCCCGGGTCTGCAATCCGGCAGGGGTGTGATTCGATGTCACGGACCTTGACCGTTTATGTTTTTTTGTCATCAATGAAGCTGCTGTTTACGCATGAAAGTTCGTGGTTGGGAGGGGGTTGTACCCACGAACTTGAACATGTTTTGGCAGTGGGCAGCTGACACAGCATATGATGGTGAGCTCGTCTATCGAACCGGTCTCCTTTGCTCCGGGTGGGCTTTCTTTTCCTCTCTCTCTTCTCCTAGTCTCACTACATCTGCCATGTGCATTCCGTCCGAAGTGTCTTCTTAAGACTTTCGTGACAATTCAAACTTTGTTTGCCCCATGAAGTATGGATAATGAATGATGAAAAAGAGCCGGCTCTTCTATTACTCCCTGTTGACGGGGTTGGCAACGACTGGGTCGTTGGCACACAATATAATCGATAATCGGAGCAATTCTGGTTTCCAAGATGCGGGAGACGGCCTCCAGGTAGCCAGGACGGTGCTGTGGGAAAAGGTTGAATATGTTGTCGTGGCGAGGGAGGCAACCCCGAGGAGGAATATACTGGAGAGGGTGGTGCCAGAACCTACCGCAGCATTAGAGGGTGCGGCCGTGGTCTTGAGGTCTCCAGCGCCGACAGCTGCTCCTCGAAAACGACAAGATGACGGCCAGATTCAAGCATTATCCGGACAAATACAACAGCTCTCCATCTCCTTCTCGTCAGCATCGTCCGCAAGCCAGTCCATCTCGCAATCGGCTCAACAAGTTCAACAATCCGCCGACCAAGCGTCTCGGGAAAACAGCCAAGCACTGTCGCGGACACAATCATCGGCATCCAGCGCCGTCTCGCAAGCCAGCCAGCAGGCCAATGATCGGATCAACCAGGCAAGCTCTTCGATGAGCAGTCAGATTTCTCGCAACCTGGCGAGCGTGCAATCGAGCGCGAGTAGTGCCGTCAGCGTCGCTCAAGCCTCGGCCAGCGCAAGCATGGCCAGCGCCGTCAATGTCGCCATGAGCCAGCTTCAAGCAGCTAGAGCTGAGGCGACTGCCGTGAGGGTAGGAGACATTTCACAAATCCTCAACTGCGCGAGTTATGCTAACTGACTTTATCCAGAGCGACGCAAACAATTTTGCCGATCAGGTTCAGAAAAATGCAATCTCAACAACAAACCTGGCCATCATTGTGGCCGTATCTGTGAGTGGTGCCGTTGTGCTCACTTCCATCATTGTCTGCATCTTTTTGCGATACCGGCGCAGGAAGAGAGAAGCTCGCGACGGCGCATCTCTGCGGCAGGATGAGAAAGAGTATGACAAGCCAATTGCTGTCCGCGGCTCCGTCGGCGGATCAAGATTCAACCCCTTTGGAAGTGGCAGTTCTGCCAGGGACAAGTTCAAGTTACCCAACTTCAGCCCGCCCTCGGCTAGAAAAGATGAACCGCTCAATTTTGGATTTGCCATGAGCGATTACAGCGATTTGAAAGAGGCACCAGTGATCCAAGAGGTGCCCAGGGAAAAACCTGCCGCCTTCCGCCTGCAAAAACCGCCCAATGTCAAGAGCGCCGAGGCTGTGCGGGTGATTCGGGTGAACAGCAAGAAAGGCAAGGAGCCCATGACTGCAGATGACGCAGATCAAAGCACAGACATGCCCGCCCCAAATCCAACAGAGCCCAATCTGCAGAGGAGCAAGTCACAGGTAGCCAGAAAGCCAGTTGGAACTGTTGTTGCTGCTGTTGCCGCCGCCTCTGCTCCCAATTCCACCCCTACTCCTGCCCCAGTTCCTTCTGCCACCACGGATGAGTGGCCAAGTGTGATGAAGGAAACGACAAAAGAGCCCCCAGCGTCAGCGACAAGGGACAGCACACGCGATACCTTCATGTCTGAGAATGGCGCCAGAACGCGGGCAAGCAGTCGCTATACCATGTTGTTGATCGCCTCGTCAGAAGGTCCGCCAAAGTCGGCAAGAGATAGCAGACGCAACACAATGGCCCCTCAGCCCATTGCCGAGAGCGACGAGCCCGGGTGGAGACCCCCGAGCAACCGGACCTCTCGCGCGGCCTCGACCAAATCGGTCAACACCACGGCCCAGCGCCTGGCGTTCCGGGACTCGGGGGATCCGATCCCGGAGCCCGACGACACGGGATTCAAGCAACCCCGGGGCGGCTTCAGCATGGCCAGCGTTAGCAGTCTGATGCGCAGCGACAGTTATGCCGCCGGGGGTGGCCTAGGCCCCGCGGGTGCTGCTGCAATGGACGGCCGGCAGCCGACCATGCCCAAGCTGCTGCCCAAGGGGCCGAGACCGGGACCGAGCTTTGCGGCGTTTCCGACCGTGAGGAACGGACCGCCGAGCGGTATTCTCAATCGGCCGCGGCCGGCGCTGGTGGGTAAGATTCGAGAGGACGCTGAGCGGAGGGCTAGGGATAAGCAGGCTCAGAGGTAGTACGAAAGTAGGAATTATATTGTTTTTTTATGCAGAGCCTTGAGCGTTGGGGCGGTTACATCGTTTGATACCACTGCGCACGAGTATAATCTTAGATAATATACGACTCGTCCCCAAATTCTGCTAAATATCATGAACTTTCAATCAAAGGAGAAGAATCATGTGACACGAGGCATCAAGTTCAAGACAAGACATGAGCAGGATAGCGCAAGAAATCTGAGCATTTTTCTCAAATTTGCGCAATCCTCATAGCAAGATGACTTCACAAATCAAAGACAAATCATCTCCAAGTCATCATGAACTAACTCAGCAAGTGAGTCGCTTTTGATTTCATATCCCGTAGAACTGACCAAAAAGATATATCCATGCATAACGCAGAAAATCAAACAATTAGGTAACCATAGCATAAGAGCCAAGTCATGGACCAGGGAGGGTCAATCCAAGGCTTGCTTCCCTTTCACGTCGCAGCAACCAACCGGCTTTCAAGCCACACAGGCAAACAGGTTTGTCAGGGGTTTTCATAGTTCCCCATAGTAATTGTGCCGATCTTTGTGGCGCGTGCGCCTTTTTTCTTTAGTGCGAGGTGAACGCGAATCGCCGAGTCTTGACCGCGATCGTAAATGCGCTTCCCGATTGTCGAGCTAGGACAGACAGCACGAGTGGTAATAAGACAGCTGAAACAAACCATGGGCGAAAAGACACATCACATTCAATTGAGAGTCGCTGTCAACTTGTCGCCAATCTTGCTTGCACAAAAAAAAGTCAAATTGCTGCCAATGCGTATATCCAATGCTCCCAACCTGAAAGCTTGAACTCCAGCAGACCCAACCTAGTGCACATCGTGACATGAAAAAGAGGAGATTTTTCGAGGGGGGGGGGAATAAAATATATGCGGGTTTTGAAGTCGCACCAACGGGACGCCAGAAGCAGTCTATTCTATCAATACACAGTTGTTGGCCGATCCGTCTATGCAGTAAAAATTCATATCGTTACACGTTAACTCTCGCCGTTCGTTTAAGCAGTAGACTCCTTCAAGAAGCTGTTGAGGACGTGTTAGTCAAAGAGATCTAGGAAAGGCTGCAAGGGGTGGACGGGTACTCACGTGATGAGGTCGTTTCGGTCCTTCTCCTTCTTCAGGCCACCGAAAGCCATCTTGGTTCCGGGAATGTACTTCTTGGGGTTCTCAAGGTAGTCAAAGAGCGACTTCTCGTCCCATGTGACACCCTTCTGCTTGTTGGCGTCGGTGTAGGAGAAACCCTCAACCTGACCGGACTTGCGGCCAAAGAGACCGTGCAGAGCAGGGCCGACCTTGTTGCCCTCACCCTCCTTCAGGGTGTGGCACTGAGCGCAACGGGTCTTGAAGAGGTTGGCACCCTTCTTAGAATCACCTGGAATACTATGTCAATAATCGTGGTTCGGTTGGTGGCATGAGCGTGGTGGGTGTTGTGATGAGAACAGCGTCGGGGGGAATCGAGGCACTGGCGATACGGGGAACGGTTGAGGGCAATTCGATCTGTCATGATCCTATCGGCTCAGGCGACTGTAGAAGCCTGGTCTGAAAGCTTTGCGACGGGGATATTGCAATCTGAACATGACTCGCTAAATAGCGCAGGGGCTGCAGAAGCGGTGGATGTTCGAGAGTTGTGCAGTTGTCGCAAGGCATTTCGAAGACACGGAAGAAACAGCGCAGTTCCAACTCGACCATTGGAAACATGCCGGCGAATGGCGATGGGTACGAGAGTGTTCAATTGGCATCCTCCTTCCACGGGGGATGACGTGGTGTGTTTGTGTGCAGCTGAGGATCACGATCTTGGGGAAAGGCGTTTGGAGCAAAGTGACGTACCAGCAGAGAAACCACCCATTTTGACGGTTGTGATGTGTTTGTGTAGAAGTGAAAATGTCGATTAGGTATTAAGACTGTATGGTCCAAGGCAAGATGATCGTCAGGGCAATCGTTGTAGAATGTCTTCTGTTTTTCAGAGAATGGAGAAAAAAAGGGAAAAAGAATAGGATGCGCAAAAGTCGCAGGTGTTCTTTATTTCCCTGAAAATTTCCTCGGAAACGAGGGAGCTACCAAGGCGATGAGCTCAGTAAGCCCAAAGGAGACTAGAGGATTCCGCTGGACCCGCCGACACATGCCGAATCACAAGGCAAGTAATGGTCAGGCCCAGACCCGCTCAAGCCTCTGCCAAAGCCAAGTGCCAGCTCAGGTCTTTTTGCCTCCGGGAGAGATCGGAATACTAAAAATCTGTGCCAGTCAGTGTCATTGAGCTGCAGCACAGGTAGGTGAGGGAGGGAGGTTTCTTTTGCCTCACCGACCAGAAAATCAAACAACACCGTTGCCGCATCATTTCCGTAGATGCAGTCAGTGAGTGCACGTGAGAGCATCGCCGCCATTTTTTAGAACGCATCAAGGTTTAACAGTGCATTATATTCTAAATCTCGTACGGGACTATTTTAATTTCCTGCATCTTCGTATCTATGTAGGCAAAGAAGAGAAGTTGCAAAATGAATGTTGAATGTGCAGTTGCACTGTATGTATCGCGAGGCTTTCTCATCAAAGCAGCTTGGAGGTGCCAGCATAGTCAGCTTTGGTTGACCTCATCTCTTCAGGGCTCTGACCAAGAAACACGGATCATCTGCTCCCATGATGAACCAGAGAGACATTTTTGTTCCGCGACAGGGATCCCCAACAAGGCACGCGCGACCCCATGAACGCTTGAACGCGTCTGGTCAAGTTTGGCCCATTGGCTCATCCGCGTGGAAAACGTCGGCCCGGGGTCGAGCTGGGAGGTGTGGAAATTTGGAGAAACCACCAACTTCCATATTGCTTAGCGGCCACCGAGCGCATCACAAAGAAAGAAAGCATTGGGCAATGGTTGCTTGCACATATGAAATGAGCTCTGCAGGTCATATTCATGCGCAACGCGAAATGCAACAACAGCAATGAGTCACGTTCCCTTCTTGGTCGCTGCAATTCACTCATAAATAAATAAAAAGACTGCTCAATCAATTGACATAATATCCCAGTTGCATCAGCTGGAGTTTACTTCATCGACGCAGTCTTTTGTCATTGTCGCAAGACCTCTCTGATCGCATCATGGCCACCAAAACGTCCATCCCCCGATTCCTCCTCCCACAATACGGCGCAATATGGAGGACCACAGCTCGAACGATGCCTTTTCCCAGGCCGGCCAGCCTTGAGCTCGGTCAGGTGCTGGTGCGCTATGCATCCAAGACAGTAGCTGCGTCAAAGACCACTGCTACCAAATCCGCCACGACAGCCTCCAAGACCGCCGCGGCCAAGAAGGTCGAGGCTCCCAAAGCCGCCTCCACTAAAGCTGCCGCCTCCAAGGTGTCGTCTGTCAAGGCTGCGGCATCAAAACCCGCCGCCGCCGCCTCCAAGACCTCCAAAACACCAGCTGCAAAGGCGAGCGCCGCCAAGGGTGCGGCACCCAAGCTCTCAAGTACACCGGACCCCACCGCTCCGAGGAAAGCCGTGACGCCCGACCCGTCAAAGCCCCTCGTTCTCGAGAAGCCAGAGAGGTTCAACCCTCCGTCGCACGGTGCCCGGCTGCCGCGATCGACGCCAAAGCACTACGGTGGCGCCCCGACCTTTGAGGAGGTGCAGGCCCAAAAGACCAGAGAGTATCCGGGTCTGCCTCCGCCGCCAAACACATGGTCTCACTGGTTTATCAACAACCGACACATTCACATGTTCATCACCTTGGTATGAAATACAAATGAGAAGGCCCCATGGTCGATGCTATCAGAAAGCTAATCCTCCAACAGGGCACTCTGGTATCGCTGACAGCCTACACGTTCGCGGCAAAGTTCAATGCCACATCCCCGTACGCGGAAATGATACCGCCCATTTCAGAATTTCCCTCGCACCCAATCGACTATATCGGAACCTGCTTCCACGTCCTGCGCCTGCACGAGGAGCACATTTCGGCCGTCACGGCCGAGAAGCGCCGCCGCAAGGTCGACGATGTGGCCAAGCGCAACGAGTACCGCAAGGCCCACGGTCTGGACGCTGCCCAGGGTATTGAGAGCTGGAATGCGCCGGCAAAGGAGGTGGCGCCTGTTGCTGCCGAGGTGGAGGCGCCTTCGACTGCCCCAGTGGCTGAACAAGCACAGGCTACTCCCGAGGTCTCGGAGGATGGAAAGCGGAAGAAGTTCCTGGGCATTTTCTAGGTGCTGCCATTCTTTTGCAATCGCATCAAAGGTTCGCCTTGAATGACATGATCGATACTGCGGGCTTCATCATATTAATGACAGCCGGCTCCTATCCGGACGCATTACCCCCTGGGATAGAGGTTATATGATATCCTATGACGAAAGGACACAAGTTTCCTCTTTCTGCAGCATAGCCTGCATTGTGAAAGGGAAAGAATAATAAAAAACACATTTCATGACATACAAAGTTCATTTTCTTATGGAATCGCTCATCATCTCATCATAACACATTGACAATCAGGGGTATCAAATTTTTTTTTCTTGTTCGGCAGAAGATCTTAGCTTAGTTCTACTCCATCGAGGCCATCTAATACTTCGTCAGCAACGCCGCCCTTTTCCAGCACCTTTGCCACCATGGCGCTCAGCACGGCTGGCTTGATACCACCTCTGGGCGCTTTCCAGACACCAGCCACATCTGCCGTTTCCGCCTGTCGGGCGTCCGGGTTCTTCTGTGCCGCACTGCCGCCGCCCTGGCCCCACGCCGAAGCATTGACCGAGTTGGGCACGCCCGGCGGCGTCAGTCTCGAGGGCGGATCAATCATGCGGACCGACAGCAGCCGCAGCTTTCGGCTCGGCTGCGACTTGTCGTCCACGTCCATGGCGGCATCGTTGTTCTTGTCCTGCTGCACCTGTCCCTCGCCTACCGATACGGCCAGCGCCGTGTCGGCCACGGCCAGCTCCTCTTTGGACGGATCGAAAATGATGTTGTCACCGACGACCATGACTAGTAGCGTAATGGGCGGCATAGAGGTGGATCGGCTTTCGCTACCAGTGCGCGGGTAAATGTACTTTGAGGCGTCCCAGTCATCGTCGAACATGGGATCCTCGTCGGCCTCGGACTTGAGTCTCGGCAGGCGCGTCGAGAGAATGGCGAGATGTGTGGTTAGACTGAGCAGGGGAAGCGGGTAGGAAAGAGGTGGTGAGATGAGGATAACCTGGGAACATTGCCGCGCGTTAGTTGATTATTTTTCTTCTGCACGAATTGACTCGCATTTGAGAAAGCCATAACAAAGTAGCACGCCGGGTTGTTTTCAACTTACGTCAAGGTACATCTTCCAATGAAACCGGCGGTTGATCCATAACCGCCTCGTGAACTCTCCGTCGGCCAGAAGCGCCTCGCTGAGCATGGTCGACAGGAAGACGGTGGCGCTATCGTCGTCCCTGTAGCCCGGGACCTCGACGCTGACCTCTACCCAGTCCTTGGATCCCTTGATCTTGACTGTATCATTCTCCTCCGTCTCGGCCGCTTCCTGATCCTCGTCGTCTTTGGCCTCTCCACTCTTACTGCTGGTATTTCTCTCTGTCCGGCTGCTGCTGCTGCTGCCGCCATCTCTCATGTTGCCATTGGCGTCCTCGTACGGCGAGATGCGGGTCCGCTCGACCTCGGCCTTGACGCCGACAATGGCCTCGGTACCGTCGGCGAAACAGATGCGCGCGGAGCCATTGGTGCCGGGCAGAATGCCCGTCTCGGCCGTCAGCGGTCGGAATTGCGACGCCGTGCGACCGTCTGGCCGTATCGGTGGGTGCAGACTGAGGGTGCTGTGAAGATAGGCGAGCTCGGCGGGCGAGAGGAGGAGGTGCTGTGTCGTTGCCATTTTCTTTTGGTGTACTCTTCTTTCCTCTCTTTCTCTCTCTCCTCGGTTTGTCCTCCCGTCTACTTCCTCAGTTGTGCTGCGTCAAGCTGGTATTGAGCTTCGTCTCTCTAGTGTTCTTGCTAGAAACTCTTTGAAACTCGACAGACGGGAATGAATTGGTCTGCTGTCTCGTTCGTTCGTCGAATTTTCTTGAAACAAGGTTAAGCAGGAGCTGCTTTCCCAGAAAAATGCCACCCCAAAAGTGGTTTCGATGACGATCGCGAGGCTGAAGTGGGATATTTTTTTGTGAGCTTAGCTAAAGTTTCCCCTTGCGGGGCGCTGATTGGGTTTGGTACCAGCCGTTGATTTTTAGCGTCTGCAGATTCATAGTGGGGGGTCTGACTCTGGGTGGGGCGGCCGTCATTAATGTATGGTAGGATTCCTGGGGAGGGCTTATTATAGTCGGATATTCCGTTGGCATTCGTCATTCGCCCGAAATCCTATGAAAGTCTCCGAGCCCATATCAGCTGTCAAAATAGCTGCGAGTCCTTTTTGGAACAAGCGATTTCACCAAGTTCTCATAAATATTGTTATCATTGTTGGTGTTCTTGCTCTTGTTGTAGTCTGGTACATCAGAGTCTAGGGGCCAAAGAGGCCAGAATCAAGAAAAAAATATGGACAACATGAGATGATGCCCTATAAAGCTGAAGTAATCTTGGTGCTGCCCACTGGTTCATGAAAGCAAGAACCTGAGCATGGACAATAGCCCATTCTTATCACGGCCACATTTGCAGCTCCATCGGTCAGAAATTCAACCGACGGATTAGATTCACTACATGTGTACCCATCATGCTTCTGTACGACTGCTTACACGCAATAAAACCCCAATCAGGGTTTGAATATCAAGGATCGACCGCAAAAGTCGCCGGAATGCATCAGAGCGACAAAAAGAAAATTTGATTTGTAAGTCATCCGAGATTCATCGTTATGGTGACTTGTTCAACAAACATATTAAAAAAAGCACAACACCATGAAGTAATGTCTTGCGGAACCAGTTAGCAGGCCTTTTTTTCGCAACTTGATTCTTTTGGTCCTTTACCCAAGCCTCTGAGAGTCGCGCCCCTTTGCTCGGTGAATATCCTGTCTACCAGATTTTCCCAATTTATAATCCCTGATTTGTACAGATGCCCAAACAACTCGATTACATCACCACCATGCTTCACCAACCATATATGAAACTTTTCCCCATCTCCCTCCCGCCAGCGGACACGTTTGCAGGGCAGAGGGCTGTCGTGACTGGCGGGACGACGGGTCTGGGTCTCGCGGCGGCAGCACACCTGATCAACCTTGGTGCAGCCGAGGTCGTCATCACGGGGCGGAGCGCCTCGCGCTCGCAGCAGGCACTGAATGAGCTCTAAAAGATCACAAGAGGGCGAAGCAAGGGTCGCGCGCGTGCTTTGGAGCTGGACATGGAAGACTATACCAGCATTGTCGAATTCGCCGCAAAAGTCAAGGACATTGGCAAGGGGAGCGGCGGCGTCGACGTCGTCATCCTCAACGCCGGTATGATTGGTGTCGAGCCCAGAGTCACGGCTAATGGTTGGTATGTGCCCCATTGTCCTTGTCCATCATTTAATTCTTGTCTGTCATCTTGTGCTCATATTAATATCTGTTTGCTCGTCAAAGGGAACAAAATATCCAGGTAAATACGATATCAAGCATTCTCCTCGCGACTCTTCTCCTGCCACACCTCAAGGCTCAGCGTGCCTCGAGGTCCTCACCGGCTCATATCACCCTTGTGAGCTCGGGTCGCTTTGCTGAACCGAACATTGTCGACTGGCCCAAATGGCATGACGAGGGCATTCTTGCCCACTTCAGCAAGCCCGAAAACTGGCCCGGCAGTCAGGGCATGTATCCAATTACCAAGTTATCATTGCAGTATGGCTTCCGGGAGCTCGCTGAGCTGGCCAGAGGACCTGACGGACGGTGAGTTGCGTTATCCTAATCTGCGGAGTTTTGATAGAGTTCAGCTAAGAAAATAATGATGGGCTGTAGGCCGGATGTCATTATGAACACAGTCTGCCCTGGAGCCGTCAAGACAGATCTGAGTAGAGGGTATGCCGAGAATGGCGTAGCTTTTCGGGTCGCTCTTGGGATCTTTTCTGCCGTGTTCGCCAAGTCCGCGGAAAACGGCGCAAGGGCGTACATGGCTGCAGTGACAACAAAGGAGGAAGAGCATGGCAAGATGGTGCAATTCTATTGGAGCAACGCTCAGCTCGCGGCGTAAGTTTATCTCCATGTCTCAGACTCGACGTATATTACTAATCTATACGTGAACGAAAAGCCAAGAAGCCAAGAATCTCGGATCGGAAGCAGGACGTAGGCTGCAAAGTTGGGTGTGGGATGAGATTTGCAAGGAGATGGTCAGCAAGGTGCCCGAGACCAAAGAATTCCTGAAGGCCTAGACAATTCGCTCATGATGGGAACGAACGGAGAATTGTTTCCAGAGTAAACTTGGTATGATTTTCCTTGGTCGATTCGAGTAAGGCAAGAACCCATCTAAATCTTCAAGTATCAATCTCGCTCCTGACTTTGCATTTTGCTGGACAACCTTGTTTGGCTACTTCGTTTCGGTGTCTCTCTTCTTAATATTCAAATACCCAAGATCTCCACATCGCAGTGACCTCAGATTTTGCACCCGTTCTTGATTTCATGATTGATTTTAGTGCTGGCGACAGGGACCATCATGTGTCTCGGCGTCGAAAGTCCAGTGCCCATTGCAGCAGGAGTTCCGGGCCCATGGCAGCCACCATGTCTGCAACCATACCCTTTGGCGCTTTTGCGTCGGCGATATCCTCATCATCCCACTGGAAGAGGTCGCCCGCGGGCAGGACGCCATGATTGAGTCGTACCGGTATGAAATCAAGTGGGGCCTGTCGCAGAATGTCTATAGAAGGCAAGCCGGGCATATTGCTTTGAAGAAGTGATATACTTTCGTCTTCATCCTCATCTTCGTCCTCCGCGTCATCATCCACATCTTCCACGCCTCTGTTATCGCCGTCTTCGACGTCTGGCGGGTTGGAATCTTCGATGACCATTGAAGTGTCCTCAGCACCTGGGACAGTCTCTAGGGGAGGTCTAGGTGACCCATCTTCTGACAAATGCAGATACCCCTTTCCATCAAAGAGCTTCAAAGTTTCACTATTAAGTGGCTGCCAGACATATCGCTCTGGATCCAGCACGAATTGTGGCTTGAAGTCGATCTTGTACCTCATTTTCGGGCAGGTGTGAATATAGAAACCCGAATACCAGTAGCGATATCCCTTTTCCGCTGCCAGAGCAATCTCGTGCAAAGCTCCGAGCTTGCCTGGCTGATATTTGTGTATCGACTCATGATAGAGGAAGTACTTTGCACTCACACATTCTGGGAGCAGGTCCAAAACGCCAACTGCAACCAGTTTTCCATCAAGACGATAACACTGGTGGAAAGAACCAAGCTGCCTCTCCTTACCAGCTTCTGACCGCAAAATCTCGCTTCGCAGTGGCGAGTCACAAAGGAAGCGCTGGAAGCCGTCGCGAGAAATGTCCGACGGGCCTTCCTGATGTACGATGCGCTGATAGTTTTCAAACACTGCATACTTCTCCTCAGTGAAGATGTCGGGTTCCAAGGTGACCTCAAAAGTGTGGGCTGGTTGTGGTGGAGTTTGCAGGCGCTGAGTTTCCGCCTCGTGGATGCGCTCTACCAAGTCGAATTCCTGCTTCCGGCGCCTGGACTCTTCATGAGACCTGGGATAAAGGCGATCGGCCTGCTTGATGTATTCGTCGCCAAGAACAAACTTGTTGAAACGGTTGACGGCTGCTCGCTGGTCCTTTGAAATGTGGGCCTGTGATGAGTCCAATCGCAGAGTATAGTGAGGACAGCAGGAATCGCGCTGATTTGGCCTATAGAGCAAACGACCCGAGCGCCTCCAGCATCTATCTATCAATGACTGATAGAAGGCAGGGGTCAAAGAAGTCGCTCGCACATAGAATGAATGACCTAAATCAAAGACAAAATTAGACCCCTCCTCGCTGAAGATAGAGGATAGAAGACGGTAACATGGTCACCACCACAACTGCAGAATGCAATACATGGCTCCAGCGGGCACGACATGATATGCAGTACATGTCGGGCAATGCGCTTGATGGCCATGATTCTTCTACATTTCTAAGGGCACACAGTGTTACACACGTTTTTGGGACTGACCGGTCTGAGGAGAGCGTCGGCGGCAGTACCCGCAAGTGGACGACGATGTGTAGCCTGTAAGCGACTGGTTAGGAAGGAAGGTTAAAAAGCTTTGACAGGTTTGCCAGTCAAGTGGCAAGAAACATGGCGTCGTAAAGGGGGCCGAAGTAGGTGGTATGAAGGTTCGTGAAGTTGTAAGTCATCAAAAAGGATACGCAGGGTAGTATCTAGGCGACGCCAGCGATTCGGTAGAGGTTGCCGCAGACTACTGCAGGCGACCAGTTCCCCATAAAAGTACATGCAAGTGTGAGCAGCCAACAGCGATCACTAGAAGCCGCACGGGTTCGGACGGTTGGGTGAGGTTGTGTGCGAGTGTTTTGATGGGAAACTGGGGAGCTTGCAGTGACGGCATGCGGTTTACTCACCGATTGGTGTTAGGTATGAAAATGCATCTTCAGGGATTGTCTGCATGCCAGTTGTAGCCATGATGCTTGTAGAAGAATTGTCGTATTTTGTTTTCTCCCCGTGTTTTTTTTCTTCCTTTTTTCGGTGATGTGAACGTCTTGGATCGGGGCGCTTAGGAGTATTCCGTATGGAGTAGCCTTGTCAAGTCAGAACTAAAAGATATTAAATACTCTTTTCTCTACACTTACTACTGTAGATTATTCCAGAGATGTTGGCGGGGTTTGCGTGAGCCTGAAGTCAGAGGGCGCCACTTTGCTGGGGATGGCCTTCGTCAGCGAGCCTGCATTTAGCACGGGCAGACAGGGCTCCGGGATTCGTCTAGTGGAGAAGACTGCTCACGAGCTGCTTATTGACGATTTGTGATGTATGAATGCAGATTCAGTGCGTAGGTAGTTGGGCGACCAGAAAGTCGTTCCGATGGAAGGCTGTGTGGACAGGACAAGAATGGTTAGATCAGCATCGCAACGGAGTTCCAACAAACAAGTGGCGGAAGCGATGGGTATGTTGGTACGAAGTAGATGGGTAGGCCGATAGTGATGGTGAAAAAGGAGGGGCTGATTGACTATAGCACGGCCCGTTGGAACGCTTGGGCGCGAATGGCTGGGCAGAGCCGGAGCAGAAAAAGACAGATGCCAACCCTGATGATTCAGCAGCTCGTCTGCCAATGGGTTCGCCTGGTTCTTTGTAGGCTTCGGAAACTGATCAAGTGGGTTGAAACCGTCTAGGTGCTGGATTCGGCCGGCCGTTGAATAATCTCTGGACGTGGGGTCGAGCGAAGCGCAAGCAAAAGCAAAAAGACGGAGGCGTGTACAGATATGTCGTGAGGCCCAAGTCTAAGTATCGGGCTCCGTCACTGAAGGGAACGAGGGGGCGGTCCGCTTGGTTTCGGTGCTGGCCACTGGTATGGATAAGGCTTGACAGAACTAGACTCGAGCCCTAGATTCGATCCCGGACACTGACAGAAAAGAAGCGATTGAGTGGACTGCCGTTCACGGATTTCTCGCATGCATTATGCAGGAGTGCCGCGCCAACGATAGCCTAGACCTGATCTTGTCAGCAAATGTACAGACAGATAGGATGTTGCTTGAATGGAAAGAATGGAAAGCGGTGTAACCCGAGCAGGGCAGCTCAATTCGACTGGGCCCCAAGCAGAATCATCAATTCCTGCATCCCCGGACGCCTGGGGCCCGGCGAAAGCAGAAATACTATCGTCAAGATTGGGATCTCGCATGCGAGTGATGTCATGCAAGCAGCTTGGGGAAAAGAAAAACGTACTCTACTACTTCGTGTAGATCGTGACCTTTGCGGGATGTTTATTCAGCACCTCTTTCCACGATGCCATCAGATCAGTGTCCGTGGGGACATGTAGGTAAGGAGACGAAGACATTTGAACTTATTACGTAGGTAGGTACCTACCTACCTAACCTTGTAGTACATACTATATGCAGCCCCGCGATTGACCCCCCTTCCGCAATTGCATGATTGAATATCCAATACTACATATAGGTATATTATAATATTCCCAGTGACGGACATCAATCTGCAGCCCAAGACGGAGGAAATGCATTTGAAGAGCCGGACGAACCATTAAGCTGTCACATTACTTACTTACCTACATGACCTGCCTACAGGCTCCCCCCTACATAATCTTTTGTGTACTAGCAGTCGGCCGAGCCTGTGGATTGCAGCAATTACGGCTTCTGCTCTTGCTACGAGCAGTGATTAGCTGACAGCCACTGTCCGCCTTCGTCATATTGCATTTTACAACGGACAAAATCGGGACATCTGTAGAAACAATACCAAACATAACTCTGCATTTTTTTTTTTTTTTTGATCACGTCTGTCCGGGTGCCCCCATCGTGGTGTGTAAGCTTCATTGTTCAATATTTTCCCGACGCTTACTTACACGTACACGCACGAGCCATGGCTTTCTTGTTCTTGGTACGCCCGTCCCTTTAACTTTGGAAGGGCATGCTTGCATTAGGCCGTGGGGGTACATGCCAGGGTGAAGTCGGTCAACTGGGCGGCTGAGATGTATAATTTTGCTGGGTGAACCGAGTGGTCCGTCCTGTCCATATCAAAAGCGGGAGAGACTTATACAAAGAGATCCCCAATGCCAGAAGATGAATAATGCACTCGACTTCTTATTATTATTTTTCCTGCATAGGTAAGTACTCGTCTACCACAAAGAGACAATTGAACATGTAGCACGGCTTGCCAAGAGCACTTGGCGAGCACTACCTGGACAAAGAAGCGAAAAGAGCGGAACGGAATGTACCAGTAGTAGAAAAGCATGCATGCATACCTTTCTACATGGCCACACACCTTAAACCATGCCATATAGTATTTTAGTCCGGCCCAACTGGGCAATCCGAAAGGCAAGGTTGTCATACATGGCTGTGGCAGAGCTGCTTGGCCGGTGATTCACGTCTGCCTTGAGCTTCCTCGTCATGTGGCGGTATCCTGAACGTAGATTCTTCATCGGATAGGTCTTCTGTAGGCTGATTCACAAAAACACACGCATTCAAATGTACATGCATGCGTAGCCGCTGATGAGAGACAGATGTTCGGTGCCGAAGACGGACGTCGATTAGGGGGTGGCCTGACGGTGAGAGGAAAATATGCCCAGCTGTTGGATATTTACCATGTATAGGTAACCTATATTACCTAGTAGGGGGTTAGTCTGTGACCCGTGCTAATTTATTTGATCAACTCAGCACGTATGAACTGCAGAGCCTTTCGAGGTCCATGTAACGCTCCATATACGGATGATTGTCTAGACATAATGGTAAAATTATCGAATATACTAATCATTGTGTGCATAGTGTTGGGATGATTTTATCTCAATGTAGTATGGGTGTGGATGGATTCAGCTTGCTTGCGTGATGCAATAGTGTGGAGCGCAGGTACGCACTTGGGCGTGATGCGATCCTTATTACAATTGACCACCCCTCGCTCGCTCCATGAGTATTCTCTACGAAGTCATTGCCATTGCGCCTGTCTTTCTCTTGAGGTTTCCCACGCAGCAATGCTCTTGTTTTTGGCCCAGAAGCATGCCAGTCGTTTTCGTGCTGGAAATATGTATGCCCTTTATTACACCCATTAACTGCCTGAGGCTATGTAGGTAGGTCTGGTAGAGATAGGTACATGGTAAGTCATGTATGTACAGTATACTCCGCACCTACCCTACATACCCCGTACTCGCATACCGAGATTGACAGTCGCGACATGGAGACGCGCACACGCGATGCATCTGTACTTTGCCCTGGGCCGGCCAGGGCTCTCAGGACTCATCAGTCCAAGTAGATCAAACCGTACAACGGTACCGTGTAGCAGCAGCAACAGATGGGGAAGGGGGGATTCTTTTTTGGTCCACAACTTACGGTAGACCCCCAGAACATTTAGTTACACACTTGTATCCTCCGAGGCACGGTACAAACCTACCTGACATTAGACAATGTACTCGAGGCTAGCGGAGTTTGCCCTGGCGCTGTCTGTCAGTAGGGTCTTGGTAGTCATCGTTTAGTATAAAGCCCAAGTCTAGTTTCCCTGCCCTTCTGCCCCTCCATTTCCACCATGGCACGAGACATCCCAAGTACTCTGGCCCCCCAGAGCGCTCAGCTCCGACCGCAAGCATCTTTTGCCCTGCTCGCTAGCAATTCTTGTCTGTCGAGAGTTGTCCTCTTAAGGTTTTTCTGAGTCCTACTAGGCGCTCTTGATTTTCTTTTCACACAAGAAAGGGCTTTCTGCCTCTTTTTGCGTTACAATTTGTCTTCATTGACGTGCCCCTCGATCGGTACGGAATACGCAGGACAAAGACAGGAAACCACTCTCGTCACGGCGTGCCCCGCAGTCACGAAACTCTCCCGCACCTCGACGTAGCACCCAATAATTTTTTTTTTCCCCTTCGCAAACCCAGAAAAAAAAAAGCGCCCCGGAAACGCCGCGCCAGGCCTCAAAGTGGTAACTGTAAGGCGTCCTGCCTTCACCTTACCCTGTGATTCTTTGTGTGCACAACCTTTCAATTGCACTCCTCGAGCACAATAGCCTGTGTCCATGCGGATGCAGAAGAGCCTCAACGCTAGACCTCGCTCATTTCCCTGCTGTCGGTTGTTGGACAGGCACCGCAACTCAAACCCTCGTCCTGCGCCGAACCAGCTACTTCTATAATTCTGCGGCGCCCAACTCTTTGAGGATTTACCTGCTCAACGCGCCCAGAGGCTTCCTACAAAACCCACGCCGCAAGCTCGTTGCCCGATTCTCACTGCCTTTTCGCCTTTTCGATCATGCAGCAGAACAGCCTTTGAGCCAAGTTTCTCCCCCCCCCTTCCAGCTATAGTCGGTTGCTGAAGCGCTCGTTTCTTTGAGCGTTTCTGCCGTCGGCTCACCTCGGTTTCGTTGCCCATACACATAAGCAGAGTCACTCGGCTTGTTTGCTTTTCTACTTCAAACACCTTGACATATCTCCTCCACAATGGCGTCCGGATCCTCGTCTTCCAACAGCCGCTCGATGGAGTCCCGAACCGGCCGAGATAACCAGCGTAAGTGCGACAATGTCATACTCCAGAAAGCCCATTGCGACATAGGACATTCTCCATTTAGCCATCAACAAGACTAACTTGTAATATGTACAGGTTACAACTCCAAAAACGAGCGCTTAGTTGCCGGTGTCGTCCCCCTGACTGCGGACAAGAAGTACGTGCTCCTTATTCAGTCGACACGACGAAAGGGCTGGGTCTTGCCAAAGGGAGGCTGGGAAATCGACGAGGAAATCACCGAGGCTGCTTCTCGTGAGGCCTGGGAAGAGGCCGGTATCTCGATTCAGATTGACTATGATCTGGGAGAAATTACCGAGTCGCGACCTCCGAAGAAGCACTCCAAGGAATCGAGCAAATCCCTGTATCACTTTTACGAAGCTACCGTCGTGAAGGAGGAAGTCGACTGGCCTGAGAAGCACAAGCGTGAACGTCAGTGGTTCACCTACTCACAGGCCAAAGAGGCCCTTTCTGCGCGTCCGGAGCTGCTAGAAGCCCTCACTCGTTCCACCATCAAGCGGTAGTATTGGGTTTTCCCTCTAATTCCTACTTCCGCCAGCGATCATCTGTTCCAGTGCGAAATAATTCACGGCTTGAACGACCATCTCCTATCAGTCTCACAAACGATGTGAGACACGGGTTCCAAAAAATTGCATAGATCAGACAAAGGAGTTCACGGTTGCATAAAGGGTTCGGTTTCTCAAAAACACTATAATCTCGTCTCTACTCTAGAGCATTTGTCCCAGCAGGTTCTCTCCCCCTTTTGCACAATATGGGACAAGTCTTCAGATATTCTACCACATGGAAACCCTCTACGACTCGACTAGACCAGTCACATCAAATCATCACAAAGACGTTTTATTGGTGACCCTGATCGGCATTGTTCCTTGGGGGTTCATATATATTCGCATGCATTTCCGGGGCGTTGGTGGCTAGAGTCACTTTGATAGAAGAATTGGGGCACAAAAAAAAAAGAGGAGAGAGAAGTAAAAAGTGATTGACAGGTAGAAAGAGGGGCTCACTGGTAATTTGAGGGCAGAGGGTGTGAAGAAAGGCTTTGGCTGTGCGTCCTTACCAAAGAGATGGACAGGCACTTACTTTGATTTGCAAGTGGACAGTGGTTTGCCGACCACCAAGTGGGTTGCTCTATATAAAAGCACATCTGCCAGCACAGCATCTGCCAGCACAGCATCTACAAGGATAGCAATTGACCCCTCGAGAGTGCAATACTTCTTTCGTCTGGTTTGGGAAAATGCCTGAAAAGGACTTATCAATAGGAGCCTGACGCAGCTAACAACATACTGGGACCTGTCTGTGGGCATCTGTCGTACGACCAGGTCCATAAGAGATGTCGCGGCAGTTTGGAGATGGGAGTCTCCATCGAGCATGCTACTAGCTTGTGCTCATGTGTCGACGGCTGTTACAGGGAACTCATAGCCACAAGTTTGTTGCGATGTGACATACGATGAGCAAGACCTGCCCCCTTTTCTTCCCGATCGAACACACACACATATTCTCTCACTATGGCTTATTGTTTACAAAGATCACAGGCATGTGTCGTCATGATGTAGACACTGAGCAGGGCGGCCGCCCTTGTTCGGGTCAATCAGATCTGGCATCAACCCGCACAAGATCGGCGCCACCGGACGTGGTCATGGTTATTGAATGACAGTCGGGTATATCATGGAGGATCATCTAGTACTGTTGCTCCGTGCTCTTCCTCTGGTGTCCTAGGGAGAACATGGGAGCGGACTTGGGCACTTGGCTCCCTTCAGTGCCTCGGAGCACCTTTGAGCCATTGAACTGCTTGGGAGTTGGAAAGCCTGGACACGAGCACAATCAGTCGAATATCCGTATCGACAAAGTTTGTTGGCATTTGGCCAATCACAGCAGATGAGAGCCAAAGGTCCTTGGGTGTTGAGCAGGAAGCGCCGTGAGTATCGTACCTTGAGGGTCATGTACTGATTATCGCTTCGTGTCGACAGAAAGGCTGGAACTCTGAAGTCCTTGCGTGTCAGCCGCGTACTGGATATCATGGTGTCGAAGCCCGCAGACTCGTTGCTGGCAATCCCGGCCTTGCTCTCGACGTCATCAACTCCGGATATGCAGTCGGGTAACTGGAGAACGAAAAGTTCTTTTCATTGTAAGTGTCCCTGGCTTCCTTGAGGAGCGTAATGTGCGGAAGCACCGCCGAGTCACGGCCAAGCTCCCAAACCATAAATTTGCGCGCCAATGTCGCACCTTACCTTTTTGCCATTTTGCTGTGTGGTGTTTTCGTGAGCACGAAATCGAAACTGGTAGAGGAGGAATTCTGCTGCTTCCGTTACAAAATGGGGTATCCGTTATAAGGTAAAATAAAATGTCTGCTTTCAACAAACCACAGGCCACAGTGGTGTAGTGGTTACCGCTCCGCTCTCCTAGAAAGAAAACTTGTATTTCTAGCTCTCTCTCTGTCTGGGCCCGTCCTCATCGAGGGTTTTGTTCGATCTCCAAAAGCCGTATTTTTATCTTTATTTCCTCATCCTCCTATTCCTGCTTTTGGAATTATTTATTCTTTTTGTGAGGTCGATCGGTTTGGCAAATCCTAGCTTTGAATATCACCTGTAAGAAGCATGGCTTGGACGAACAAGATAGCGTATTGAACCAAAGAATAACAAAATCCAATCGAGAAGAGTGCGAGGTTTGCCAAGGAAGGCTATTGAAAGTGGTTGCAGAAAAGTGATTCAGTATGGTATGAGACACAAGAAGAGACCCAAAGAAAGACTGGGAAAAGAGCAAAAAAGGAAAGGAATTCATTCCATTGTACCTACAAAACACGTGTCAGTCTGCTGCGAATCTTGGTATTGAAAGTTGGTGAGTGCAAAAGAAGAAGAACAAGAAAGAACCCAAGACGGTCCAAGAAGACTTGTCATCTAGGCAGAGAGATTACAGATGGACCCAAGACGATTTGCTAAGGGGGGGACTGGCTCTCTAACCTGAAATGCTACCCATGAAAAGCCCGCGCTGTCCAAGAGATAGGAAAAGACGGCATCGGTTATCTCGGACGTCGGCGCTTACAAACAAGCAAGAATAATTCCTTCTTAGAAACACAATCGCTGTTGTTGTGTGTATGTGTATTGTGTTTTTTTTTTTTTTTGCCCCCGGCCAGGGACCTCGTGTGAAATTAGTTCCAGAACTGTAATTATTTGAGCAAACCCCACAAGCTCAATATCCACCATAAATGTTCCCCTTGAGCCTTTCCTCTTGAAGTCACTATGGAAGGAGTATAACCTTTACAGATTACAGGGGGTTTAATGTCCTTTGACCCGCATTCCCATGTTATGACCGGACTAGTTGCTCTAGATCTCTTCTGATTTGCCAATTTCGTGGGGGGAAGTTGGACTAAATGTCCTTGCTTGGCCCACATGTCACATGGTCTGTTTGTTATAGTATCGCTACCCCCTGGACACATTGGCTGGGGGGCTCTCTTTTCATCCCCCTTGAGCCTCTTGGAGAAAAAAAGGCGCGCGTTATATTGGGAGTCAGTCAGAAGCCACATGGTTTCTTTATTCATTGTACATAAGCGGTGTATGTGCGTAAGTATGTGTGAGAGGGAGGGAGAGAGAGAGTGTGTGTGTGTGGCGCTCGGCCGGGGGAGAGACATGGTAACAGTGGTAAGCTAAGGACTAGATAGGAAGGCTTGATCAACTTTGCTGACGTGAAAAAAACCACACCCACACACAGAGAGAGAGATCCAGAGGTGAGGGAAACAATGGGTAGGGAGGGAGAAAAGAAATCCCACCCCATATGCTAGTCTATCTCGTCCGATACCCGGGGCTAGGAGGGATCGACACGGCCGCTTCGGTTCAAGCCGAGCTCGTGATATGTTACCCTGAGAAGGGGAGGGGCAAAAGATGCTCATTCAGATGCCAGCCCGGCACACGAGGTGGTTGCATGGTTTTTTCTTTATCGCCGAGCTGGGTCATGTATGATACGAGGACTTGTTGACTTGGATCTATTTTGAAACCATCATGAGATGATACCCTTCTTCGGATCAACGGTAGGTATATACTAATCTATCAGATAAGAGGGTATGTGTGTGTGTGTGTGTGTGTGTGTGTAAGTATGTGTAAGCAGATATGAAAAGTCTCGACTCTTAATAGACCACGCACACGACAGCGGAACAGAGGTTCCAAGTTGGTATGCAGTTCGTTCCGCGCCCAAGTCGCCGCGCTGTGGTCTTGAGAGCACAGTTGAAGGTGTTGTCCCGTCGACTTTGTTCATCATCTTGGGTAAACAGTTCGGCGATTGGAGAAGAGGCAATGATTCCAGACTTTCTCTCTTCAACCCACCCTCTTGACAAGTAAGTGGTTGCGCCGAGAGGACCGACTTCCGGGACGATAATGCCGGTCGAGATTGGACGAGGTCTCGGCCGGGAGGGAAGGGCACTCTGCCCTGGGACTGGACCCTTTGGACTGCGACGCGGCCGGTGAGAAACGAGACCCAGCTTCGGTTTCCTTTCCCCACAGTCATCTAGACTCACATGTTGCATTTCCCTCTCTCTGTATGTGGCCCAGACACGCGGGTGATCGGCTAGAGAGACAGAGAGAAGGGAGACATGGAGAGGAGAGAAACTCACGTGGCCGATGTGAGAGAGAGGTCTCGATTGGGATATCAAGACCGGCATCACGTGTATTCCTACCCGCAAAGACCGAGACCCACCGAGAAACGACGACGACGACGACGGTACGCCGGTACCGTTGCAACGGGAGAGAAACGGCCTTTGGGGGTGGGCCACAGCGATTATGTACGATGGCGGATCGGCTATCCATCCAGTCAATGATTGCGTGGGATGGGAAGAATAAGGAGGAGGAGGACATGTTGAACCATGGCCAAGACAACAGGCGAGGGGGACCCTATCTGCATATTGAGAAGCGAGAACAGAAAAAAGACAAAATGTCTTGGAGTTGTATGTGCACGTGTGTTGCGTGTATGTGTAAAAGGTCACTCACTACCTACTCACAAGTGGACCAGCCGCCAGCGGTTTTGGCAGACCAAACAGGCATGCGAATACAGCATGTTGGCAGAGAAGACCTGGGCAACAAGAATTAGGCGGGGTGCCGGCCTCAAAAGCTCATTCTCCGTGTCTAAGTATAGTCGAGTCCACTTTTCTTCCTCCCCCCTGTATCTATTCCTGTTAGGCCATGGGCTTTTTGACTCTTGACCATGGACTGAATAGGAAGAGCTACTTTGAAGATCTTGTGCCTATACTATAGCGCATTTCTTTGATGAATCATCCATATACTTTTTTTTTTGCCGAGATAGTGTCTTCTTCCATCGGTCGGCAACTACAAATGGAAGAAGAACGATTGAGGTTAGGCCTCGACTGTTCTGTCCCAGCCAACCACGTCAACCAGCTCGGCAGTGCTGTAGTGCCGTGACTTTGCCGTGGCCAATGCTTGGGTAGCAGATATTTCTTGGGTATTGGAGGGTCATGTTATAGGTTGTAAAGTGGTATGGTTACCTCGTCTTGGCGCAACCTACCTGTCTTGGCGACGTATTGCCGGGAGGAGGCGAAAAAGTGAAAAGAAGAAAATACTACTACAGCAAGAATAAAGTGCAAAAAAGATGGCCGACGCGGCTAAAGTGCATATGATGATAACAAAGGATCCAAGGTAACGAATGATACTATTCGGAAACCGAGCACGGCTCCGAAACCAATGAGTCCGTCCATTAGTCAAAGCACGCAATACTTTCAAACAAACACAACAAAGACGTTAGTTTGTTGGAACACACGCTAGAGTCTGATATTTTCTCTATCCTTTTTTCTTCTTGAATCCATACCCAACGCAACGCTGATGAAGTGACCTTGAGAGTCCAGACAAGACAAAATGCGCCCCCCCAGTCCCCTGGGCACTCGCGCTACTGTTTCCCAGTCGGGAAGGTGTGCGCCCACCCCAATGAGGCGGGAGATGCTCAATTAAGCGACGATAGCAATTTACAAGCTTAATTTGATACCTGCCTAGCCAGTGGTGCGTGCATCTCTATTTCGGATGACAGCCGAGAATGGGTGAGAGAGACACTATCTTTTGTCTTGACTTTCTTGTCTGTTACTCTTGTGTCTTGGGCCTGTCTTGGGTCGACAGTTATTGGCAATGATCTATTTACTATTTTCTTTTTCTTAACCCGCGAGCGGAGGTGTGGGAATCCTACATTACAGTAATAAACCACATCCTGGCTATGCACGCTATGATTATAATATCTATGGCGTGATCTGCATCTCAATTCCCCTCTTCTCTCGTCTGCCTCTCTACTCCTCTCCCATCCCATCGTCTATCAGGATGAGCAAAGTGCCGCGCCAAGCCGATAATTAGTTCAACTCTCATTTACATCTCAGCCTATATCATACTTGGTCTCGGCCTTGTTCGGGGGACTCTAGTTGAAATAGCTCCATTCCCCTCCCCCTTAGTCGCTCGTTGATTCTATCAGAGGAGAAGGGGCAGCAAACAAACCAGAAAAAGAAAAACATTGGCTGTCTAATAAGGGAAACAAAAAGGCACAACAACTACTTTTCCCTCCCTCTCTGGCAGCAATGCTCGGCTTCATCGCCACCTGGTTCACCGCGGCGACGGCCATCGCCGTGGTCTTCTTCAGCAATGCGGCATCGTCATTCCCGACGCACGTGTGCGCAACCAATGCTGCGCCGCAGGTGACGCTGGATCTGAACGCGTCGGTGCTCAACTCGGGCCCCCGGCCGTGGGGGCTGGTCTACCTCAACGACACCATTGCGCTGGCGGCCGTCAACTTTTCGCTCGGCGTCCTCGACGTCTCCGAGCTCCAGCCCAAGCTGCTGAACCTGCTCCCCATGCCGCCCTCGTACTACATCGGCAACGACGACTACAACGAGGACGGCTATGGCTTCCGCGACATCAAGCTCACCGCGGACAAGGAGAACGCCTATATTGCGACGGGCTACGGCGCCGTCATCTATGATGTGCCGCGCGCATTGGCCGGGCGCAACGACTCCGTGGTCGGTGTCCTGAGCAACGGCGGTCTCACGGGCCGCAGCTCTATTGAACTGCAGATTACCGCCGACGACAAGTTTGTCTTCGTCAGCCAGGAATTTGGCGCCAATGCCACGCTGCAGCGCGGCGCCATTGAGGTGTACAACATTACCCGGCATGAGAACCGGACCGTCGAGAGTCACTGGCGCGGCGTCATCGCCCTTGGCTTCGCCACCATTGGGCAGCAGTTCTCGACCGACCACAGCCTGCTGTTTGTGACGAGCGAGATGAACGGCACGGCCACTTCGCTCAACGAGACCTCGGGCATCATCAGCGTACTGGATGTGGCCAAGCTGCGGACGTACGTGAACCAGGCCCTGATCAAAAAGGTCGACGCCGGCTGCCACCCCGTGCGCGCCGTCATGTCGCGCGACGGCCGCCACCTGTGGGTGTCGCAGCGCGAGGCCAACCAGGTCATGGCCTTTAGCACGGCCCAGCTGTCCGACAATACCTCAACCAGCGCCCTCGTTGCCACCGTCAACACGGGCACGTCGCCCATTGGCATCACCGCCGTTAACAACCACATTCTGACGGCCGACTCGAACCGCTTCGGCTACAGCAACGCTAGCACGGGCATCACCGTTGTCAATGCCGCCGGTGCCATCCAAAACGGTCGCATCAGCTTCCCCCAAATCCCCACGGGACCGTTTCCGCGCGCCCTCGCCGTCAGCCCCGACAGCAACACTGTGCTCGTCTCCGAATTTGACGGCGGCACCATTCGCGCCATAGACGTCAGCTCCTTGAACGCTCTAAGTCCCTAGTTGCATTATTTATGATTAGAGAGCATATTTCCATATCTGAAATCAATATTGAATTTTTATCCAGCATTCTGGAAACGCCGTGCCATGATTGGTGATGTCAAGTACTTGCTTGCTTTGTTTCAGGGGAAAAGATAGAAAAGTGGGAAAAAAGGAAGCTGCTGGGAAATATCGTGATTCATGAAACCCTCGTATTTATATCATTGCAAAACTAGCTCCATCCGTTATCTCTAAGCTTGACGAATTTGCTATATGCATGCGCCGACACGGACGGTTTGATCGTCTCCAGGGCATTTAGCCAATCCACCTCGGTGAGCTCGTCGACACCGTCTTGGTCGAATCTTTCCACACCAGCCTTGGCAGCAGCGATATGCAGGTTCTCCAGATCGGCACCACTGAATCCGGTACACTTTCGGGCAATCGGTTCGAGCGCCTGGAGCTGTTCCTCGGTATAGGAAGGAATCACATTCCGTACCCGGGTCTTGAGGATATCAGCCCGTCCCTCCTCGTCGGGCAGGTCTACAAAGATGCTCGTGCCCAGTCGGCCAGGTCGTAGGATGGCCGGGTCAATCATGTCTGGTCGGTTGGTGGCGCCAATCACGTACACGCCGGCCCGGCCATCCATGCCATCGAGCTCGGTGAGGAGCATGTTTACCACTCGGGCACTGGACTCGGCAATGTTGTCTCCACGACGCGGCACCAGGGCGTCCAACTCATCAAAGAAGAGGATGCAAGGTGCTGATGATCGAGCTCGAGTAAAGACCTGACGCACCGATCGTTCGGATTCACCGACGTATTTGTTGAGCAACTCGGGTCCCTTGACCGAGATGAAATTGGCTTTGGCCTCGTTGGCCACTGCTTTGGCGAGCAGAGTCTTACCGCATCCAGGCGGGCCCCAGAGTATCACTCCCGAGGGTGATTGCCAACCAAACTTGGAAAAGAGGTCGGGTGTATCGATGGGCCGAATGATGGCCAGTGATAACTCTTTCCGGACGTTTTGCAAAGCACCAACCTGAGCCCAAGTCGTGTCTGGTATCGTCGTGAATCCCTCTCGCTTTGCTGATGGCTGGACCTTTGACACTGCTTTTACAAGATAGTCTTGCAAAAGTCCTGTGCTCTCTTGGCTAATAGTCTGAGTTCCGACAAACTTGTCGGCTTCTAGTTTCCGGAGAATATTTGCGCGTCGAGGTGGTACGCCTTCGTAGCTCTCTCCGCCTTGTGACTCCAACTCCTGAATAGCTCGCTCCTCGTGCTGCAGCATGGCGCGCTTTAACATGTCAGCCTTGGCAAGGGAGACGAGGTCTCCCAAATCAGCACCGACGAAACCCGGAGTCATTTTGGCCACGACCTTGAGATCCACATCCGGTGAGAGCTTTGATTTTCGGGTGAGCGCCTGCAAAATGGCCAATCGAGCATCCTCGTTTGGTACGCCAATGTTGATTTCCTGATTAAAACGACCAGCTCTGCGCAGAGCCGGGTCAATGCTGTCGGGTCTGTTTGTCGCAGCAATGGTGATGACCGGCTTGCCGTCTGTCTTGTCCAGGCTCAATTCGTCCATGCATGTAAGCATCTGTGCCACTATACGCTTTTCCATCTCCCTCTGTGCATTTTCTCGCTTGCCCATGATGGCATCAAACTCGTCAATAAAAACCAGGCAAGGCGCAAGTGTCTTGGCTTCATCGTAGAGCTCTCGAATCTTCTTTTCAGACTCTCCAGACATGCCGGCGATGAGAGCAGGGGCGGACACGGGAATATACGATACACCGATAGCTGCAGCAAAAGCGTTGGCGAGCATCGTTTTTCCACAACCAGGGGGGCCATAGAGGAGAATACCGCGCGACGGATTGAGATCTGCCTCCAAGTATGCGCTGGGGTGTCGCATCGGACGAGCAACTTCCTCATAAAGGAGCTCTATAGCATCGTCCATGCCGCCAATATCTGCCAGAGATACTCCAGTCGCTGGAGTCCGATCCACGGGCTCCTTCTCTTTTGACTGCCGTGTCCTGGCCTTCTTGGGCTTGGGCTCTCCATTGGGTTGCCTGTCCACAGTCACGACAGCAGAATCCACGGCCATTCCGTTGGCTGGGGTTGCAGTGCTCCCGGTGGTAGGCTGTTGATCTGACGTACTCGGCGAACGCTGCCTCCTTGCCACATTCCAGGATTTGGTGAGCTGCTTGTTCATAAGAAAGTAGTCTCGTTCCTTGGCCTGGGGCGTCGCACTCCCCGAGACGTCGTCCATGGCCTCATCTTCATCGTCTGCCTCATCCTTTTTGCGCTCTTCCTTTCTAAAATGAAGGACGCGATAGATGGAGTCCTCCAGCGGCTTTTTCTTCTCCCGAGCCAGGCTGGAGTTGGATCGCTTGATGGTATCATAGACGGCAGACACGGTGAACTTTGGCGGCTCGCCAGTCCTGGCCGTCTTTTCGGCCTGATCGTTTTCAAGCTTGATTACGATCTGGTAGATATCGCGATCCAGGCGCTGCGTTAAAGCCGGCATCTTGGAAAGCGGTTTGCTATTGTGAGTGGGCAAATTGCCGTGGTCGATTTCATCGCTTTGGGTGAAAATGAATTTCGAAAGAAAAATCGGCCTTCCGTGAAAATAAAGTGGGGCCGCTCTCTCAATGGGGGGTGGACCCTGGATTCTCGCCATGCAAATCGTTTATGGTATGCTTTTATGACCCTGCTCGCCCAACATTGCCACGCGTGAATCAATGATGTTATGAAAATGGTCTATAACAGCTGGCGAAAAAAAAAAAAAAAAAAAAAAAAAGAATTTGTAGAATCTCAAGAAATCTGCATGGCATCTATCTTTTGCAAGTGACAGACGCGCACTATCATACAGTGCACTTGATATATGCATACAGAGCATATTTGCCTGGAAGGAGAATAAATTTCCGTGAGCCTGCAAGATATAAGCAGGAGAGAAAGGAGAGTCTTGTTTTCCAAGTATATAGTAAAGTTTCACTCCGTCAAGTAAACATCCTTATACATTTTCCCCCAAGTCGTCTTCGCCGGTCAAAAACTAACCGCAGCCACCTTCATCTCGACGGCTCATCTCTTTGACATTGGAGTTACAAGGTCTGCAACTTGATGAGAATTAGCCATAAATTCGTCAAGGCAAAGAAGAAAACAGTGTACTTGAACCAAGTCAAAGAAAAAGAAATTTCAACATAAAAAGTTACAAGCATCCAATTTCAGGGTGCCCAAGGTAGGTACCTATTCAAAAACCTTCTTTTCTGCTGGCCTGGCTTTTCCACCACGATCAAGGAACGAGTCAAGCAAAAAGAGACCGAAACATCCCTGTCAAGCGCTAAACTAGCACCCCGCTATCGATAAGAAATGACCCGGTATTTTAGCAGCGTTTTGCTCACCACACCCGCAACCCACCCTGGCACCAATGACGAATGATGCCGATTCAATCCCCCATGCGTTTGATCGCATTCCACTTTGCCCAGGGACTTGACTGGGACCGGACATGCGCCCCGACGACCATTCGCATTTCAACCACCATGTCACGAGAGCAACAAGAAGGTGAACTGTTACAACAAGAGACTGCCCTTTTTTTTCGCACAAACCCCATCTTTCTTCTCATTGTCCTATTGATTCACCTACTTTAGCATTTTCTACATCACCTCTAACCAGACATGGGCAACAATAATAGCCGTATAACGGCCCAGGATCGGTACGTCTCTTATCTGCTCTCTCTCTATCTGGACGAAAGCCCACACCTCCGACCATCGCAACACAAGCACACGCTGCAGCGCCCGACAGCTTGACCACTATATTGTTCCGCCCAGCAATGACAAGACGAAATGTAATCAACTAACTCTTAAAATTCTCTCTCCAGGGCGATCCTTGACCTTAAACTCCAGCGCGACAAGCTGCAACAGTACCAGCGGCGCATCCTCCCCTTGGTCGCCCGCGAGACGGACATGGCGCGGCAAATGCTGGCGGCAGGCGACAAGCCGCGGGCCCTGCTGGCGCTGCGGCGCAAAAAGTACCAGGAGCAGCTGCTCTCGCGGACGGACCAGCAGCTGCAGCAGCTCGAGCAGCTCGTGCGCAACGTGGAGTTTGCCCAGATCCAAAAGGACGTCGTCTTTGGCCTGCAGCAGGGCACAAAGGTCCTCAAGGAGATCCACGCCGAAATGGGCGGCATCGAGCGCGTCGAGCTGCTCATGGGTGAGAGCGCCGAGGCCATTGCCTATCAGAATGTGAGTCGAGTCCCCCTCCCCGAGCCCTGGTGGCAATCACAAACACTTCTTTTCTGTCGCCTCCCTTGGCTGGACACAATACTCATGCGATTTAAACACAATAGGAAATCAGCGAAATGCTCGGCCAACGGATAACGAATCAAGACGAAGAAGAAGTTGAAGACGAATTAGCCGCCTTGGCAGCCGAGGTCAATGGAACCACGAAATTACCAGATGTGCCGCAGGACAAGTTGCCCGACGCACCCCAGACCGAGCCCGAGACAGAGCCTGCAAGAGTACAGGAGCGGCAAGAAACAAGAGAGGCAATAGCTGCATAATCGATGGAGTGATGAGCATCCTTATCGCATAGTTACGGAGTACGGGGCCAAGTATTATAGCGTTCGATTTACCACAAATGATACTCATATATACACAAACACATGTATATTCATGACAGAAAACTTTCAGTGGCTTTGCAGTCCTTGTTGTTATGCATATCTACATGAAACGCTCATATGCAAGCCAAATCTTTCCACTCGAATCTTGCCTCAAGCGCTCATGTTCATGAATGTATACCATTAACCATGGCCAGTCTTTCCATATGCCATCCAGGCAAACTCCTTTTAATGCAATGCTGCCAAACAAAATGGGTATCATGCGACAAGAAATCGTGGGCCTCCTGTGCACTCGACGCGAATCTATAGTGTACCTCGTTCAACGCGTTTCCACTTTCAAATATTTTCATAACGGAGTTGTCCATACTTCTTTGCCCAGTCGCTCGTGCATAAGCCTCCAAGCGGACGACGAATAGTGCCTGTCAAAGATATTCGTCGATACAAGATATGTTGTTTCTCCCAGATATCGACAGGCGATTTCACCAGGCGACATTTCTCTTACTTCTTTGGTCCCATGTTATTGGACATGTGGACTACTGGTCTAATACTCAGTAGTGATTAGGTACAGGCCGATAGGTGTAGTCTGGGCCGGGAGGCGGTTGTTGAATAAATGCTTGATCGCGACCCGGGTCGCGAACGATGATACGTTCTTGGGGTCTCTGATAGCCGTACGCCAGCTCGTCCGGGTAGTGCGGTTCATGCCTGGCCTGTGGAGGCAGAACTCTCTCAACCGGGACATATGCGTCGACGGCACTGCCACGAATGGCATGATGGCTTGCAGAGTCTAGAAATGGACGACTTGTATGTGCCGGTCGAAAGACATCGGCACCATACGGTAAAGGCTCGGGATGATGTCCAATGTGCGATCTGACTGGAATAAGGTGCGAGTGTGGGGGTTCTGCCGGTTGTTGAAGGACACGAGTTGGCCTCGAGTCGTAAACGTCGGTGTAAGTGACTGCTGGCCGATCAAGGCGTCTGTCTGGCTCGCGAACCGGGACCCGGCGGAGAAAATCAACTTCTCCTGGTTGTCGTGGGTCATATTCCATGTCTTGCAAGGATCGGTGAGCGTCAGTTGATCTATTTGTTGCCCTTGGGTTTAGATCATCAAGCACGATTGGATGGTCTCTCGAACTAAGAGCAAACTCGTCCCGCCCGTTCGACCTAGGTTCATCCACGTAGACTGTAGTTGGTCTCGATCTATAAAGCACTCGTCCGGCATCTCTATATGCTCCGGCTTGGGGGTGAGAGATCGGAGATCGAGACCTCCGCTCAAAGGATCTGGTGACTGGAATTGCGTGGCTGATGGCCAGACCATCTGGCCGAGCTTGACTCGGCACGCGGCGACTCGGTTCGCGATGAACTTGAATGAATCCTGCACCAGAGAATAACTCCGGTTGCTCTGTGAATCGTGTACTAACCTGTCGGCGGCTTGATGGCAACTCTTCCGGACCCAAAAAAACGGTAGAGGCTGTGGGACCATCCGGGCGTGGGACTACAGAACGATCAACAACACGAGGCGCCTCAGCAACTCTACCCATCTCCGGGTGGAAAGGATACGAGGTCGCACGGTCGCGAATTTGAGATGCACCGGGCGAGTGAGGTTCGATGGATCGGACCAGCAAATCCTGGAATTGGCTCCTGACTGGAGACATAGCATGAGGACTGTAATCGAGACGGTTAGCCGCTTGCCCAACTTTGGGCATGTTGCTGTCCGCGACTCGGACCAAAATTGGTGACTGCCCACGAGACCTGGAAGCAATAGGCGGCACATCCTGGCGTGTATACGATCCCGATAGTGTGGGAGCAGCAGACTGAGGCACGGTTCGTTCCGGTTCACGAACATACTCCAGGTTTCTGGGTACAGACACGGTAGCCATCTCAGGCAAGCTTCCGCTCGCATACTTATCTCTCGGAGACCTTGGGGATCCAGGAACACGCCTAAATGTTTCCGCCACCTGCTCATACCGTTTGAATCTCTGTTGGGTCTGCCTGGCCGCTTTTCGTTCCTTTCTAGTCAACTTTCTGGGAGGCGCAGGCGACACCAAAGAGATAACCAAAGGCTGATGTCGCGGGCTCCGGGCGGAGCTGGCCCTAGAGGGCGCTGGGGGATTCTGTGCCAGGGCATGCGCTTCAGCCGCATTAGGTCCTGGGTCCGATGGAACTGCAAGCCTGGCGGCTGCGGGTACTTGCTCTTCTTCGGTGCTGTCTTCATCCGAATCCTCATCGTCGGATATTTCAATGACCTCTCGAAGAATCTCATCAAGCTGGTCACGGCCGGTTTCCTCATCGCCCCGCCACTTGACGATGATGTCCAAACATGGCTGCTCCACAGCTTTTCGAGCATTCTCCCACTTCTGGCCTTCCCTCAAGAGATCATCATATCTTGTCATGGTATGTCTGATATGAGAGAGGGCAGCTAGTTGAACTCGCCGGGAGAGCGGCAAATCTCCAGCCATGCCAACCTTCTCCCTGCCATTGAAAAATTTGTTATCCTAAGGAGAGCATGATCAGCATCATGGTGCTCCACCATGCGAGGAGAAAGAGCCAAACCTTGTCAAAAGAGTGACGCAGGATGTCGATTCGGTTGGAATTTGGAATCCGCGGAAACAGATCTCTGAGGACAGCATCAGCCTCTTTAAGGATCTGATTGCGGTCCTTGGGTATGCTCTCAGGGCGTCCCGAGGCAATCTTCTGCGGCATGATCACGCCACTCGCTGTAAGGCTATCTCGAGCCTGGTCCACAATGCGCTCACGGAAATGGTAGCCCAGTCGATGGGTATGACTGTGTACAGATTCGTCTGTAGATTCCTAGATGAGGAAGTACATGAGCGTGGCTGATAAGTAGACTTAGACGCAGACCAAAACATACTGAAACGATGAAGATCATGGCGTCTTGCTCGCGCGAAATATCTTTGCACATTTGTGTGAGTTCCGGGTTGCCCAGCGCTATGAACTCATAGCCGGGTGGTGGTGTTCGCTTGGCTGTAGTCTGTTGCACGTAAGCACTACGAATACCTGAATTGTTCTTTGAACCTTGAGTACCTGGGTCTCGAGGATCTTGTCCTTCTTGTCGGCATTTTCAGCTATCTCAAAGTAGCTCTTATGCTTCAACTTGGGCGCAGGCGCTTGCTTGAGGGCATTCAACGTGGAGTAGATTGAAGGATCAGCCTGAGCCATCCTGTCCATCTTATTGTGGCGTGCTTTGGCATGTTTCCCAATGGCCGGAAGCGCCAGCTTCCTGCTTTCTCGACCCATATCGAAAGATTGCTACCCTTACCATAGCAGCTCTTGCTTCGAAGATGAATGTGGAATACGAGAAAAGCTATGAGATATTAAAGCAGGCAGTGTTCCAGATGATTCCAAGGCAGATCAGGTAGATAGGTTGATACACACGTCTACAGGTTGTGATGACACTTCTACCAGCCGGCTGGAAGCTCGAAATGAAGAATGATTTGCTCCGTGTCCGAGACTTGAGGTGGAGGAGAAAGAAATCACAGATCACACGAGATGGAGGTCCGCACTTGATCGGCTCCTATGTGCTCACGGCTGACAGGTTTGTGGCAGCCGCTGATGATGAGTTGTGCAAACGCCACAGAGCGCTCAACCAAGGTCCAGGTACGGTTTGACAATAGCGAATTTTCGTCAAGTCGGTAAGACTGCGGTGATCCTTGACAGGGGGCAGAGATGGTGACTCAAATCGCGTTGTAGCGGCCGCCAGGTCAGCAATCCAGAAAACCCTCCACGTCCTGCGTAACCGGGGACCTCAGTAAAGAGTGAACGAAAGCAGTCACCAAATGGACCGTCGTGCTTCAATAAGGCAAGACGGGTGTCCCGAGAAGAAGAGAGAAGAAAAGACAAGACTGTAACCAGGCAGGATGGCAGAAAGCACAAACGCAGGGCATCCAGATTTATGTCCGATCGATGGGGGAAACACGAAAGAAAAAAGAAAAAACTTGATGACAAGATAGGCAAGTTCGCGTCCTGGTAAGAAACCGGGCGTCAGTAGGGCGTTGTGAGCATTGGGCTGCTCTCGTTTACACAGGTGACAGAGCCTGAAGTGATGAGGTTGACAAGGGAAAAGAAAAAGTGGGCTGCCCGTTAGGTGCGTCTTGGGGGTGGAATGCTTGGCATCCTAAGGTAGCCTGGCAGTCAATCGCTTCCATCAATCTGCACCGCCACAATCCACGCGAATTTAGTATAGAGCAGGACAGCCTTGCTTGTTTGGGGGGTTGAGGCGCGCTGCGGGTTTTGTCGACATGCACCAGCCACATCTTCAGTCTCAGCCCGGCAATTTCCCGAACAGACCCGGTCCTCAATTCTTGCAGCGAAAGAAAGCGAGCTTGAGAAGGAACGACGACATCTCCCATCCCTTCAATCCACTTCGCAACCCCTTCACATCGCCATGTTGTCCCGATCAGCATTCCGCGCAGTCAGAGCCGCAGCTCCTCAGCGGACCGTTGCCCGGGCTGCCGTGCGCAGCTACGCTGCCGCCGCGACCCAGGACAGCAAGCCCCCGATCGCTGTCTACGGCCTCGATGGCACCTATGCCACTGCTCTGGTACGACGACCCCTTCAACCAACCCGCCTCTACAACTATCCGAAGCTGGCCGTCGACCTGAGTTGCTGGTCAATTGGCTCCGCGCGATGCGTCGAGAGGGTCCAGGGCATTCAATGGTTTCGTCGTCGGACTAACACATGAGCTATTTAGTACACTGCTGCCGCCAAGTCCTCCTCCCTCGACCCTACCGCCAAGGCGCTCAGCACCCTGAACGACGTCGTCTCCAAGGACTCCAAGCTCGCCGCCATTCTGAGCACTCCTACTCTGTCCGATGCCGACAAGAGCGCCATTGTCGCCGAGCTGCAGAAGTCTCTCGGTGCCGCTGGCTCCAACGCCACCATCAAGAACTTCCTGTCCACCCTGGCCGAGTACAACCGATTGAGCATCCTTAAGGGCGTCTGCGACAAGTTTGGCGAGCTGATGAGCGCTTCCCGTGGTGAGGTTGAGCTGATCGTCACCAGCGCTACGGTACGTCACTGGAAAACAAGAGAAAGCGAGCAAAAGCAAGCGATGAATCGGAATTGTGGCTAACGCGACCATTGAAACAGCAATTGGACAACAAGACCCTCAACCGCCTCGAGTCTGCCGTTGCCAAGTCCCAGTACGTTGGCCAGGGCAAGAAGCTCAAGGTCACCAACCAGGTCAACCCCGACATTGTTGGTGGACTCGTCGTTGAGATTGGCGACCGTACCATCGACCTTTCCGTCTCTTCCAAGATCGCCAAGATGAACAAGCTCCTTACTGACACCCTGTAAACTATCTTTTCTTTGTCTAGGCGAGAGGACTTGTGATAGGTGAGGCGAGTGCGGCGAGAATATCCGGTGTTCTCATTTGAAGGGCCCGTTGTGTATAGCAGCTGAAAATAGAAGCATTTTGTCTCCCAAATTCCACGGCACGATTTCCGAATGGCAAGAATGTGATCAAAATAACGAGCACGACTTGAAGCACTGCTCATAGGACAACAATGCTTGAAAGCCACCAAGATGACAAGACACCCTGGATGAGAAATTCTCTGCCAAATGTTGCATACAACCTAGATGCCACAGCCGACGGAAAATACGTGAACATGTTGCCAACACTATCGAAACCAAAAACATATGCGCACGATATCTCGGTTGGATTGAGAATTTGGATGCTTCAGGAGCCGTGTGCCGCAAGCACGCCTGGAAACGCCAATTGCACCAGCCCTCGACATTCTGTTCACCCAGAGACAAGTCAAATATGAGATGATTAGGACATGTCGAGCTGCGACTTACCATATGTACAGCTCATGAGCCTTCAAATACTACGTGTAGCAGTTCTCAGTCCACGTATCGTAGTGTATGTGCCACTATCGAGCCAAAATTATCGACGAGCCAGGCTGAGTGATGTTGATTCGCAATTGCCCTTGGGATTCTTTTCCTACTCACGAGCATTTCAGTATTATGATTTTTTTCTAGGAACAAGGTTCAGGACCACAGGAATCGAAAGTATAAAGCGTCATGAAGAACCACCTCTGAACTGATCGTGGACACTGGAGTCAGTTTAATATTGTAAAAGGAAGGAGAAGTTTGCGGGCTTGGGGACATCAACGAACACTTTTAAAACTCCAATGACAATCAGGATTGATGTGGTTTGCCGTCAAAGAAGCCCGAGGCTCTACATGAGCCCGTATACGAAGCACCGTAGCCAGCAACACCTGTTCGAATATAGCAAGTAATATCCACTGAAGATATCACAAGGTCTTCATCTTTCATGAAGCTTTATATAAGACATCCTTGCAAACAGCTGCAATAAAAGGCATAGTCTCTTTGGATGGAGAAACATAAGAAGACAAGAAAAAAAAAATATAAAGGCTTTCTTCCTATAAAAGGCAGATCTGGGCCACTTGAGGAATCGAACAACCGACCCCAGAAAGATGATCCATTATTTTCGATGGCCACGCTTCCAAGATTTGACAAATTGGCCAATTGGGTCGTTCAGCAACCGAAATGCAGAGTGCGTTCACATGGTCAAGCTGAATGGCACTGAAAATCATCTTATCTTGAATGAATAAAACTTCTCGATCTCGGGATGGCCCAAATGTGCACCTTGCCTAGCTTTGGCCGCATCACGGCGCCCATTGCGACCAATGCGAGCGAAAAGGTAAAAGAAATGAGAAATTGAACGAACAAAAGGTGATTCGTTCCCATGCCTAGCTATCAGAGAGCTGTGTTGAAACTCTGTTAGCATTGAGTATAGACAAGGATAGCGTCGTACATGTGGTATGGGCATGATCCACGGATAATGCCATTTCAAAAGGGCTGGGGATATGAATCTGGGACTGCAAATACTACAATGTAACAGGCAAAAATGACCCATCAATAAGTTTGTTTACAAGCTAGCTAGTAAAACGGTCTGGTTGGCTGGTTGATTTCTGTGGTATCTGGTTTGGCAGTACTGAATCTTCTATCCAGTTACAAGGTCTATTTCATTACGCTCGAACATGTCTCATTCATCTACTAAGGCAGCTCTTATAGGGAAACTCCTATTCAATGCCTTTCATTTGATGGCCTGGATGGATGTACCATTAGATCATTGTTTCGCGAACCATGGGAACTTTTTCTTCCCGTCATACATGCCACCAGCTGGATTTTCAACTTGGCAACTTCGCTGGTAGATGTCCTTTGGTTTATTGTTAGTTTCAACTTCTCTTCAAGGAAAAGGGTGCCCAGCTTACCTCCTCATCCGTTGGCATCAGACAATCTAGGATGAGTTCCCTCGCTGTATCGTGCTTGGAGAGATTAGGATACGGCGTTCCTTGACTCTTGATTATAGGCAAGATGATCTCTCCCAAGATTTCGTATTTCTTCCAATTAACGCGGTCGCCGTCTTGTCCGATAAAAGTCATGCTTCCTTCCTCGGCAGAGACAAGATCTCGACGATGTAGAGGCATGTAGGGAATTCGCGGTAGTGGCGAGTTCTCCCATGCCAGACGATAAGCAAAATGACTCTTCTGTGAACCCATTAGGAGCACCAGCCGCGCAAAACGTTTCTGGACATCGGCCGCCACGAGATTACGTGTCTGTGAAAGGCGGTGTACAGCTGTGCCGTTAATTCCAGCCAAGACCGCTGCCAGACCATTATAGTTGTTGAGCTGCCGGAGCTTCAGAGCAATGTTCATAAACTTCTCGAGCATCTGGGCACGGTGTTTTGCCTTATCCCTCATCAACACCATGTTGGCCACCCATTTTGCGATGTGATTGAAGTGGTTAATCATCCGATTTACATTCTTCATACTTGCTGAATTCTCCTTTTGTTGTGCGTTGAGGCTCACGTGCCGTACAAGGTCCCGGATGCGGATCGAAGAGAACATGACCCAATCTAACCTCGTCAACTCGTCGGCAATGTCATCGTCCGACGTGTCCATGAAGATATGGTATCTGAACTTGGTCAACGGCATGGTGTACGTAGGTACCATTGTCGCGGCTTCGTGTTCATAGTCTTCATATGAGTGAAACTGGAACTGGTGGAATTTTAGCGAGTTGGAGGAGTCCGTCAGCAGTGATGAGCTTGCAGACGGCCTCCTGTCGACCGGCTCGCTCACGCTCAATAAGCTCATACTTTCTGGAAGGTCGAGGCTACCCGCAAGGCTAACCGACGGGTGTTTCGGCGCACTCATGTGGCTCGCAGTCTCGGCATCATCATCTTTGACCCATCCGGAATCGTCTTCATCAAACACGCTTAGATCCAGGACACGCCGCATTTGCTGGGCCGCCGCGCTGAAAATGGGTTCTGCAGAAAGATTTCGGATGAACTCTTCCAGGTTCCTCCTGATTGTAGGCTTCGCAAAGTCGCCGGGGTAGGATGAAACCCATTTTGCAACGGATTCAATAATGCGAAGTTGTGTGGCGGTCTTGGTTAGATAGTGAGAGGGTTTCTCCTCCTTGACACGTTCCAGCCGTGTCAGTATAGCGGACAGCAGCGCACTAGGAGCAGCGAATTTGCGATACAAGCAGAGAAATACGTCGGCGAAATTCGAGTCGGCTCTGGAAAACTTGGGCGCAATCAAGCGATCGACGAGCTCGTCAAAGGTCAAGCCAACCTTCTTAGCTGGACGATCAAAACTCAGGTCATCCCCGCGTTGGAGAATTGGGATGTCCTCGGAATAGCGATTCGAGTCAGCCTCAAACTCGTCAATTTCTCGAAAAGTCCCCGTGCCTGGTCGGTCGAGGCGGATGCCAGTTGTACGAAGCATGCTGGAGACAGTTGTCTCGTCATTTGCACTGTCATGATCCAATCCCGTTCCTGTTGGTCACCCTGGGGGTTAGCATGCGGCCCGCGAATACACGAGTTGATTGAATGACGCATGTAAGGGAGATGGTTATATTTCATTGGCACATGCCTGGTTGGGAAAATCCCTTGAGGAGGGACATGTCTGAGCTGGCACGGCTGTGCTTGCTGTGCTGGCTTAGAGGCCGGCCTTTTGAGGGGTCAAATGGCTTGTCTAGGTGGGCTGCAGAAGCAGCTCGCCTCCTGCCAATTCCCTCTCCCGATTCGTCTGAACGGTGTTAGTATGCGGAGGATGCATCACAAATAGTTGCTTTTGCAGGCGCGTGCGCCGCAACATGCTTGCTCGAGACCAGGGCACGGTCGAGCAGATAGCAATATCACAAATAACGCCGCAACCGCCTGCAACAGTAAATATCCACTTACCCTGTCGACCCAAAATCAACGCCTTCAACAGAAACGACAATGGCATGCGCGCGCTCTCTGGCTTGCTCGATGCCGTTTTGAAGCTGCCGATGCATGATTTACACGCAGCAGCCAGTCCTTCGGTATCGATTTGCCTTGCGCTCTCTGGGTTGTCGCACTTGGTAGCGACCAGAATAGTTGGCAAGGACGACTTCACCAATGCGGCTAAACATAAGATTTTAGCATAAATACATCTCGCAGATCCGCATCGTCATTTTTCTTATAGCGGTGTCTGGGCAGGCAACACTCACTCAGTGTCTGGGGCAATTCAATGATGCTCTCTCGGTTCATGACATCGTAGAGCAGCAAGACGCCGTGTATGGCTGGCATCATGGCGCCGCCTACTTGCCTCGGCCATTGTATCTGCCTGTCGGGGTCTACATCGAAATACTCGAGGTCCAGCTCAAACAGAGTGACGGCATACGGAACATGATCGATGTTGATCCGCGCCGTCGAGGGTTGCGAGCTAGGAGTCCTCGTGAGGGACAGGGCCTTTTGTATGAAGTGTGATTTGCCGACGCCATTGGCGCCAATGACCACGATATTAATACTCTCCATGGTCGTTCGCGCCGGGGGCTGCACATTCAGGGTCAGCGGACGGTTCTGCTTCTTCTGCAAAGATCCAAAACTGCAACGGTCTCAGCTCAGGATAGCGTGGCAGGCAGGCATACACGATCATCGGTTTGCTCTTCTACGTCCGACGACTTTCTCCTTGGGACTTGAATTCGTGGCACTGGCTGGAGGTTAGGGGGTGGAGTCTCATGGCGGAGGTTCTCTGGAACAGGTGAGCGGGTCGGCTTCCTGGCGGCGACGTCGGCCTTGTCGGCGGCGTACTGTCGCTGGAAGAAGGGGTCGTCGACAATGGACTCTGAGGACGATAGGGAATCGGACGAGACCGGCTCGTCGCCGTCGTGAATCGAGGCGCTCGTGCGGGAGGCAGAGGTCGCGGTGGTTGCGGTGGTCGCGGTGGAAAACCTCGAGGTAACGGAGGGCGAGGGGAGGGAGGGCGCAAAGGAGTGCGCGACGGAGGCGTTTGAGGTCTGTCGGCTCCGGCCGTGCTTTTGAGATTCGGAGCGGCGGTGATGGGGAGTGCCCGTCGAGTGCCTATGAGAATGCTGAGCCTTTTGGTCGCGGGAAGCCATGAGTGATTCTGCATAACAGTTTTCCCTACCCGAAACGAGACGACTACCTGCAGCAGTAGCAGCGGCAGCAGCAGCAGCAACAGACAGGAACAGCTGCGCCTATGATATTGGAAAAATAAACGCAGCCAGCAACCAAGCAAAGAAGCGTATCTCTCCCCGGCGGTTGGAGCTACGTACGACGGGGTTATTGCGACCAGCTTCCCAGGTGGTTCGGATTGGTTGCCTCGAGGTCGTGGCAACTATATCTCGATTGGATTGGATGGGTTGCGTTCAAAGGAGGCGCCGTCAAGGTTTAGTAGCTACGTCGAGCGTCTGTTTGTCTGGCTTGGTGTGCTTGTGCTGTGCCCGTGGGGTTCGAGCCGCCGGGAGGAGGGTAATGTAGGCAAGGTAGGTAGGTAGGGGAGGGAGAGGTCTTCTGGCCCGGGCCGGTGTGGTTGGTTGGTTGGATGTGGTCCGCGGGTGTTTGGCGGGTGTGCGTGCGTACACTAGATAGTACCTTAGGTACCTGTCCGAGGTCCCAGTGCGGACGACGTATGGGCGTGCGTTTGCATGTACTACGTCTCCCTTGTGTATGCTTGAGCTTGTGCGTTGTATGGTGCATGCAAGCACCAAGTGCAGTGTGGGGGCACTTTTGAGGAGGTATTGGCAGACAAAATGTGAGATATGTGATGAATGTGTGTGTATGTATGCAACGTAGTGGTAGGAATCTATCGTCCTGCAGGTTGATGCAGCTGCCGCTGTCTGGTATTCAGCTGCTTGGGGCTAATGTAGAAACAAAGCTTAGAGCATGGGAAAGTATCTCTGTACAAAGTATGTCCCAGTAATCTTGGGCATCCTCGCCGATGGAGGAGGATCCAATTCACCTTATTACACGTAATTATGTTCATGATTAGTATTTGTTCTTGATTAGAGTGCCCTCGATCAAGCAAGGTACACGCCAACATGTTTTTCATTAACATTTGAGTCTACAGATGGACGTTATGTGGCCATGGTAATTTGATGTAATTCGCTGCACAGAAAGGGCCGGCAGACTGCTAAAACACGCCGAGGGGAAATCAAGAACGCTAGGTATGTAAACCACGCCAGGGCAACCCCTCATTAGCATATATTGGAAAGCAGGTGGCACTATCTGGAACGTAATACCTTGTACGTATATCTATTCAATTGACACATTCCTTCCTCTAAACACGGAGCAGAACTGGCACAACCACTCTTTAGTATCTTTGTAGAACTGCACATTCTTACAGATGTACAGCTTTAACATACTGAGCTGCAAACAAGAAGGAGAGGAGGGGAAATTTTCGCTAAAGGGTAGACAAGCAACTACGTCCTTGATGGGTTTTCCCGCGTCATAAGGAAATGGTAGTGCTCTAAATCCTACAATGTACTAACTAACGGATGGATCCTTGCCAATTTGATGCGGAGAACGGACCCCTACTTACTTAACGTGCGTGCCCTCCCTCCCTACCTACCTACCTACCTACCTACCTACCTACATGCTGTCGGCCCTCTATTGTCCTTGGGTGAACCAAAAAAAAGGATGAAGAAACAAACGGTTTGAGTTGCGTGTATCTTGCTTGACCTGTCAACCTAGTCCGTCATCATGACATGACTCGGGAGTATAATTATACTGCTAAACGTCGAGCCATCATTACCCGCAGATCCTTTGGCTCTTGTTATTAGACTTGTCTTTTGGTCATATCATCCGCAACATCTTACCATAGTAAGGCAACTTGTGTTGTATTTTCTAGTTCAGCCCCCTCTTGTCGACTCCGCCACTGAGAAGCGTGATGGATGACTGCAGCTGTCCCGCTGTAATATTGATCACTGCATGATCACACACTGCCAGATCCTCCTCGTTCTCGATGAACCATATGCCCATGGCTGGGCGCCTTTGCTTTCCTATCCTACTTCCTACTGCCGCCAGCAACATTCAACATCCCCAATGATTCATTGAGTCTCAACGCACGTGGGCTTGAGGAAACCCAATCAGCTGGCCCACTGGGCCCCTTCTGTCGGCTCACTGGCTCAATGGCCGCTGCAAGGATTTCGAGACTCTCTCTCTGTCTCTTTCTCGCGCGACCGCGAGCGCTCTCTCTCCCTTTCAGCCTTCAAGCACTTACCATGCATTCCGCAAATGCCTCTTTCGCTATACTGTAACTTCGCTTATCACTTGGGATCGACAAATGAGGTTTCACTGGCAATCCAGCGCCTCCAAGGGCGGTTCTAGACCCAAAGCGCGCACTCTCCCCACGCCTCGGCAATTGCTCATGTATATCCAGGTGTCTATGTAGGCACTGCGGGCCGAAAGACACGACTGATAAATTTAGAGCCGGTGAGCGTCAAGACGCCACTGTCGCAAATACATATACCACCGCAGAGGCCACTATACTGCAAGTAATGTTAGTATATATTCTTGAGCGATCCATGTTTGTGCCATCGAAACATTTACGCAACCGATGCCTGGCGAAGCACCATGGGTCGTGATAAGATTTATTACAAATCTGATTCTGGGCTTTGTTTATTCTTTGGTCGTTAGTAGCCAAATGAGAAGACACAAATTCCAGTTACTCCCAATCTACCAGGGGTAACTAACAGTAGAGTTGATCATGATTGATTGCATGTGGTTGGTCACTGGTGATCGAGCAGACTGGTAAACAGGGGTAAGAAAACCCAAGGGCATTGTTTCCACATGACATGTTCAAGGCAAAGCAGTTATTCATATCCAACTGTATGCCGAACCAGAACTTAGTAATCAAGAGGTGCTAGAAGATTTCGTTAGATTCTTCAGCTTGTTATTTCTAGGTCTAGGTAAGGGTCTGTCGCGTTAAAATACCCCAGAGATCAGAGGTGTAGCTGTACTGGTGAGAATCTAAACCAACTCCCCTTCCTCTTCTCTTTCTCTCTCGTTCTCATTTGCGAATCGCGATCATATACGGATCATGATCAATTTGACGATGAGGGTGCCTTGTTGTTGTTTTGAATACGCGCAAAATGAACATTAGGCTTGTCTTTGCCATTTGTACCGTGTCAGGCTTGTCGCTTTCCCGAGTGTATCAAACCCCCGCGTCTTCTAAAAATCGTGTGATGATGGTGCGATAATGATACTCTATGGCAATGAAGTGATCCGGCCTCGGGAAATGTGCGTGTTGCCATAACGCGTTGCAAGATCATTGTCACTGGGCTCATGCCGTACGTTCGATGAACGCGAAAGGTTCAAGTTCAACTGGGCAAGAAAGAAAGATTGAGACATGTCAACAGTACACAGCGATAATAAAGGAGTCAGCCCTCAAAAGACACATGCCACAAGATGGTGGCGTGTCATCGCTTACTTGGACAAGCAAATGGAAATTTGCAGTTCAAATTTGCCCACAGGGACTGTCGCGACTACGTATGGGACATTATCATCATTTCTATAAGCATTCGAAACTCGTATATCATCACCAGTATGTCCGAGATCGCCAAAAAGATCATTTGCGGTGCCCCTCTTTCATTTGCCAACGTAGTGGCCAGTCTGGAGAAGACCCATTTTGATGACACCTCAAGGTCACTGCAAGCATTAATACTCATCACACTATTTAGGGTTTGGATAAATATTCAAAGCAGAAAAAAAAAAGTTAGCATAAGCATGAAAACGGAGCTGATCCACGGTCTTCCGTGATGTCGATTCTTTTCGGATGATCAAAACTGGATTGCAGCAAGAAAGAAGAAAAATCTCAATCATGATTGAGTGGAATCTCAAACGCCTTGAGCACCAGGAAAGGGTCCACTCCTGTAGACGGTACGGCTGGCATGCAAGTTTTAAGACTAGTATAATCCTTGACTCACTCACATACCTGAAATGTTTCTTTCCTGTTGCGTTGGCCCGTGGCACGGTCTCTGTCAGGAAGCATCTTTGGAACATATTCTGCATCTCTCCACGTGGGAGGAAGGGTCACGATGAAACTCAAATCCATGTCGCGTTGTATATAGTATAGTCCGAGAGTGCGGAATAGAG